ACACTGTGTGCTTTGTAAGCCAAGATTTTATATTTCCCCATACTCCGACCTACTGGCACTTCTTCCTGCTTCAGTTCTCTAGATCGTCTCAAAGCCTGCTGTTGAGCGGATCTCAGCATAAACCGTGGGCCTGATCGTGTACGACGGCTTGAACCCTAGCAATCTATAGGTTGGTTACATCTGCTACGTGAATAGAAACACCAGTAAGTGAGCTTTGCCTCCAGTAAACACGCTGCAAAGGGGACTTGCTTTCTTTTATCTGTGGGATATGAAGCGAGAATCTTCTCCTACTGGAGGATGGAATCTTTGAGAACTTTCCCATCCCCACGTCCGTCATGCTTTCCTGGTCAGCATAGGCTCATCGACGACTTCGAAATAATATAATCGGCTGACAACTTATTCCTTTCTACCAGTTGCGGGCTTATTGCTTTAATATTAGCTTGCAAGCCAGCCACTGCTGCCTATACAGGCGGTGTGCCACCTATATTAAGGCATATCTCATAAGACAACTGTTTTCGGATATACTGAGTTGTTGAATAACCAGATGGACTGCAGAACAAGAAAAGACTTCGGAGAACCCTGACACTTCGTTAGACTTTCAGCCAGCCAATGAGAGGAGAAGCAGGGGCAACTAACAATGTGCTACAACTGGAGATCTTCACCGAAAACCGGTGTGAAGGGGCACTCCAATGCAGATCCAATGCAAAGTTAATTAAAGATTTTGTGCCATGTTCTTAAATGGCTTTCTCTATTCCCCTATCGAGGCTCTCAGCGTCCCCACATGAGGGGAAAGAAAGAGGTTAGATGTCGGTGGCTCCACTGCTCGAATTTTCCTAGCAGTCAGAGCTAGACGCGCATAGTATCTAGCGCACAAACACACATTATTTCATACCGTACTGTAGCTGGCTAAGCTGCATTTTATTGCTTTTTACTCCTTTTATTAATTTTAATAAAGAATATATAACGAATATTACAACCGACTTGAATGTTCGCATATTATCAAACCATTGAACAGTAGCGCTAGCCCAATACAGAAAGGCGGAATTTTAAGTACATCTAGTGCAAATATGTGCAAACAAAAAGCTACATTGTAGGGCCAATTTTAAACTAATTGTGAGTTGAATTATATCAAGAAGCGTCCAGGCTTAGCGTGGCCCAAGGCACACACACGCGTTGTTCGACACACCTTAAGATAGATGGAAGATAGCATAATGGCAATTATGAATCCATTATCCATTAAAAAGTAACTTATCTAGTTATATCGGCTGCAGTAGTGCATCGCGAACTACATTTATAACAGTGGACGAGCATTGCCAGACACAAGGTAGATATTTCACTGCTGAAGGAACAAATCTACGGGCTGGAAAGTTACCCTATAATGATAGCAGTGATACCGTCTTTGGAAACAAGAATTTCCCCAAAGGGAAGCCCCAGGAAAATCTTAGATGTACTCCACCACAATAGTCCTTTCAGCGGCATGCTCGGGAGCAACCGACGTACTCAGCTTTTCATTAGCTGCCACGGCGAACACATTGTTGCCAACTCATAGAATAATAGCAAATAAGTAGAGCCTAGAATACCAAAGGAACTTTTGTGGATCGTTGGACGCACTCATTGATACCATGAGACACGTGGCATTCAGGGGGCCCCCATTGCCTTTGAAAACAGTGACACCGTAAGCATTGCTCACGCAACGAGCAGCCCTATTTGTTTCTCTATACACAGTAAATCTAAAGAAAATTTTGTAAACGGAGCTGGGCTTTGTTGGAATATCTTTTTCTCCTGCTCTGTTAGCTTAGGACCACTGGGCATGCCTGCGGCGAACAGAAATTTGGGGCCATTGGTTCTGCTCTTCTTCCTGCAAAGCGCATTTGTCTTCGAAGATTGCTGTGGCATTACTGTCTTTCAGTGGCATTTGTCATGTAATACTGCTGTTTCTGCGGGTTCGTTTCGAAGTTTCATCCATTCAAACTGTGCTTCCCTTGCTGCACATTTCGAAGCTCGCGTGGCCTGAAAGGGTCATTTGCAAGTAGCAGCTGTGTGGTAAGACATATTGATTAGTTTTCATCAAGTAAATCTCCCTAATGGCACAGCTAAACGGGTTTTGTTAGCCCGTCCTTGTGCGGCCCGCGTGGAGTGCACGGACGAGCTTCGTCCACTACATCGCCTCGGATGAGCGGTTTGTGCCTGGCAAGCGGTACTGCCACTTTACTCATTATTTGTGGAATCACTACGGTGCGCCTAGCTACATGACTTCTGGCGCACTGTATACCGTGGCGGTCAGGGCACTATGGGGTGGTTGATACGCCTTAAATCATATGCCATATGGAAGACGATGAACCGCCAGAACCCAACAACCCGAACCCAAATAAAATTTATATTTTCAAACCAGTTACAGGGCCCTATTGTGGGGACATATGAGGTAAGCAGGATCAACTGGAGCATGCGGTTTGCGCAGCTGCAATGACAGTTGTGTGAATTCTCGCTTGCCACCCCGAGTCCTTCCTAAAAGTGATTTTGTCAACATGCGTGCTTGGGTGTTCACAGTGTGGAACAACCATTATGGAAGTGAAAGATGACTTGCTATTTCACAGGTGGACAGATGCATTAGGACCGGCAGAAGATGTCGCCAGACTGCGGATGTTTCACTGCGGTAAGGAACTCAGGGATGCAAAGACCTTACAAGACTATCGCATTGGCATGCACAATGACTTTCCCTTTGCCTGTCATATTGTTATCGTTTACAAGCGAAATGTAAAAACGGGGGCGCCACGCGGCACGAACTGTATGTGCATCATTTCATAGTATTTACACTTCATTTTGCTGCTTTACGTGCCAAAGTGTCATTAATAGCATATGCCTAGCCACAGAATATGCTGTATTATAAACGCTGGAAGCCAGCGATTCCCAGGGTTATCCTCTGGTGGCGAGCACCCTTATTCAAGTGACGTGCCGACAGGAGTCACGCGAACCTGGCTCAGCTAATGTTCTGAGCCTCATGAAGAATGGATGGAATCGCAGCTTGTCCTCTTCAGAGAGCGCACGTGTGCACTATGAATTGTAGTGCATGCTGGGCACTGGCGTGAATCACACCACTTTTCTTAATCCCACGCAGACATCGGCACAACGCGCAGCTCCTGAGAGCTAACCTATGCGCTATGCATGTGCTTTGTTCCATATGAACTATTTGGCTGGATCCATTGCCTTGTGCATTCTGGTAGCACGTCCTCACAGTAGAACCGGACTATCATCTGGAAGTCCGTCGAAAGAAAAACTAGTTAAAAACTCGGGTTTGCCTCCCAATTTTGCACCTCGCAATGCCACGGCAATTCGAATGGCGCTGTAGCACACCGTGCGAGTCCAGTATCCAGAGAATTTTCGTTTAAACACAAATAGACACAGCTGCTCAACACGTAAGCATGCCTTCATGCCTGCTTTTGAACATTAGGATGAAACCAGTCGCACCCCCAACGGTCCGGATGCCTGGTAGAAGACGGCAACGGCCTATAAGCGGCCCCTGGCGTGTAAAGCAGCACACGCAAACAACCTAGCCTACTGGCAACACCAGGACGAAGGTATGTGCTGGCAACATTGAGCCGCGCCCACTGCAACGCTGCGTAATTGCTGTTTAATTTTTTCACTTGCCCCCGCTTTAGCCGCCTCTAGCCAGGTCGCTGATTCCGCAAATGCTAGCTGGCCTATCAAAGATTGACCAACCAGTGATTTTCACGATAACCGGGGCTGCTAATCCGCCCATGAGGAGCTAGGAACACCCCATTTGTAGGCTCAAGTTGTACCCTTGGCTACCCATGGCAAACTCCCTTTGTAGACGGGGCACAGCTGAGACACTACCCGTCATGCTAAATTACGCACATGCGACATAGACGGCAAAAAACCTGGGCAAGCAACAAGTGGTCAATGAAATGCGACAAACTAAGCCACAGCGTGCTTTCGAGTTTGTTCTTCCCTGGGGTAACCAAATATTTACGATTTACGTTGGGATCTGCCGGTAGGACAATGCCCAATAGCATTGCCACCGTGTGGAGAGGAACAGGAGGTCAAGCAATTGCAAAGAAGGATGTTTAACGACACGCAGCACTGCTCCCATATTGGCTGCTGCTAATGTACCTAAACTACAGCAAAGAACAGGCACTGAAGTGACAGCTACTATACACATCTGTAGAGGTTCCGATTTACTGCAGATTCTTGGGAAGAGCCTCAACAAGTGACCTGACAGATTCCACAGACTTTTCAAACATGGATCGCTCTTCGCTTGTCAGGTGCAGCTCAAGGATCTTCTCAACACCGCCTCCGCCAATAATGCATGGCACGCCAACGTAGAGGTTAGAGACGCCGTATTGTCCGGTCTGCGTTAATCGCAAACGATATGCAGCAGCGAAATTGAGTACGTGCATAAGACTAGAGCATTATTGTTCCCACTAGACCCAACACTGAAGGAAAGGCCAGAATTGGAAGGGAGATGGCCCAGTCACTGCACCACGGAAAATGACAAAAACATAAGCAGCCAGCTAGAACGACGCTAGCCAGTCACTCGCAACTTCAGGCTTCAAAATGTCCCCACGGGATACTCGCTAAAATGGCTGGAATAAGTTGAAGTCCGCATTTCACATACAAGGTAAGCTGCACATGGGATGACCCTCTTTTTATCCTTTAAATAGGCCTCAGCCATGAGCACTCCTGCTGCTGCCGGTGCAAAGAACGCTGAGCCTGTTTTGAGCAGGCTGCGCAACAATCATAAACAATGCATAATGAGACCATTGTTGACCCACAAGACGCATGTGGCCAATCAGCGTTCTCCAGCAAATGTGCGCAGCCTACTTGCTGACTCATGCGAGCTTTGTCACGTGGGAAAATAATCGTACCTGACGATTTCACCGCCGCCGTTGCGTGTGCGTTCTACCATCTCATCTATATCCTTCTGCGTCAGCTGACCCATGGCGACCAAGTCAGGAAGTGGAATCCCACCCACTGAACCAGCGCAGTGGAAAAACACTTTCACCAGCTTCCTTTCTATGGGTAGGTACAGTACTAAGAACATATGAGGACCAATTTTATTTCTCCGTGCGTAGTTAGAATACAAATACAGCCAATGTCCACTTACTGGAAAAGCGGACCGTGAACAGTGTAAGTGCAAATGCAAAGCTTACCTGTGCAATAGCGTGGTAGAGGGACCATGGCATCGCCGTGGCCTCCCATAACCATGGCGTGCACATCCTCCACAGATACCTGCATCCGTTCGGCAACGAAGGTCCTAAAACGCGCTGCATCGAGTACTCCCGCCATTCCCACAACCTTTTGAGGTGGCAAGCCACTGCGTTCCCGCATTAGCTGGACCATTGCATCTGCTCATCAGAGAACAACAAATACGCATTCACATAGACAGTCAAACAGTCAATCCACACATATACACATAGCGGCTGGAGGTAGGCTGAAGTCCTGCACCAAACAAACCACCTATGAGCCAGATTGTATGCAGGCTACACGGGAACATTTTACGTACCCAATGGGTTCGTGAGGCATATCACGAATGCATCCGGCGCGTAGAGCTTAATACTATCCGCAACACCAGTTACAATCTTCGAGTTGATGCTTAGTAGGTCATCGCGAGACATACCAGGCTTCCTTGGTACCTAGAGTTGTTTCCACAGTTTGCAGCAACGAGAAAAGTTGCCCATGGCGTGCACACCAAGCGGAAAAGTAAACGCCTGATGCAGAAGGGAAGGCTAGCATGAATGGTACTCTTGGAAACATAGATGGAGTGCTGATAGAATTCTCATACGAATACACTTGGTATACATTATTAACCAATTGCAACGTACTCCAGCGGTCACGATGACCACATCAGCTCCTTGAAGGGCAGAAAATTGGTTAGCCCCCGAGAGAGCTGCATCAAAGCCTTCGATAGGGCCAACTTGAGATATGTCTAGAGCCTTCCCTTGAGGCATACCTAAGAAGTCATGCGACGCCACACGGTGTGTAAAGGATCACAGGGGAACTATACTGGTTTGGAAGTAGTCCGAAATTCACTGTTGAGCAGGCCCCGTATGCATCATCGGTGTCGATCATAGCATAAATAACCCACAGGATCCGGCAAAAAGGATGCGAAAAGTACCAAGAGCACTATGGGAATCCCTTTTCATCTTGGAGTTATACACCTTGGATACGATCAAGAAGCGCTAGGTAAGCGTGAAGGCATCATTTGGTGCAGGAGTACATATCCTCAGACTTTCATTAAACATAAATAAACACTCTAATGCACCTTATAAAGCGAAAAGATAGCTAGTTGATGATACTATTGGACAGCAGTCCTGTGTCTATCGAGATCCCGAACCCCACTCACCTTCGACGATGTCGAAAATTGAGACATCCCCAAGTTCCTTTAAAGAGCTAAGGAAGGCTAGTACCGCACCAATTTGGCCTCCTCCAACGAGTGCAATCTTTGGGCGTGGCATTTTTGATACCGGCGAGGGTGTTTCGAACACCAAACGGAGGGGCGAACTGCTACGGGAGGACCGCCCAAGTATCAGCAAAATGTATATGTTCCCCACAGAGGGAGCTAGAAAGAATTACAAAAAAAACGTGTCAGAGTGCAAAGACATAGAGCACTGCTCACACCCCCACAAACCACCCAATCAAATGGCCAGCCTGGGTAACCATGTACAGCCGGCGGAAGGCACTGATCAGTAGCAGCCCCCCAAATGCAACTATTCAGTGGAATGGCTGTTTCATTTTCTGGAAAATCAACCCTTCTCTCCAAAGTTTAACATGTAAAATAGCGGGGACAGCGCAATGCATTCTACGTAGCAGGTGACTAGACACTAGAACGCGGGTCCAGGAAGACGAATAGAGCAGTATGGATGGCATACCACACTCACGTTTTTACTTGTATGTGCCGAAGGCGTACAGTTTTAATTTATTGGATAAGTAAGCGAGTATATTTTACACTAACGACCGGAAAACTTTGGCCGCCCAAAGGCTGTGCAACGAAACAGAACCGGAATAGCTTGCGTTGTTGGAACTGAGGCAGAAAACACTGGCTGATATCAGTCAACGTAGGACAACAATCTAGAGTGCGACATGTGCCAACAAGCATACTACTCTAGCCCACTGTAATGCCAAACACATCGCGGCAATTAACAAAGACAACCCAGCCATGCAGCAAGGTGTGCGCCCATCTCCGAGGCCTACTATCAATATCGCAGCTTCTGCCTAATCAGAGGGTATGAGGCATGCTCCCCACATCATGTAGCCACAGATAAGAGCGATTCTGCAAATCCAAGCATAAAATGGGCTTGGCTGCAACCTGACCGGACTCCGACTTGCTCTATCACGATCCGTGGGAAGCGGCCCTCAGCACTCAGCCTGAATAGCGATTGTAAAGCAATGCTTGATAATACCACCCTTCCAGAGCAAAAACCCTCCGGCAGAAAAGACTGCCTGCCCTGCGGCGGCTGACAACTCCAGCAACTGCGAAGGGCCCCACAGGACATTGCATGGAGTGTAAGGCTGCCTCATGGTTTCCACCTAGAACATCCACCAAGCTCTCTATTTCACATGCTCGGTTATGCTAATTTTCAAACCGCTGTAGGAACCATTACTCCGTCTGAGAGAAAATACGCAAATATGGCACGAGGGCATACATGACGGTTGACAGTGAAAACTAATTCAAAATACAAGGCTGCGCAACGCCGACTTCCAGGCCCGATATAGGAAACAGCTCTAGGGGTATATACATTTACTACGTAATCTTCCTATAGGATGTGGCGTACGGAGTTTTTCGACGCTTTTCTGTAGTGCATCCATGCCCCCATCGTCCACTACTGTGCCATCCTTCAGGACATTTTCTGCATCGGGTTTTGACAATGGAACAACGAGCATATATCGAAGGAGGGAGAAATTGGGGGATCTTCCTTCAGCCATATGACGAAGGACCTGAACTTGCTTGAGAAGTTTAGGTGCGGTGGTCTCCGTAACTACTGGATTAACGTCCTCAAAGATGGTAAGCCCTTTTTCCCCTTTTGATGCTGTTGGCGAGTTTTCAGTTTCCTGGTCTTTCGTACTGTCCCCAGCTCTATCGGCTAAATGTTTTGCCTCTTCCGCCTTAGGGTTTGCTGGGTCTTCGACCTTCTCTGACACTACAACTTCAGCTGTGCCTTGCGCATCCACTTTTTCCTCTTGAGTCCCCTCAGCGCTAGCCGTCACGTACTTTGAACCATCTGGACCGTCTTTGATACACGCCTGATAGGAAAGTGCAGAACTCAACAACATACCCTTAACGCATAGAAATGAAGAACGGAACGCGATCTGGTCCCTAGGTAGAAGGCAGACTACACTGATTATTTACGCCTTGCAGTATTCCCACAAAGGCGCTGAAAATTCCTGTCAAAAATCTCCGTTTTCGCTTACTCAGTTGCACAGCCCGTAGGATAAAGTGCAGTGGGAACTTGGCAACCTGAGCCGACGTACCGGTTCATGTCGCTCACATACTACTAATAATACCGAAAAAGGTGCCTTTTCCATAGCAGCGTAGCAGTGAATATACGCTGAGTAGGCGCACGTTAGCCGTAGGCACTCCAACACCGCCTCGCAAACTTTCTTTTGGCCATCGGGGTTTCCCATGGCCAACTGGACGCATATAGACAGCACAATTTCCATAAGTAGAACTGTATTGTCTCAAAAAGTCATCAAAACTCGAGATAGACCTACCTCAGTACCTGAAAGGATAGTTTTCCAGAACAGGACAACCTACTAGGAGTACGGCTACAATCACTCCAAAAGCCCGAGCTACACACAATGTTAAGATGCACTGGGTCAACAAAACGCACATGAAGTTGGATGCAAACATCTACACGATATAAAAGGCACGTAAGATATCTGCATGCAATGCAATGTTGGGCCGATTAACTGCATAATTGAACGACTCACCGAGAGCCCCACTTTGAGTGTTCGCTTTCCATTTTGCACGGCAAATCTGCTTTCCTTGATTTCAACATACACGGGAGGTTTAATCTGGAGCAGCAACAAGTCGCCTTCGGGTACTTGGGGTCTCGAATGGGCATACTGCTGCACAAGAGAGGTGGTGTTGTTCTCGGTGACGAGCATCAAATAGACACCGTCGCCCTCTCCTGTAACAAACTCCTCTACCTTGTCCACCTTGCCTTTGTCCCGCGCTGTATTAGGGCATACGGCAGATGCGGCAATTGGTGGCGGTTGGTTTGAGTTGGGACCAACTGGTGCATCTGACACCTCTACTGCAGCTTGACGGGTCTTTGGTTCGGTTACCGATTTCTGCTTGCCGCAGACAGCCCCCATTTTCGCAGCTGAATCTAAGCTCTTCTGGCTTACTTTCCCAGTTGTCCTGAGGTCTTAGGGGAGACGGCACAGTGAGCAGCAATACCATACAGAGGATGCAATCAAAACAAATACAAGAGACGTGGAATTCTGCAGAGCAAGCCTACGCCCCAGCTCTTACAGATCGTGGCCAAACGCGGATGGGTTCGAACAGAAACAAAATTGGGTTCACAACGCTGGGTAAGAAATTGAGCTGTGAAGGTCGATATCCTCCCTAGACCATGGCATGCTCCTGTTTACCATGCCTTACTGAGCCTCCACAGAAACGTTCAAAGCCATTACCACCAGACCTAACATTAATTTCTCAACGGCAAAAAAGTGATCCGAAAGCGAGCAGTATTAGATGAAGTGGTCAACTAGTACAATGGAAAAGGAACGCTTCTTGGGGAGCGGTGGAAGCTCAGGGCATGATCGAAGTACTCGATGCGGTAGATTTCCCCGCCAAAGCCCTCACATGATAGAGAAAACACTGCAATTTCTCGAAAGCATATTCGTACGCATTCATTGGAGAACACTGCAGCTGACTGACTGCCAGCACTCGTCTTACATGCTGAGTTTGGCAGGCAGTGACTAGCCACAACGACCCTCTACGCCCAAGGTATGTAACACGACAGTTATCGAAACGCATGTTTCAAGCTAAAAAGGGCTATTAAAAAGTTGTCTCAGCTGTTTAATTAAAGTGCTAACGACTTTCTAGCTGCCTTGCTCATGTGGGCAGGATAGATGGTCTGTGGTGGCTCGAATACAATTCTGTTATGCAGCGCGCCTAAATAAGAGGTGGAGCACTCATCCTGATAGCAATACCAACGTAGCTTGGACTGCCGCTAGCTTTATTCGGATGGTACTTTGCTTCTGATCCAACCACTAGGGCTTGGCCGGTAATGGATAGCAAACCTGCGATGTGTAATTGGCTATGCCATTCTTACGAATTTTTTCCCTACCCTGGCTTCATTTATTTGTCATTTATTTGACAATCAAAAAGCATAAATACTTTTGTATTGTCTGTTCTTACACCCAATTTATTTCATTGTTTTGTTTGCTCCATACAAAAAGCGCAGCATATGAGTGTGTGTACTGCATGCTACGTGGAACTAGCTATGCATGCCCGGAGTGCCTGGATGGTGCAATTACATGCACCCTAGCTTTCCTCTTTCCTTCTGTGGGAAACTTTGAGGGACGCGGGCAGGCGAAAGCGGAAGCAATTCAGTAAGACATCAAGTAAGTTTCTCTCACTCAATTTACTCAAGATAAACATTCCTCCCTGCGGAGACCTTAGGTAGAGTATTGCCGCGGGTAGCATTGCTTGGTTAAATGCATTTTCCCCCCACTCATCCGCTAGCTGTGGATGCAGTGTTGTGCTGCCACCCTTTAATGGGGGTCTGTGGAGAAACACTTCACGCCAGACTTGATACAAGCCAAAAAAGGTTATTGAGTGATTTTACAAGAACCCCAGCCTCTCCCTGTCCGAACCCCTCAAAGTGCCCGACACGAAGGATGTGGGGCAACTATGAAGCGTGTAGCTGCACCATGCAAGCATTACGAGCATGCGCAGGCAGGTGCACGTAGCATCTAGTAAACACGCACACACCGCTGCGTCTTCTTCTATCAATCTAACACTACTGTACAATAAGTTATACAAACAAAAAAGTTGATTTATCGATTCTTCGCTGATTGTAAGTCCAATATTAGCTGCTTGAACATAGCTTGACCTGATACATCTTTCCCCATCCAAACCACACACCCTCAAGCCATATGTGCCCGTCAATACCAACTGCATGCAGAATAACAAAAGATTTTTCACCCTATTAGGACGATCCAGGCAGGCAGAAACGCTAGGTTTGTGCAAATAAGAAAAGCGAACGTGTGTTTGAACCAAAAATGAAAGATATGGGAGGAAAAGTACAGACACCAGCTTTTGAAGCAATCAACTAGAGGGTAGACCGACAGAACCACGGCGGTTCGATGGCTCACTGTCGTCGATGCGCTGAAATGTGTGAGCCTGTTGTTGAGACAAAACATGGGACACGAAAATATATGAGGAAAGTCAAATGCACATTACTTCAGTAGTGTCTCCGGGCCTTGCGCCTCATACAGCAAGTTGTGCCTCCCCTTAGGTGGTCTATGCAACATAGTCGCATTCACTGCCCACAAGCATCATCACGGAGTAATGTAAGCTCAACAAACATGAAGGTGCCTTAACATAAAGCTGTGTGTAGAGAACATCTTGCAAGTCTTCAATACTACTCATAGACAAAGGTTGCTATCCCAGGCATACAACATACGCGAGGGAAGAAAAATGTCAAGGAAGGCGAGGACTACTATCCAGGGCCACTAGCGTTGAAAACAACACAGCTCCACAATTCTCCTTGAGGCAACGGAGTCTGTCGGTGCTCTTCCTTCAGTCACTTCGGCTGGCGTTCCTCCGATTTCTTACTGAAAGCAGTCGTCTAGTGTGCCCTCGACGACTAACAGTCCAAGAATCCAGCCGCTCGGCGACCTCCTGTGGTCGCTCCGCCTCCCCAAGGTCACATTTCAAAGCAGCAAGTGTGCGAATGATTTGGGAAACACCGAAACTTCTTTATTAGATTGCCAGCTTAAAAGTCCTGTGGCACGCCAACTATTGGGCAACAGGGAGACTAGCAGAGAACATTAATTCGTGTGAGGATGGTAAATGGCCATGGCCTCCGAGCCACAAACCCCTTTTTCTGATCACCTGATGGACGTTGTAGAGCCTACTTATTATCTAGGATCAAACCTCCTCAGCGCATTCGGCCACCGTATACGATAATTCTGTTTATGTGTCTCGTGAGACTTGTGGAAAAGTTCTCGTGGACTAGCCAGCTGTTTCCTGGATTGCTGTTCTGTTAAGATAGTGCAGGCCCTGGACCACCAGCTCTAGTGTCTGATCGAAGAAGGCTCTTCAGTGTACAACAGGGAAATGAGAGGCCAACGAGTACAGAAATGTACCGTTGTTCAATAGATCCAGCCTGCAAAAGGAAGACAGGCAAGCCAAGCCATTGAATTTGTCTAGGAGTCAAGTGGCACATGCTGCAGAGGACTGTGGTAGGTTCATTTTTCGGCCCATTCGCCTCCCGGTGCTTCGCAGTGGCCATCGTATGGTCCATTCGTAAGCGACCCACAAAGGAGTACCGGAGAGCATTCACGAACTTCGATTCCCTATCTATGATGAGACTCATGACACCTTCGTTATTCTTCACTGTAGAGTCGTCCTGCAGGAGGTACCCCCGCCACCAAACAACTCTAGGATTATCCAACTGTTAAAAAGTACTCTTCGATCCCATTAAAGATTGTCTCTCTGTACACTACAATGATGCCTATACAATGCTACCCGTTTTTTGAGAGCCACACCATGACCACAGAGTTTCTATTCCCTCACAAGATAGCGCTACTCAGCTTATGTGAAGCCATGGGAACAAGAAGCACAAACTCGATGCTTTGGAGAGCCCGCAGCTTTCTGAAGAGAGAGTGGTACTCGCCGCGTTACTAGTATCGGCTGTCAAGACAACATGCTGCTAATGATCGGGCAACGCGAGTAACCGAAGGTTTGTAAGGCGGCCGATAATCGGCCTTGTGGCATCAACCTCCTATATCCAGGTCGAAACAGAGGCTTAAAATAAAGGGTTAATTAAAGAAGCAACGATGTAAACAATTTCATGAATGGAATTTAAGAATTAAGATTTACGCCAAGAGATCTTCACAACGTCCTTGAAGCTGCATAAATGTAGACTTAATTGCGCAAATTTTTGCTGGATATGAATCAATTCTTGCAATTGAAGCACATAATCCCAGAAGCGTCATTTTTCTCATGACAAACGAGCACTTTCGTAGCCTCATGTATCACTGCTGGCTCCACAACTGTCAAGCTCACAACGTAGGCGCTGAAGGTATTTTTAACATTTCGGCTGAAGACAGACGTCACCCATTTAGACAGCCAACCAAAACTCATCGATACGCTAGCAATAATTCATAGTAAATTGATGTTGCAGTGTACCTATGTCATTGGCGACTGTAAAGCGGCATACACGTACACTCGAGCTTGCGTGTGCTGATGTGGAAGGCCGTCTAGTGGTAGTAATCTGGGTGAATGGGGAATTGTAAGACGTTTGTTTTCTAAAGTGCCGAGTAGATTGTTGATTCGTGGTGTTCGCCAAGCACTTCGCCAGCATGAAGGAATGGGAGCTTCTAAATTATCGCAAAAAACTACTTGAAGAGCTTCAAGCGAGCCTATATGCGTCACCTTTCGTCCTTTTCCAGCACCGCCGGTTACGCCCAGAAGCGCTGGTCTGTTCTTGCACCTTACCATTTTTCGATTTGTCATCCACATGCCGCTTAGTCTCTCAACCGTGCTGTGGCGGGCTCCGATACCTCCAAACACAGCTTTAGGCTGACCTGCAGATTAGAAACATGCGGTGTGCTGGAGGACCACTAGGGGGCCAGCCTGCTGGCAGCTCGTCATTTTTTAGCAGAGCCGCGAGCTCCTCTCTCAAGTTTTGCTATTCCTGAAATTACTCGACTGAAATTTTATTCACATATTGATTTAAATAAGCGTGTCCCAGGGCCCTAAGACGAAACGCATGCTTAGAATCGTCTGTTCCGTATTGCGCTGTTGAGCCCCCGGAGAAAGACCCTGCCCCACCTTGTTAAGCCACTGGTCCTACTCTGCGCACCACGATGAGATGAGCGTTGTTGAGAAAGTGAGGAGTTTTTTGTTCCTAGCACTTCGTGGCACACTGACCTCTACGGCGTGCAGCTTTGCCCGCGTGAACGCCTTCCATTGGGGCTACCATGGTATACTTGGGATAACGCCAAAGTATAGGGGTACGAATTCGGTAGCACACCGTGTTCACCGGACATTCGACGATCTGAAATGGCACCTTGTTGCTGTAGCTTTGCCGATCGTAGAGGTTTGCTGCCCGTCAAGAAAACTGGGGCTTGGGGACTGCACTAACGACTTTACAAGCAAATTGCATTTCCGCGCCGTTTTCTCGGATAACAGATTTACTACACATCCATAATGAGAGATGCTAGCAGTCCCTAAGCATCAATGTAAGCTTACATAGAAGCAGAAGTGACCCCTTTCTAGTCCTTGCGGCTCCCTTCCTCCTCCGTAGCCTGGGTGAAGACATTTTGTCTCTCTGATGCAAGTTCTTTGCTCGTCAAACAGCTTGCTCCTGCTGATTAAGCCCATTTTTCAAGTTCTTTGGCGTTTACATGCTGAACAGCACCGGTATGCCATGACCTGACTTCCGGCAATAATAACAGATGTTTTGTTAAGAGGCTGTGTGAGGCTGCATAAGGGGAGCAAGCTCTGCCTGGCTGTCCTTTCGTGTCCCCTTCAGCCTGTAGGCAAGGGCTGCTCGACACAGCCCCAAAATCCATAGGTTCGAAATCCCCGCTGGCTCTTCGCTCTCAGCTATAGACACAGAAGCTTTCCTTATTTAATCCTAAAGCCTCGAATAGTTCAGCACTTGTGAAAAGCTTTGCTGGTCAGCTATTGATTGCTGAGTCGCTGCCCGCCCTGCGACCATCTGGCGTGACACTTCAAGTAGACTAAAAATAGTTTCTTGCGAAAGCAACTGCTGCTCTGCATTGTGCACTTTGCAAACTAAAGTCTACTATGCGGCAATATTCTATTTTTGGTAGAGGTTTTTTGCCTAAGATTACTCAATCCTGTTGAAACGTGCCATTGAACAGATCTCGGCAAAAATCCAGGAGTCGGGGCTTATTTTGAGCTTAAACTATAGTAATTCCTGCAGGCACATTACTCCTTTTAAATGCGGGTCCACTATTACTGTGCTTCGCTCTTCAATAAGCACGCCTCCAGGAGTATTCACTGCTCTTAGTGTGTGGGATACAAAGCGAGCTACATCTGCAACCGCCCGGTGGTCGATTACTTGCCCATCCTTACGCGCTTACTTTTCTGGTCGGCATTACCTCAGTGAAGCACCCCTGTCCATTCAATAGGCAGAAAAATTATTTTTCTTCCAGCCATGTAGCTAAGGTTTGCACTTCAGCTTGCAAGCAGGCCTGTGCCGCCGCAGTAGGTTTTTTTGTCTCCCTCAACTTATATTGCCAACATGAGCTTGCCAGCCTCCCAGCTCGTGCCAAAGAAAACTGAATCACCAAGGCTCTAAATAATGCTTTCAAAATCAGGTAGCTGTTTTAGGGAGCTATGAAGTCCTACTGCATCCACCGCTAGTGGCTGAGTTTGGAATCGATGCATTAAGCCATGCGGTGCTACCAACTCTAGGCGTGCAATCGGTGGCTTTGAGTGAGTCCTTTGAAGGTTGCCGTAAGTACGTCTCGATTTCACCTCCCCAAGCCCTTCAAAGTTCTTGCCGTGAGGGAAGAAGGCGCGCATAGCTGGAAGCCCAGGACTCCGAGCATCCAGAGCAAGGTGCACATAGCATCTAGCACACGCACACACTGCATCTTCTTGTATCGAGGTAACAGTACTTTGTAACAAACAAGCTAAGCAAAGAGATTAACCGATTAGTTCACTTTTCTATAGATGATTGTTGAAAATAACTAGGGCGGTAGAAAGTGTTCAAGTGTAGCCTATCCCGCTTCTGTTACACATTTAACATCAAAGAAACTTTTCTTCACTACGAGAACTCTTCTTCTTGTTCTCTCTAAAGCTCCAGGATTCTCTGCCCAAGAGGAGTGAGCATGTGTAGCATGCAAGTTGCTGTACTTTGTGAGTATAGCATTCGCACAGACTACCTTGCCCAAGAGGCGCTGTTGTTGTGGTGCATATATACTTTTAAATGTTACAAACTACCTAATGAAGTCGCTAATATCTACATATTCTTAATCCACAATGTAAAGTGGCCCCTTAGAATGATAGTCCTTTATTTGTTAGATGGTCCCTTTATGCGATTGGCGAAGTCTTAGGCTTTCATCATAGCGGGCTCTCAAATCAGATGCATTCCAGTTTGGAATGCTGTTGGACAAAGGCATATCAAAAGTATCATCTTTTGAAGCGTACTTCACAGTGCCATAGTAGATGCGTGGGAGCAACAATTAGGCACAACCGGATCCAATTTCGGCACCGAATTCGAGACCTAGATTGCCATTAGAATGCTCGGTAATTGTATTCACAAATATTGCTTCTAAAATTTTGATAGATAATCCAATAATCGAGCCTAATGATGGTAAGGATCGTGGCACCGAAACTGGGGCATCCCACGTCTACGGCGGACGTCGGCGCTGGTCATGAGCAACTCACTGGTAGTCTCAACAGGTACTTCCTCACTGGGCATCCAGAAGCGTTTTGTCTTGTGTTAGCTGAGCACAATAGAAACAAAAATCAGCATCTGCCTTACTGTATACTTTGTTCCACGCGGTCTTTGGTCAGAACAGATGGCACACCACAGCGCGGGGTCGGGAAGCTGCCACAAGGATTTTGGGGTATCCCTCCGTCTTTTATTGCGCTCAAAGCAAAATTCCCCTCGGAACTATGTTCATTGAAGTACATATACTAGTGTTTCTGTGTCTTAGGGGTTTTATATATCAAAAGACACAAAATTATCAGTGCTCCTTCCCCGTCGAATCTACTCCGTCTCAGCCCATTGTGGTTCTGGCCTCACTTATCTGTCTATAGTTCTTACTGTTTCAAAATACGTTCCACCACTAAACAGAGTGAATATAGCAGTTTTTTGTGTAGCTGCCATCGTGAAAATTCCTTCTTCCTCCAGGAGTGTTGCTGGACACTTGCGGCCAAGTCCAGCAAACTAGCGAAGAAGACGACCCTCCAACTGCCCAAGTCACCTGTGTCACCATCCAGCGTGAAAGTCATATGACTGTGCCTAAGAAAGTGCAACATTGTACTTTTGGATTGCAAAGTGCTAAGGTCGCGCACAAATAACCACCGGCGGAGGCCAGCTGCTTGGACAGAATTCGGGAGAATGTCTGTGGCCGATGGTAAGCCTACGAGCCATCCGGGTTCCTCGCTTCTCCATCAATCGAGCAAAGGGTCAGCAACTAGAGGAAGAGGATGCAAGATCGGACGCGGTTTACCCCTCCAGCAGCGCAAGGCGTACAGAAACTTAGCTCGCCAAACACCACGTGTCCAGGGCTTAACGTTTGACCACAACCAGATTCGTTGGATTTCGTACTGGAAGAATGAGCAGAACAAGCAGGTGCAGAAACACTTTCCCGTAAGCCGATATGGTTTTCTTGGTGCCCGTCGCCTCGCCTTGGAGGAACGGAACCGTATCATGGGGCGGCCCCCCGATGCGGATGAAGCGGCCGAAGCAATAGCAAACCTCAGGGTGGATCCCTCAATACCATGCTTCTTAGAGTGGAACTCTCCAAGTCAGCAAGATGAAGTACAGGCGATTGAAGAGGAGGAGGCGACTTGCGCCTCTGCGGAAGGGTGGCAGGATGACGGCGACTCAGCAACAGACGCCCATAGATCCGAAATCAAGGTTACCGCGGGGTCTCCTTCACTGGAGGCTATCCCCATGTCTCCAAACTTAGCGTCAGAGCAATCTCCAGGCCAGCGGCATGACATTGAGGAAGTGACAGGTGGAACTATGCTGCACGGTTCTCTGGCAGAGTGTAATTCTGGATCGAAGTGCCCAGATAGTGCCTCTGCGGATCCGCTAGACTTTCTTCATGCGACTATGCAGCCTACAGGGGAGGCTACTCATTCAGATCCGCCAACTTCATTCCAGGTCGAGGGCAAGCAATATTCCATGGCGGTGGCCACGGAGGTGTTCCCTAGTAGCTCGAAGGCCGAGGTGGCAGACGAGTTCTTGGCGCATACGCTAACGCGCACGACCACGGCAGCCCCGGATGTTTGCAACGATAGACCCTTCATGTCAACAGACCGCACCACATCCTCAGCCTCTGCTGGCTTTGACGATGCGGACTTACCAACGGATGGCGGCCTTAATGTTATGACGCCTCCTTCCGTAAGCATGGAATCTACCAGCACAAGCGATCAACCCAAAACGTTTAAAAAGCCAGTACCTCCCGCGCTTTCCCCCCTTGCGGTTTCTTGGGAAGAGAAATTGACGAGCTGCGAGCTTAATATCGAGGTGAGGGCTTTAAAATAGCAAGGAGTTACCGAGAGGCTTTTTGTGAGACTTAATCCAGGCTGTAGCAGCAGTATCTGTGTTCTCTGGAAGTGCATGAGTGCTGCAGATGGGTCCCATGAACCTCTTTTGCACAACAGACGGAGAGCGCCTTCGCCCTTGCCGCTACCCTGTCACATTTGCCCACGGTGTAAGGCTACTGCCCTTTACGTCAGCTGTAGACTTCACTATGGGGGCAGTTTCTATCGGCCCCTTTTTTTCCACCAAACTCCCCTACATAAGCTTCCCCTAGGTGCTTCCTGCAGATCACCTTGAATGCGCTTTCAAATAGTTGTGTCGATGGGGAGGAAAAGCACACTAAGTAGCACGCGATGTGTTCCCATATCATCCTGTGCTTGCTGGGTGCGCAGACAACACGGGTGGCCTTCGGTGATCTAGAAGTCCCAGCACTCCCTTCCCTTTGTGACGCGTTCATCAATGGAGGATGCTTTTCGCCGAGCGGGGCGCCCAGCGACACAGGCTCGCCGGCCCGAGCTCTCTCTCGCGCAAGTGCAATGAGGGAGGTTTTTGAGTTCTGTGATTCTAGAAAGGATCTCTGCACCCGTTTAATCCATGACTTGTTCCAAGGCCTGCGTAATACAGGCATACAGTCAATGAAAGGCGGGAATTCTCTGCTCTTTGGAGCGGGGCTAATACCTACAGACATGAGGTGCCGCGACTTTCTGGAGCAGGAAGAAACTCTGCATATCTTGGCCATCGAAGAAGCCAAGGGTCTCGACCAGCTCGAACCATATCTGGAGATTTTCCGGCACTGCTTAGTTGGTGGCCTCATGCCGAGCCAGCTTCCCTCTGGGGAAATGGCCACTATGGTCTGGACGTTGCACTGTCGCGTACTCGTACCCTGGGGAAAAGTAAACGTTTTGAGGCTATCTGAGCAACAATTCGGGATGCCTACCCCGTACAGTCTTTCTCCATTCCGCGAGCGACAAGGCATGACTCATCGCCTCCTTGCTGGTGCAAGCAACCTTGGGGCCCGTCATCCGTTCGACATCCCTGCAGCGGTCGAGCTGGGTTCCCCCACAGCCGCTGTTGGTCGGACCAGCAACTTTGTTCCGCCACCATCGCTTTTTTTTGGGCCAATGCATGCACCCTCCTCACCCACTGCAGCCCTGTACGGTGGTTGTTTTGCCAACGCAACTGAACAAGAGCACTGCTCTTCTGAACTTTGATACGCATATCCTTTTTCAACCTAGAAAACCCTGAGGTGACTTCTTTTCGATTGTCTCATTGACATCGTAGAGCAACATGGGTTTGTTTGCGCGCTTAGTTAGGATTCCGTCCCCAGTTTGTCGTCCAGGTGTGAAGGAGATACCCAGAGAAGAAAGCACTGACTTTTTCGGGGTCAAAAAGGTTAAACAGGTTACACATTGACATTAGGGAAGGACGCACCGCATGGGTCCCCGTTCGTGCGCCAGAAACTTGCGATACAAGGCCTGGACTGATCTCACGCAGATATGGGACAACAGGAAGGTGCCTTTGCTACAGGAGGCGCGGTATCCTGGCCAGATAGTGAGCTTGGATCTGTCAGTTGCCTGAGTGAAGCTCGTTGGTCACGTGTAGTTCAGCGCAAGCCTTTGCCTTGGTGCTTCGGCGAAAACAGAAAAATGAACAAAGTGTAGTGACGAGTTGCGCACAGGGCGCTGGGTAACCATGGCAAGATGGGTGGAATTTGCAGAGTGAACTACTCAGTTACGGGGGATTCCAATTTTCTATCGGCAAATGTGAGCACCTGCTCTGGTAGCAAAGGAACTCAACACATGCGTGCTGTCTTGGTATTCAGGTGACATACACTACTGCATACACAGGCCTCTTTCTAGCTCTAGCAGTTGCATCCATAGGTTTTCCACGTGATCAGTGGAACAACCCTATCGTCACTTCTCTGCGCGCAATCCCGGAAGAAATACTTGCTGGAGCAGTTTATTGTGCCTAACAGACAGTCCCATGCTTGGGAACACAGCCCCAAGCGCCTTATCACGAGCCTGATGGTGCATCAAGTGTTTCGCTAAACCGCTACTGTTGATAGGCATGCATAGCGTCTTTTCGTGTTGCACATCTCTAAGGGCCATGTACCTTTAAGACGCGCTTAATGACGGGTCATGTAGCCGCGCACGTTGGTGGAACACCGATTGAGGGAAAATCTTACGGTAAAATGACATTTGTGATGATTCTCGCGTCGATACTGCCGCGCAAGAATAGTTTTTCTCTGCCTCTGATCGTTACCGAACGGGTGCTGTCTGCCGTGTATCCCATAGGTTAATCAGATATTAGTCTGTGACTGACTAGATGTGCAATTTGCGTGGCTATTGTTGCATTACGCATGATGTTCAAACTCTGATTGATGCGGATTTCCCCATGACTAATTGCTTTAACTTTATGTCCTCCATTTTGCCACAAAAAGACAAAATTGCAATGATCAACATGAACTACGAGACGCGTACGCAGCAGCTACCACATTAATTCTGTTTGCCCAATACAAACGAAGTTAACCCGCCAGCTGAGGAAAAGTCCGCAAGCACTGAGGAGCCAAAGAATGCCAGCGACGGCCTGCGGGTGTTTCCTGCTCGCTTTAAAGCCAAAAAAATATGTGCGACGCTCCAAAGATCTGCGGTTACTTTTTGTGCTTCTCCGCAATTATTTTTTCAATGGCCTTCCATTCCTGGTCTGGGTTTAGTTTAGGTTTCTTCTTATTCTTTCCAGGATTGAAGTCTTCTCCTGCAAGGCGCCTACCGTAGCTATACGCGCCCTTGGGCACAAACTCAATGGAGCTCATGTATTCCTCGTATGCCGCCTGAGAAGGGAACTGGTGGAGGGCTTTTTTGTGGCTTCTCTTAGGATTAATCACGTCTCGGTACTCCCCCGTGTCCATTATCTGCATTGATGAGTCGCCATCTTCGTCTTCGCTGTCAGCACCACCTCGTGTCAATAGCTGACCTCTGTCATATGCTGCATTCGCAATCCCATATCAGCAACAACCACATTTACTTCCCGCAGACGATGCCTGCCTTTCCCACGCCCAAAGAGAAAAATTCACGTGCCAGCTCAAGTCGACAGTTTTCTACCATTTGCGTGAGTTGTTCTAGGCTTCAATTCGATTAGTATTGGCAAAGGTCAATGACGATTCAACCATAGCCAAGATGACGTACAAGGATAGCACTCTGCGTAAGTGTCGTCTTCAGCCAGTGAATCCACGAAGAGTCGAGAAGACGTCGCCTGTGAACCTCTACCTGCAGAAGACGCAAAACAACATTCACAGCAGCAACTCGGTGCTCATTTCGGTTTATGGGCTACCCACGAGTAGCGCAGGGGTACAACTCCGTCTCCCTTCTTTGGGTAGCAGAGGCGCCGCGAAAGTATAGAGACAACAGGGGAAGAAGCTATGAGTGCCCACCTATGCCTCTATCGCCAGAACCGTCGTGTCTAGCTGCATCGCATGGAAGCCTCAATGCACGACACAATGCGGCTGAAGCACGGAGCCCTCATGTAACTCCGCGTTGTTACGGGCGGGAGGGGGGGGCGGTTGAAAATGATGCGAGGGAAAAAAAGTATGTTGAATAATGACACAATAGAGGGCCAAATAGAGCATTTACGAAAGTCTGGCAGATACATATTATCGACGCAGAGAGAAAAATTTTTGAAAGAAGAGAGCAAGAGGGGTTGCGAGCACCAGTTGGGATAGGCACAGACGTACGCGCATCGTTGGCACTTGTGGACAACGGCTGTTCGTCATCGAGCTCCATCTCCCCCTCCTCACGAATCCAGTCGGCTCTGCGTTTTAATAAAGAAGTGCATAAACCAACATGCACATTGATTCATGAGTCAAGGTACCTCAAACTGCACTGGCCTTGACAGCCTTGCCACAGGACAAACCACGGGAGAAGACGGAATGCAAGTGCTCACGTTTTCGCGTCTCCTTCCCTAACCTTGCCTCCTGCCGCCTCTGCCGCTACTTCCGCGAGCACGGCACTCGCATCGAAGCGGCCGACGCCAGAGAAGATGCTGCAGAGCAGCGGACAAAGAATAAATACCACCAAGCCCAACCCTTGTTTTTCGTCCACGTTGATACACTTGTCCAATCAGCTTCCCACTGGTGCCATATGATGACGCCCGTAAAGCAGAAGGGATGCACCCGTGCGTAACAACTAAAACGCTAGAAAAAGCTGCCAAGGATCCTTACTCAGCATCTGCCTGTGCTTCTCCACCTTCGTCTCGCCCCCCTGAAGCCGCCTGCCGACCCGTTGGTCTTCTTGGAACTGCGTTTATTGCAAAACAAAAGAGCAAGCCAAAATAGGGCTTGGCGGAAGGACGATGCGTTGCTCTCTGCAGGCTGCAGCTTCTGCTGTTGCTGATACACTGGGTACACGTATGACACATACAACTGGTACGGTGCACTGGCGTAAAACTAGGATGCAGAGGAGTGCAGTCATTTGTGGCACGCTAAAAAGTGAGTTCTGATCACAGAAAGGAAAGACTACAGTGGACCAAGGGTGGCTGCCTCACGTCTCTCCTCCTTCTTCTTTTTTCGATTCTCCCGATGCCATGCCAGGGCCTCGGTCAATTCCTGCATAAGCGCTAGAGAAAGCTAACCGCGCGCTTCGAGACACGCACAGACCCTCTTCTAATACATTGACGCCCACACAACTTCTCAACTCTAGTGTTAGCTCTAGCTCCTTCCCTCCTCCTTGCATATGCCCTCATAAAAACCCTCTCGCTCCCTCTTTCGCTTCATATACCTTAAGAAGCTTGGTCTGGATGGGGGCCGCCGATGCCTTGGCCTTCTCCCTTTGGCTGCTGGTGCCGTCAGCCTCCTGCAGCAGCGCGCTGCGTCTGAGAAAAGTGGGAAGAAAGCCGCCTGAGGAGGCCCCAGGACCCACCAGAAAGCTGTATGACAGACACCCATTGCCAAAGCTGTCTCTTGCACTTGAAGCCGGGAGCGACAGACCCTGCAGAGCCACGATGCAGCACTAATGAGCTCACATACATCAAATAGGCGGCTGCCAGAGCAACGAGAAGGCAAAGAAAGTGTGTGAAGCAGCACCAGCACGCACACAGCTGTACAAAAACATATATGGAACAAATGTATGTAAACATGCACGTGAGTGGCCCTTAAGTCAACAGCGCATTGCTGATGCACAGTAAAGCCCTTACAGTCATAATGCGCATCTCGTAATTCGACAGTTTGTCCCTAAACCTGGCGGCATGGGGATGTAGAGTATCCAGTAGGAGGTGGAAGGCCCTACGGAGCCGTGGGTTATGGATCTGGAGAGCCGCCTTCCCTCTTAACTTGTCCTGTGGAGCCTCCTCTGTCTTGGGCTTGCGCTGTTGCTCTTTACTCAGCTCGCCTCGCACCTTCGCCAGCAACGCCAAATCGAGACCCTTCACCAAGTGGGTGTGCTCGATGTCTCCTCCCTGGCATGCAGAGCAGCATTGAGAAACAAACCAGCACAGCAGACAAAGCAGCTGAGCACACAGCAGAGGGGACACCCTCTGGAGTGAAAGTGCTCGAGAGCAAGAGCACTCCCCACCAATCCTCCCCCTTTCCTATCCGCCATTCCCTCTTCACTATTCCCACCGCTGTCTCTCCCCCCGCTAGAGTTACATGTGCCTTGCTGAGGTCTTGTGGGGGGAAGCGAGCGGTCGACCCTTTAACGACAAAGAAAAACCCACGACGGTACGATTGTAAATAGCCTTACTAAGAATTTGGACTCCTCCACTGATCTTTCTTTTATTTCAGCCAATTCCTCAGCGACATGCGCATAAAATGCCTGCTTCTGCTTTCGCCTCTCATCGGCTCTGTCTCGGTACCCTCCACCACCGCTGGTGCCCTCTATACCACCATTCCACAGTATCACATCCCACCAAAACAATACAGTCAGCAAGTAACACGCCTGCTGCTCTGTAGCAGCACCTGCACTACCTCGCGAAAATTGTCGCCTTTATAGAGCGCTCACCCGCATCTTTCTGGTTCTTCTGCTGTTTTCGCTTGAGAATCTCAATGTACCTCTCACGACGCCGCTGCTGAGCTGCACTTACGTGCCCAGGAGGGCGCTGCTGCTGTTGTTGCGGCTTTTTCCTGATACAGCGCAGTGGGTGGGAGCACATCGTCGTGCAAAGAAGCACACTGATCGGCGTAATTTAGGGACACATGCACTGTCTCTCAAATTCTTATACTAAAGGAGTGCACAAGGGAGCAAGATGCTAGCTGCTTACTTCTGTTCTCTTGTGGTGGCGAGTACTGAAGCATCTGCTGCGTTCAGCAGCTGCCGAAAGTCCTGGTTGCTGAGTGCCATCTTTGAAGAAGGGCCTCAGAGACTCAATGACGAAGATCGAATCGCATCAGGAGTCCTTGTGAGCGGACAAGAGATGGGATGTATCCTGGTACAACGTTGCAACTAAACCCTGTGCGAAGGGAGAGCTTCCTGCAGGCTGCTGCGGTGCTGCCTGTGGCGAGGCTGGAATGTTCCCTCTTTGCAGAATTTCAGGTCTCGTGCTTTCTTGACGGTGTGAAAAGAGGTTGGCTAAGAGTAGCTTGGACCCTTCGCTTCCAAGAGCTGCCCAGCAGGGGACCCCCACGAAAGAATCTCCGTCATGTAGACAGCAGTGGATGAGCAGGCGAGCACCCTACCTATAAAACAATAGAAAGGTGAGGCACCTGAGGATGCCAAGTATACATTAGAGGACCATTAAGCAGGGCAGCCTCTATGGCAGCGTTCCACTCTGAAGAGCATGCGGAATGCCAGAAGAAAGAAGGGCCTCTTTCCCTGCCTTCCCGGCGAAGCTTCTTAATCCTCTTGAAAGCGGACTGCCAAAACAATGCGAACACTGCAAAGAATAGCGTAACTTGTAGGACAGCTGGAGGAGTCCAACAGCGGCGGTAGCGGCCTGGAGGGGCCCTCAGCCGCTGCATTCTTGTGGTTGTGGTGCTGTCTCCGCCACAAGAAAATAGGAATTTGTTATAGTCATAGCTCTCGTGATATACTGGGTATGTGCAGGGGCACATGAGCAATGAGCCACTGTCTTGGAATGATTATTCCCAGCCACGACCTCTGTCACTGCTGCATAGGAATTGCTACAAACCGGAAGGCTTCGCAGCGCAGAATGACCCTCTGCTTTCTGCAGGGTGCTTATATACCTCTCGTGAGCGCCTGATCAATAAAATCGGGACTCGCCACTTGTCACATCTAGCGGTACGGACTCGCCTCTCTGAAGGGGGAAGGGGCAGCTGGGCACCCATAAGAATCCGTAGGGGGATTGGCTCGTCATGGAAGGACAAGAGATTGGCGGGAGATTCCCGGGGTCGCCTCCAGGCGAAAACTCCCAGGCCACGGCCTCGCACCATGAAAAGCGGTCTGCAACAGCCGCCACTGCTGCTGTACCTCAGTCTGAGCCTTGCATCACTGCGGAAGAGAGTGGTAGGAGCGTCAAAGGCGATAACAAAAGCATGCGACAGCCGGCTTGGCGACTCCCTTGTGGGTCTAATAAGGAGGCACTGTACTCCCTTCGCTCTGTAACGGCTTTTCCGCAACCGTTCGCTGCACCTCCTCCTCTTTTTTCTCCTGGATGCCATGTGAGAAATTCTAGGAGCGTAGGAGGTTTTTGCTTCAGCGTCTTCCTCGCTGCCTCCTGCTATTTGAGTCGGTAGTGGAGTCATGAACAAGACCTCCTCCCCCCTCCTTCCCTGATTCTTCCGCCATCACCCCTTAAGGCCCCCCTATTTCGCGTCTCGCTGTCTCTCTCTGGCGATGCGACTCTCAGGTTCTCCAGCGCGTCGCAGAGTGCCGTGTCTTGGTAGTGGGAGCCGGCGGCCTTGGTGAATGTTATTTTATGCTATTCTTTTTTTCTCTCTCCAGAAAGGAGGAGTGCTGATCCAGTTGCTCTGCTGCTTAGAGGCTCCGCTCCCCAGCGACGCCCCACTCGCCTTCGGCTCCCTCCGTAGTTCCGCCATGTGCGATCTTGTATCTGTGATATCTGCTCATTTGCAGCGGCTGCTGCGGATGTGTCAGGTATTGCTATACGCAGGCTGCGAGTTGTTGAAAACCCTGTGCGTAAGCGGCTTCCGGGACCTGGCTGTGCTTGACTTAGACGTCGTGGCCGTTTCCAACTTGCATCGCCAGTTCCTTTTCAGAGAGGAACACGTGGGGAAGTTCAAGGCGGCTGTAGCAGCTGAAGTCCTCAATACCCGCTTCGCTCACCTCGGAGTCCGCATTGAGCCGTAAGCACTGCCTTAGGCGACCTAGAATGCGACGCCCTTGCAGCTCACTGCCTAAAGTCTACAAGTGCAACCGTGAGCTTTTAGAGTTGCTTGGCGCGCAGTGAGCTGCTCCCCCAGTGTACAGCTTTCGACCAAGAAAATCTTCGTCACTTGCTGCGCCTGTGACAGCCATGGCGTGTAGTTGGCTGGGATGACTGGGGCCCTCATGGGAGCATTCGACCTTTAGACGCCTACAGGACAGCAAAATTTCGGGAAATTTTGTGTGTGGCTTCGTGGAACCACGGTGCAGACACTGCTGCAGGCTGCAGGACAAGCCTCTCTCTTTCTTCCGTGGCTTTGGTGTCGTTATTGGAGGCCTCGACTGTGTTGAAACACGACGTTGGCTTAACAGTCGCATGCATCAGCTGGTGTGTGGCTGCTACCCGCCGCTTCCTGTCATGCTGTCGCTGACTACTTTTCGATTTGCCCTTGTCAAGCGTACAGCGTATGCCTCCCGGGGCTCTCGAACGTTGCTATCGTTTCAAGCTGCTGCCTGCGGCTCCTTTAGAGCAGTCTCACGGGAGCAGTAGGTGGGTATGCATACGCACAGCCCATAGTCGCCCCGTGCTCCTATGATTCAGGTTGAACGAGACAGCATGGGGGCTATTTCGATGGAAACAGCACCACTTCTCTTGGATGGAGGCACTGAGGGCTTGCGCGGCCAAATGCGATTTTGTATCCCTGGGGTAACGGCATGTTATGAATGCGGAATAGGAACCCTCGCCCTCCAGGTAGGCTTCCACTGTGAGAAACATGTGTTGAACGCTTACTTGCGGTGCGAATTGGTGGACACACAACTCGTCTGTCATCGTTGCAATGCATCGTTTGAGCCAGTGCTGCGAGATTGCCACGTGCAGGCGGCTTACCCCCTTTGCACGATCGCCACCACTCCCCGGCAGCCCGAGCACTGCGTTGGTGAGTCACCACAGGCTGGCTATTCGCTTTGCCATCCACGTCAATCTCCCCGCAGTGCGACACTCAACAAGATAGGAACTGCGTCTTGAGCCTACCATGACAGGAAACGGCTACTGCGGAAGCCTTTCCCTTCCTTAATTGAAGATCTATACGCTGCCACATTTTATGCCGCTGCAATTGGGGTGCTTCCAGTGCAGCTCGCTGCTGCTCGAATGGCCAAACAGGGGTGGCCTGGCGAACTCTTCCATTCTGTTGTGACGCGGTGGTCCTGCGCAGCCAACCGTTGATTTGGAGTTTTGTGGTTCTTTGTGCGTTTTGGATGTGTCCAGAGTACTGTCTAGTGGTCCAGTGGGTTAAGGAGCATCCGGATGAGCAGATAGTGCGCTGATTTACTCCTAAGACATGCCTCGCTCGTTGTCTAGACCCCATGAAGATGCATGTCAACAGAATGCTGCACGAGTGACTCCAGCACTGCAGTTGGGCGGCTGTATGTTCTGCTTTTCGTGCGCCGCAGGATCTGGACAACCCCGATCACCTTTCATGGCTTTTTGCAGCCTCAAAGAGCCGGGCGGAGAAGTTTGGCATTGAGGGAGTTACTTACAGGCTTACAACTGGGGTTGCTAAGGTAGGCCTTGTCCTGCCCAGCAGTTGGCGACTGTCTGTCAACGCAGATCGATCTGATATGGTTTGATGCTTTCTCCTCATACCCGAAATTCCAAACCTCAGCTCAACTGTGTGTGCCTCATGACTTTGCGCAGCGGATTGTTCCCGCGGTTTCGAGCACAAACGCCATCGTCGCGGCCTTGCTGGTGCAGGAGGCTTTCCGCTTCAAAACCTTCTGCTGCTGCAGCGCCGCTGACCGGAGCGATGATGGCGAGCTAGAAAATTATATCATGTACTCGGGAGACGCACAGACGTATATGCACACGTTCGCTCTCGAACGGAACCCAGTAAGGCACAGAACACCGCATTTGAGGGACGCAGCCCTGTGTGATCGGTACCCCGAAGTTTTGCTTTCCAGCGAATAGTGGACGGGCGCTTTACCGCTGGAGCACTAAATTCTGATAATGCTGCTCGTGCTGGTCGCTATTACACTCAGGATTGTCTCGTGTGTAGCCGGCGGGAGCTTCACATACCCGCAGAGAAGAGCTGGACGCTGGCGCGACTTTTAGAGGAGTTGCAGAAGCAGGCCCATTTAAACAAGCCGTCCATTCGGGGGCCACAGGTGCTCCACAAGATTCCTTGTCTGCCAGGCTCATCCACCAGTTAGACCCCTTGAGCAGAGCCAACAACAGTGCAGCTTAGTCCGTGCAGTAGTCGCGCGCTGGAGACAGCAGATGTCAGGCAAGCCCTCTGTGGGTACGAGTTGTCCCAGGATTCTGCTTCGCTGGTGTTCTCAGGACTTTCTGTTCATACAGAATCCACCGTCGCTACGAGAGCAGCATGAATGGAAGCTCGATCTGACCATTGCGTATGCCACACTCTATGCAGTAGTCCCTCTCACAACACTTTACAGCAAATTACCATCGCAGCTCCTTGGTGCTGGCAATGGTCTCAGGACGTTCTCTGCACTCCTGCGCACATAGCTTCTACGCTTTGCCAAAGGGCATTACTTCTGCTTCAGTTAATCGCAGGGTAGCGGAGTCTAGAGGCATCAACTCTCTAGAGCGCAACAGCAGAGGGAGCTGACTGATCTCTAAAGTCCGGCTTGTTTTGTGCCTCAGAGAATTGTTGGAAAAGGGCCTCCTTAGTGAGAGTCAGCCCCTCTTCGTCACGGATCCAAGTTTCACATCAGGGATTGAGCTTTTCATATTCGATAAGGCCCAGCAATAAGGGCTTGTCGAAGACTAAACTAGGCAGCTGAAAGCCAGCTGGCAAACAATGCTGCGTACTCGCATGAGAATGCGCTGCCTTTGTTTTTTTGTAGTTTAGCGGCACTCAGAAGGCAGGGTAGGTTTGTGAGAACAGAAATTCACTTATATGCTTAGGAGCGCACTAGCCCTTCCTTAAATTTGTAGCATGGCAACTTCATATATATATATATGTATACGCTTGTATCTGATTCGTAGACTGCTCAACACCGAGGCCCTTTGGCTGATCTAGGGAACTTCATGCGGCTCGTACCATCAGAAACCCCAACGAGCTCTTAGGGATCCCCAGGCTGCCAAAGTTTTGAGCACAACATAAAATGGAGGGCATGTGTAAGGACGATTAGGCAGAAAACAACGATGGAAGCACACCAGCGCCTCCACCTGCTGCGGAAATGTGTAGAGCAGCTTTTATAGAAAGTTGCCACAGTGAACTATGGCACTAAAACTTGTAGGAATGTGTGGAATTGAATTGCCAGATTCTGGCATCTTGATTCAGACCATGTGCACGCATCAGCTGCACCATAGTCTTCAAGAAAAATAGGGTTCGATTAAACCCATGGTACTATATGCAGCAAGAACCATGGACGTCTGTCAATCTCAATAGACACCCATTGGCCGCTCTCTCCAAATCCATTACGATATCATGTGCAGTTCATTCACGATGCATCTAATCGCTAGAGTTTGGAACGGAACACTCCTTCCCCGTCCCCCTTCCCCCCATAACATGCCTGCATCCCAACCGTTGCCTCTGCTGTGCCATATCCATACTTTAACATGCGCCTTTCTCCGGGGGGTTATGCGCTCGGGATTCTTAACTTGCCTCCGCCACAGGGGAAGAAGGTTTAGCATTAGCCGACTTAGGGACTTTAAAGCTTAGGTCCTTCATCTTCCAGCAACCAACAAAGCCGAAATTTACCCACTTGGAGCCAGAGAGCACCATGAGTTGCCCCTCGGGGCCAATGATCCACAGGCGGTTTCGCTCATCAAACGTTAAATCTGTTAACCTCAGTGCCCCCGGAATATCCTGCACAATCCACAATGGATCCTCAGCGTATAGCAGCGAAATGGCTGACTTCAAACCTTCAATGCGGAACAGCTGTCTTGACAGTATCCGCATCATGCACAGAACAAAGTGTACGCTTCAAGCAGTCATCATGCCATAAATTGTGGTGTCCTTAGAGTGTATCTTGCTTGTACATCTACTCACCTTTACGTCCCATTCCTCCTCTTGCTCGTTCCAGACCGCCAGCTCACACGCCGTATTGAGGGCCCACAAATTACCCTTCCGATCAAACGTAATGGCCTTTAGTTTGTGGAAGCCGTGCTGCGCCTTGCGGTCCAATGAGTATCCACTCCATCGCAACAGCTCTCCCTGAGAAGTCACCATAATTTTCAAGAAAACCTGAGGTGTGAGGAAAATCCCACTGAAAGTGAATGCCCAACGACAACACCAATGAGAAAGCGCCGTGAAGCCCTGCAGCTTTGCTGCATTCAATAAGCTATTCAAACCTTAATATAGCCTTAATATGCAATGTTTAGCTAGCGGTTGAATCGAGATCCCTGTACGTCCGGTTAAAGGAATTTGGAACCGATTACTAGCCACTCACAAGGCGGTTAACGGCCCAGAGGGAGCCGTCTAGAGGATTAAAAGCCAGATCCACCAGATATTCATTGCCGAGCAGGCCCAAAGATCTGAAGCCTGAGTTGGTCAGGCGACCAACTTCCCAGTTGTCGTTGATGCACCACAGTCGCCCTTCCTGCAGTCACACGCAATCAGGCAAGGAAGATCTGGTGACCTTTCGGTAGCCTTCACACTCCTCATAGGGGTTCTGAGCTTCTATTATACGCGTGCACGACACTGGTGCATCTTACAGGATCATGAGTCAGCTTGATAAAAGCCACGCCTCCTACACGGCGACATTTCCACTGGAATCCAGTCCAGTTGCCAAGATCCCCGTTTTCGCGCAGAACAACCAAGTTCTTGAACGTCTAAACAAACACCCGAAGACCCCTATCAAGAGCTATATATGGTCTGATAATTTGGCGGTAATCTATCACCATTTTAGGAGGCTCAGCATTGAGCAAATCGATCCGGAAGGAGTGGTGAATGCGAAGTGAGAAAGGAATATTAGGACAACAGCTTACTCCAAAGCCTCCTTTGATGGCCAAATCCTCTTCAATCTCGTCATCTTCTCCGCCATCGACTTTGCCCTAGGCAAAGAAAGGCATGCGCGTTTCTTCCAGAAGTTCAGATGAACGTAAATCTCTTTCGTCTTACCGTAGCTATAGCAGCGAAGTAAGGTGGAGACCCTGTTTTCGTGATATATGTCTTTTCCAGGGCTAGTAACTACAAGAGGCTGCTCTTACCTACGTGCGATGCTCTGCTGAGTGTGGCGAAAGGGACAAAGTTGCACTTACACGGGTTTTTCGTGTGGGTCTGTGCACAACCAGCTTCGGGGCATGCGGATGAACGGGCTTCGAGGGAGACGGTTGCTGCTGCATCTTGCCCATGGGCGGGTGGCTCATGTCGGGCCTTCCATGATGACCGTCGCCAATGCCGAATTCTGGAGGTGGCCCTGCCCGCATAAATCCGCGCATATCAGGCGGGCCTCCAGTTCCGCCGCCCCCTTCCATAGATCTCTGAGGCGCCTCAAAGTGCCCTGACGGACCACGCATCATCTGCATCGGTGGTGCCCCCATGGGGCCCCCAGGACGACGCATTTGCGGTCCAGGGCCTCCTGGTCCACCCATTTGAGGCTGCATTGGTCTACCAGCTCCTGGTGGACCACTGGGTCTCATAGACATCGGACCTCCAGGAGGCCCGCCCATTGGACCACCCATTGGACCTCCAGGTGGTCCACCCATAGGACCACCGCGTTGGCCCCCCATGGGTCCTCCCGCGAATCCTCCCATGGGACCCCGTGGAAAGTCGCGGAAACTTCCTTGGGCGTTGATCCCTCCAGGCCTTGGGCCTTGAGGTCCTCCAGGAGGCCCGCCAGGCCCTACTGGCCGCATTGCGGGCCCCCCAATTTGCTGTACCCCAGGAGGTCCGGGCCTTTGGGGGGCGTTCATAGGTCCTGCCATTCCAGGACCTCGTGGCTGTTGCTGCATTGGCCTTTGGGCTGGGCCGCCCGGGCCGCTAGTTTGGCCTGGCTGGCCCCTAAAGGCCGGGGGACCGCCTGCTTGAGGAGGAGGCTGCATGGCTGATAAGTTGTCGTAATATGTAGATGATTGTGCCCTTGTTTGTCTGTCACTGTCACTGGCGCTTCATGCAATGCGATGGGACATAAGGCTGCACAATACACACAATACGGCAGCCTCTATGTTTGTCCTACGTCATCCAATGCGTAGACTCAGGATTAGAGCTATGCCTGGAAGGAAATGGAGAAAACAGATGGCCCCAAGGAGGGGTGAGGCATGTGCCCGTTGGCTCGATGCTGTGCGTGCAGGGTGCCTCCGGCTCAGGGGAACGAAGGACGGCTGCTATTGGGGTAGACATTTGGCAGAAGACTTACCATTTATTTGAAAAACAACTTAAATCGGGATGCTCACGCCAATACCAAACAGCGAGAGGCTCGGCGGTGGCTCAGGTAGCGACGGGCGAAAGACGGGTGGAGCTAAGATGTACCGCGGAGCCCCTACTGAAGGCTGTGCACGACAGTTTATCCTTCGTTTCACGATATCACCGCTGCTGGTCAATGCAAACCACTCATTTTTGCTGCTTCTTATACCTTCCAATGAAAGGAAGCCATTGGCCCAGCACCGACATAGCACCGCCGACCGGTGGGCGCCTTCTGGGCCGCCGCCCCAAAGGCCACGTGGCTGGACCAGCCGTGATCCTGTTGTTTCCTTGCTTGCTGTATTCCAATTTCAAAAACAAATTGGTGGGCATCAGTAGTGGAGTAGCCCTCCATATTGAATGTTTTGTGGCGATTTTCCACTACACACCGGTATACTACTTATTTTACAAACGGAACTTCTTATGGGGACTTCCGGATCATTCACAGGGTCCCTTGACACTCCCTCTACAGGCATCCAGAAGAAGTGTGTGTGTTACAGTCAAACTCATTCAAGCCTGAACAAATTGATGCACGCATTGGGGTACTCGTGTCCCCTTTATGAGGCCCTACAATATCCTGGAATCTCAAACTGCCGAATGAAGTTGAAACCCATATGCTGGAGTTCTGCCTTCACTAGCATACGCATCCTGACTGAGCCAATGAGAACAGAGCAGAATGGAGGGTCTAATGGCGTGTCTCGGCTGGCCCGATTTGGCCTCAAATCTGTTCGAGAAGGCCAAGCTAGTGGGTAGCTTACATCTCTCTGGCCCTCCATCTAAGGCCTCTTTAGGGACGCTCCAATATCCAACTCAATAAAAGCTTTATACACAGGCATCGAGTGTTGTTCCAAAAGATATTTCCCCCTAACCCTGCAATCTCTGGCGAGTTCAGTGTTCTCGGCAATATTTGCTACACTACTTCTACTCAATAAGCAGCAAGAAAGTGACTGCTTGTATTGTCTGTTCTCACACACTATTTATTATGGACTAATGCTAGCTCAACAGGGTAAGAAGCAATGCTGGGGGTCCTGTAGTAGATGCAAAGTGCAACTAACTGTGCTCGGATCGCTTAGACGGTGCAGCTACACAAACCATGGCTGTCCCCCACCGCTCATGTAAAAGCCCCTGATATGGTAAAAATGTAGACATGCGATGAACACCATTAGCATGTCGGACACTCAAACCGAAGATCCTATTCGCTGCCAAGTAATGATACATTCTAAATTAACCTCGGGGTCACTCAGTTGCTCGAGCGTGCCACCTACCTGTCATTGAGGGGTGGAGCCTGTCACGTTTCACCAAGCTCTCAGTAAGGAAAAATTTAGCCTCAGGTGTGTTGCAAATTTAATGCAAAGCTATTGGATGCCTTCCCAGGATAACTCTCTTTTTCCCTTTGTCCGCGCCTCTATAGTTGCCGATCTACTGGGAGAGGGATAATTAGGGTGCGGCGTTGCTGCTGCCCCACAGCACTCTGAGTTTTAGCAGCTAGTTGTGCATAGCATCTTGGATATACTCTCGGATGATTCCGTCTTGTTATGCCGAGTTAATAGCCTTCTGCAAAATATAGGATAGACGAACGCACAAACCAATTACTCAATCTACTATTGATTCTGCGATATTCTATAACCAGTGTATTAGAGAGTATTTAGGTGTAGCGTAGCCCGATCGACATTTTTCCATGTTCAACGCATGCCCTTGTTTTGCACCCGTCTGTTAAGAGTATTTGCATGCTGGATAATGGAGGAGTTCCTGCCCTTTCTGAACTCCCCAGGCAGGGAGGAACACGAAAAGTAACCCGACTGGAAAGCGCGGCACTGGCACCAGCCTTCGAAGACAAGTAGCAGGGAGGGAAAAATCTAACCCTAGCCAACAGTGAACGAACAACCAAACAAGCGAGACCGTAGGAGCACAATGGCTGACTGCCGTCGGAATGCTGAAAATGTGAGTCGTCTCCCAAGAGAAAACGACATCAGTAAATTGTGCAAAGGGAATGAATTTCACGCTAGTTCACAGTGCTATCTTGCTTCAAACAACCAACTCTGCACGCTAGTGCATCCGATGCACGAAGCATAGTCGACTTGAAGGCCCCAAAACTGGCTTAAGAAAGACTTTAAGGACAACCTACGCGGGAATTTCTCTGCAGAAATCTGAGTCTGGTAAACATCATAATAATGGCCGGAAACGTGTCAAGTAACATCTATTGATAAAAGTAACCGCTTCATGCAGTGCCTGCCCTAAAGAAAGAAACTGGTCAAGGAACTGGAGGAATGACGTCTAGGCGACTAGCGTTGTTTAACTAACAGACCCGTATATTCTCCAGCAGGTAAAAATGCCTAGAGCTGCTCCCCCAGAAACCACTTAAGTTGGCCTTCCCCATCCAATCTCACAAGCAACTACCGTCAAGTGTCATCAGCACTTGATAGTCCTAGTATCCAGCGTCTCTACGTTTTCCTGTGGATCGTTCACCTTCACAGGAATTAGCTGCGTACGTGGCAAATTTCACGAATACTTCGGAGAGTGTTCTAAACTTTGAAGGAACCCAATACTAATAGCTCTGCGGCAACTTTAAGTTTTGGGGCGATTGACAAAGTATAAACTAGCATTGATTTTAGAGAGAATCACGAATATTCCTAGCCAAATGGCCACTCAGATCTTCGTCTGGTTACCTGGTGCTCCTTGCAGAGCCTGCTGACGCATCAGGACCTGATGTTCACACTCAAATACACAGCCAACCCCGCGTATCTTAATTCCAGTACTTCTCTCGTTTGAGCCCTGCGCGTACCGTTGGGTAGACCAACCAGCTGCATTCTGAGATCGTCCGCTGCTGAAGGCATGTCAGCCTTGGAGTACGAAGCCTAGGCCGGGACCAGAGAGGAAATCCTTCTTGTGGACCAGAGAGGTGGAAGAGCGGCTAGTAGGAAAATTGTTGTCCAAAAATGCGCCCAGTCTGCAAAATAAAAATAAGCCAAGAAATTGAATTGGTCTGAGCATCAAGTCGCATATGCTGTAGAAGAATGCGGTTGGTGAGCTCTGTCTACCCATCTGCCTCAGCGTGGTTTGCAGTGGCCCTAGTATGATCAATACGTAGGCGGGCCCTAGATCACGCTAGAACGCACTTACAAACATTGAAAATTAATATCAACCAAGACTCGTGAGGCGTTTGTTACGCTTTCAGACATAAGTAAGAATGATTGAGCGACTTCCTGAGCCGTCGTAGAGCTGGAGCAAGGGTTGAAATGTGCATGTTTGCTGAGTCTGTCACAATAGCGTAAAAGCTACCGTGGCCATTGGCCTCCGATAGACCAAAAGCAAAGTCCATATAAGATCTGTTCAGAGCCTTTTAGGAGCCGTTGTTTTGCAAAAAGAGCTGGCTTTGTTAAAACTGGGCTGCTGGAGCTGCCGATAATTCAGACATGAGAGTACATGCTCCCCTGCCGCGGGACACATTCCAGGACCCCATGAGGACCACGAGAGCTTGTTCTCACGGATTCCACAATAGACTGAACGGACAGGGTTATCTGCCTTGCGTCAAAAAGGCACTGCACGGATCTAACATACAAGTCACGGACCTTGCTTGTACCGCTCCGTTCAAACTCTTCGTATGAAGAGATTTAACTCCAGACTCAATAGAAACTCAATAGGTAGTCATAAAATTTCTTGTTAGAGGCGCTTTCTCCTTCACCACGGCCTTCAAGAATTCCGACATTGGCAAAAAGGGACAGCCAGGGCGTGTATCTGCATCCTCTTGAGTACTCGGATAATTCGCACCTGGTTGCTCATTACACCTAGTCCACATGCAGAGAAGACTAGCTTATATAGTATTGAGATAACGCAATTCTGCGATGAATAAGGTCACGAAGAGACAACCCAATTATTCGAACTTTTGCGAAAGATTCTTGATAAATTAAATACAACTAGCTTAGCGCAAAAACTACAACGTTACTGGTACCAGAGCAACGGATTCTGCAATCCAATTTCGGTGGCTTGCCAATTCTGTAGTTCTGCTGTCAGTCCGTATGCCAAAGTCTCAGGGACTCTTCTTAACGTTTGAAGAAGCAGACTGCACTTCTGCGCCGTCTCATCGAATAACAGATCCACTTCGTATCCAGTGTCAACAAACGCTAGCATTTTTTGGACCAATAATACCAGCTTATATTAGCTTAGAACCGACCCATGATGGGTCTCCAACTGCGGCTGCATCCTCTGCAGGACCGTCACTGAGCCTCAGCCTGAAGGGGGGTGATCCTGATTCACCGTTTCTGCTCGCCAGGCAATCCCACCTGCTGGGCCTATTTTTCTCGTTCCTGTCTTGTGAATACAGCATGTGTTTGCATTTCCGAATTCTCTTTCCCAATTTCCCTCAGTGGAAACAGGTGAGTTGTTGAGAAGCTGTCTGAAGCTGCTCAGGAGTTCAGGTTCCATTTGGCATTCTTTTCTCTTTCCTCGTTGACCTTTTGCTAAAGCTGGCTGACACGGTCCCAAATTTCATAGGTTCTAAACTCCAAGTCTGTTCTTCCTTTTCAGCCCAAGACACAGGACGTGCACTCATTTGCTTCTGACATCTCAACTTGTGTAGCGTTCGTGCAAACCTCACCTGTTAGATATTGGATCGCGGAGTCGGTGACAACACCGCGACCACCACATCACACCTCCGGAAGACCAGACACAAGCCACTTATAAAGTGCCGTTCGTGTATATTGTGACCTTTGCGACAAAGCATTGAGAGGTTGATAGATTTACATAATTCAGTGAGCCCAGTTCCTTCATAAATTTCATTTGCGCTAATCTTTGGATAAATTTTCCTGGGCGTGAGACTTGTGGTACTGCCTGGAGGCGAATGTCCTTTACATAAAGAGAGCGACCACTAAAGTGTTCCTCCCTCATGCAAACAAGCAGCAAAGAGCACTTAGTTCTCTTCGTCTGCAGGGTTTAAAGCGAGTTACATCTTTAGCTACCTGATGAAATTTCCCAGTACTTGCCCATGGTACCGCGGAGATACTTCTCTGATCAGCAGAACCTTTTCAACGCACCAAAAAACCTTTATAGGTTTACAGTAAATGCGTTTCATACAGTACGAGCGTTCAAATAATCCTTGCAGGCTTGGTTGTGCCGTGTCAATGGGCGTTCTGCCGAAGTCTGCTTCCGTTACCAGGGGGTTTCTTTTTCAGATTGTTGTTCAACAGAATTTATTGATTAACCTACGGATGCCTTGATCCAAACCAGGCATACTGTGAGTAGTCATGAAGTCTCATTGCATCCACAACCAGTCAATGAGGGGTAATATTTGCATCAAGCTACGCGATGCTCCCTCTAAGCTCTCCTCGGGGGAACACCCAGCTCCACACTCAAGTCAAAATAGAGTTTTTGAGTGCTTTCCAAACGAAATCCCTCCTTCCCGTCCCCACGTCTCCCAGATTTCTCTTCATGATGGTAGAGGGGCAGCTAGGTTGCGCGTTGCTACATCTTCTAATAACTCAGAGCATTCACAGCTAGTTGCGCATAGCATCGAGTGCACATGCATGGAACGTTGAGGCTTCCTGCACTGTCTCAACAGCACCCTGCAATAGATGAGGCATATCGATTCGTCCTTTCTTCGCCAATTCTTATCACAGCATGGCTATTGCAGTACGAAATAATTAGGTGGAACTTCGCCCGCTACACCGGCAATACAACTTAAATCTAGGCAACGATATTGGCATTCACAACATTGCACACGGATTCATGTTGTCAATAGGACATGTAGCGCGGCTATGCACGTAGCTGAGCATCCACGGCGTAAATTTCGTTGGCGACTATGCATGGAGAAACTGTGGATGGGACAAGAAAACGGAGAGGCGGCTTTACCGGAGTAGTGGACGAGTAGGCGAGATGCAGGGCTCAATAGCAGCCCAGTGATATCCAGAATGTATTCTCTATCTAGGCATGAGTGATCACTTAACGGAGAGACAGAGAGAGGGAGCTCACGGCGAGTACATTTACCGAGGCCTCCAACAGACAGGCATGCTGGTTGCTCTGAGAAGTAAAAGAATAGTTAATTGTCTTAATGTGGACTTCTTGCTTAAAATTTGTTTTATTGTGAGTACAGCAAGTAATATGAAGCGAATGTTTTGAGCTGCGGCTGTCCATGTTTCCGGTTTCCCTTGATGCCTATGGCAGTCCAAAAGCAGCTTCTCCCCTTAGTCCGATATTGCGCAGCTTCTGACGATCCCTGAAGTTTTACTCATTATTTATTGGCTAGTTGCTCTTTAAAACTACCCTAGAAGTGCATTATTTGGACTGAGGGTACCCTTGGTTCCCCGGGGACCTTCATCAACGAGTGCCCACAAACGGCCAGATTCTTGGGGCGTTACTCACGTTGACGTTCCTTTTGTGTCTATTAAGAAAAGAATTGGTATCAGACTTTGTTTTAGTACTTTCATACTCTCTAATAGCTAAAAATGCCAGTTGACCCGTCCCGTTGGATGCGCCAGAGGCACAGCCACCCCCGCATAGGGCCAGCCTACCAGGCCAAGATTCCATCTCTAGAAGGGGGGCCGTACCCCGAGGTGCCTTTGAAATGGCTGGGAGAGGCAGCTGTAGCTGACGCGGAGACCCAAGCTGCAACGCCGGGGGAAGCACAGGGCAGTACATCGGGAAAGGGTTCTGGACGAACACGCGGCGCTGGTACTGCAAGTAGACAGCTGGCCGCCGCTTCCCAGGCCTCTCGCCCGATGACGCGGAAGATGCGCGCGACAGCTGCACGGAATTCAGAGCAAGCCGACCAGCTGCAGCAGGCAGCGGAAGCAGTGACATTCTCAGCAGCAATGCTGGCGGATGCTGCCAGGGAGATGAAGGAAATGAGTACGGATATAGCAGGGGAATCATTTTGTGGTGCACCACCCGGGTCTGCCGAAGTGAGCTACCATAGCGATGCGACAGCAGTGGCCCAGTCGACAACCACCTTTTGCGGAGGCTTCCTCGTCAGTTCACAGGAGGCCGCAACAGATGGAGAAGCTGCGGCTGCCGGTGCGAGTGGCACTGGTGAAGGCAATTGCACGAGCGCCAGTGGAATATTCAGCTCTGAAATACCCGTGGACCTGGCCTTCACACCGGCAGATGAGGTAGAAGCGACGACAAACACAGCAGCTGCCTCAGGAGCTAGCGCAGCAGTAGCGCAGGCAACGAGCAGCACCACTTTGCCGCAGGGGGAAGAGGGAGAAACAGCACATGCCCAGCCAGATTTAGCGCCAGTGCAATTACCAGGATCAGCGGAAGCCAGTTTGGAAGAACCAGGATCGATAGCTGAGAAACACGAGTTACCCGCAGCGGAGAGTGGTTCTTCCAAGAGGCATAGGCCCTGTAATCCCGAGTCGTTAGAGAGCTGAACAGCTTATGGGCGTTATACAATGCGTACGGAGGTATCTGCAGGGTTTGGCAGCGCCTCCATATGTCGGTTCTTGTTCTTAAAGTCAATATTTCCAGTTGGACGGGCCTCTGCATTGTTAGGTACTCGATTATGCTACGTATATTGGTGATGCTGGCCATAGCGTGGATCTCTGTAACGGCTTTAAAGCATAGGATAATAGGACCTAGAATTTTCCTCCCTCTTGTGCTTAAAGGGACTGATAGCCAGCTGTAGTGCGAGTAGCCTTATCCGTTCGCCCTTCCCCCGGCCTGAGAGCAGGCTGAGGCAAGGCAGCAGGCCGTTACACAGACGAGAACAGCCAGAGGTGCAAGGAAGCAGACACTTCAAGTTGCCGCTAGCTCCTTAAGAATAAACACGCCTCCCTCCTGTACAGGAATCCCACACACAAGGAATTGTGCGATTCCAGATTTGCGGGCCTTTCCACTTTTTTTCCCGTGAATGCACTTGCCGTGCGGGAAATAGGATCTGCGGGATTCTTTCTTTGTCCTTGCCCGTTACTGCAAGTCAGTGGGGAGAGGGAACCGAGCTCGAGTATTGCTGTCTGGAGTAGCCACGTCGCCCCTACAAATGTGCCTGGGAACAACCCCAATGTGCAGATTGGCTTATGGCATGTCACCGCTACACCTTTTTACATACGAGGTAGTGAGAAGGATTTCTGGAATCATACGTCACCGGCGCATCGACTGTTCTGAGGGCGGAGCCTCGGAGAAGCCAGCTCCCAAGGCTCTCCAGTATCCAATCTGTATCTCGTTTACTTTCATTGGCGCACATATCGAATCCGCGGAAAAGGAAGACCTGAAGATCATGCGGAGTAGCTGCACAGCAGGCAGGGCCAGACTGCTCCCCCTAGGGAAGTCCTAGGCGCAGAACAGAGACCCCATGCGCCCGTGGGATCTCCCCACAGAAGAAGGCCGTTTTACGCCGAGCTTTTCTGCTTTGTCCGATCATATTTTGAGCACTGCTCTATTTGATGAGGCGAAGAATCCGCTACTCTCCACTGTCCTGCGCACATGAATGGGGCGTGAGGCGTCCGAGGGACTGCAGCAGCTAAACGAAGCACGAGGTCGCGTGGGGAGCGAGTTTGCGCTCCCACGGCGCTTTATCTCCAGCTTTGAAGCGTCTTCGTCATCCGGACACCCCGAAAGGGCGCCTTGACTTGGCGGTTCCGACCTGCGCAGAAGCCCTCGCTGCTTACTGAGCCGACCAGCACGCTTTCTGAAGGTTTGAGGGCGTATCCAAGTCTTCTTGGCCACGCATGGTGCCACACACTCTTGAAGCAGCAAGCACTGCCCTTTTAGTCCCTGTCTGAAGCCTCTGTACACTCAATTTCCCCTAGTAGCACGTGAGAACCTGTGCTCCAAGTCCGCGCTGGCAATACGAGACTGCAGCTGTCACGCCCTCCCTCACATTCTCTGCAGTGAAACCTCTTACTATGGATGCAGCTCTCTCCTTTAGCAGGGTATGGGTGCGCCTGGTTTCCTCGAGGCCCTGCAGCGCCGGGGAGCTACGAAGTCAGACGGAACGGGAGCAATGCGACTGCCTGCAAAGGCCTCCCGCGGATGGTCAATCTCCGTCAGCACTGAGCCGCGGCAAGTGCCGCTTCGTTGCTGCAGAGGTTGGAGTGACAGAGACAGTAGCGGACCTCAAGAGTATGCTCTTGGAGCTGCTGCCATCGTGCTTTTACACCCACTACGACTTACTCCTCCATCGAAAGGGCCCTCAGCACGCGGCAGCGCCAGAACGAGGACCCCTGTTGCTGCAAGACAGCTTCGGCTTTGCAGATCTGTCTATCGACACCGGAGATATCATAGACTTGGTGCCCAAACCTTGGGATGCCCTTTCCTCGCTGCTTCATTTGCGGAGATTGTCTGAAGTCCTCTACGAGCCGAGGGCAATTGTGATGCGGCAGCTTCCAGATGCATCAGATCCATGCGGAGCCTTTGGGGCAGTGCTTCGCCCCGTCGTGTTGCAGCAGCTTGGTGCAAACGCAGCTCAGGAGGAACATGCCACTCCTTCCCGCAGCGAGGACATGGCAGAAGGCAAGAGCTCTTCAACAGGGACAGAGGGAACCCCCATGGCGAGGCGACAGCGCAGCAACAGGCGGAAGTGTCGCACTGAGAAGAAGCGGGGAAAGGCTCTCGAGGCCTCTACCTGGTGGGACGTCGCAGAGGGCGCAGAGGGAGGCGTGCTGCAGGACTGCCAGGAGATGCTGCCTCTGAGTGACCAAAAGCAACACACCCAGCAGCTCTTGCTTCTGCAGCAGTCATTGCTGCCTTCTCCTTTGCAGCCCAAACCCCAGGTAGCGCTTCCTTTTCCCTGCTGCAGTGCCTCGTTTCCCTGTCTTGTGACTTCACAATAGAAGCTGTAGTGGTCTCCCTGCCGCGTTTTCCACTCACGCTTTAAGCAGATGTTTCGCGCGCTTGTGTGCAAGCGAGGGAAGCACACAGCGGCTGACAGCTTCAAATCCTTTGCCAGCTGTTGCTATCAGAGTGTCGACTGGTGGGCTTCTATCCGTGCATTTCACGCTACCCGTGTCTTCGCCTCCTTCCGAATCGTGCAGTTGCTGAATTTTATACGGCTCTACCCTGGAGGCCCTCCCACACCGACAGCTCAGTTGGCGGGGCACCTGCTCTGGCTGGAGGCAGAGACGGTCGAAGGACTGCGCCTCTACATCACCTCGACGGAGAACGGTTTCTGCGTCTCTTCCCTGAGGCACTGTGCGTACAGTGCGGCACGCTGACGCTGCTGCTCTGCTCTGTGCCTGGCTGCTGCTACCTGTACAGGCGCATGCTATGTCACCTAGGATCTTCAAGGGGGCGCTTCCCTTTGAGCGTTGCTCTTGCATGCTCTGTTTGGTGCTGTTTTTCAGCAGCTGCGAGTGCTGCTGCTGCCACAGCACCTTCCGGCCCTTCGTTTGACGTCTTCCCCCTGCAGCAGATAACGGCCCCCGATGGCAGGTGTCTGCCTTTCTCGGAATCAGCAGATGACTTTCTTTTCGACACGTTGGCAGAACTGCTATGCGCCTACTCTCCGGCCTTTGCCACTGGAGTGAGGAACTCCGTGCCTCTGACTGTTTAGACGCCACGGGGCACGAGAAAGTCGCTTGAAGGACCAGCGTGCTGGACGTTGCCCCCCTGACAAGCAGACCTCTCGTTTCCCCATCATTTGCTATCTCGCCTTATTACAAGCCCGTGCCGCGTCCTGAAGCTGTCTCTCCATTTGGGTTTCTCTTTGTGCAGCCGCCTCGGTTAGTTAACTTCATGTGCATGCGTTTGCTGCGGATGTGTGTGGGGGTGCAGTTGGAGCACATAGTCCCGGAACTGCTTGACGCGGATTTGCCGTTGCACGCGTTGCCCTCTCTGCAGCCTTTCCTCCCGCCGTTTGCGGCCGAAACGGAGGCAAGTTTTTGCTAACAATTCCAGCAGCTCATAGATTTGGCTAAGGGACAGAAGGAGGTGAAAAGGAGGTCGTAGAAGGAGGCATATGAAGGTTTCATGCAAATAGGGGCAGCTGGGGGACTCCACATAGCCCAGCAAAGGCGACGGAATGTGCGAACGGGAAGTTAGGTAGTAGTCTGTTTGTTGGTTGCGCCGTCACCGCTGCGCACTCCGTGAGGAAGACCAGCAGGGTGTGCCATGACGATGCAGCTCTAGTATGGCGAGGGGTATCTCACAAGAGTTCATCCAGCTACCTTGTGTGTTGCCTGTTTCAGCGCTTGCATCAACGCTTATAGTTGTCTCGTGTAAAGCTGCCTTTTCGAGGTTGCCCATGTCTCGTTCACAACACCGATGTCTTCTTTCCTTGCACCCCGGCACCAGATTGCTCTGGTGATATACTGTTCTGCTTTCTTGCTGCAGCAAGAACAAGCATTAAGCCCTGAGGCCCATCTTTTCGGTGGAATGGCACCGACGGCCGCAGCTGTTGCGGCTGCGCATGCTGGCCATCGTTTGTGGAATGCCGAGTATGCGGCAGTTTTGGAGGCACTACCACCAAGAGACTTCGCGCAGTGTATTGCGAGCGAAAAGCAGAGCTCCAAGGTAAGCAGCCTACTCATCCAATTTCCGAGCGGCAAGAAATTGTGGTGCCCGGAGATCAACAGGCCTGAGGCTTTTTACCTTTCTTAGCTCCAAGTGGCTCTTGCCTTTTCGACGGCATGGGCATGCAAGAATCTCTGAAGTATTGAGCCAGAAACTTGCGAGAAGCGCGCTGCATCGGCCGTTAGCACGATGAGATGGTACTGCTGCCGTCTTCTCCCAGTGTATTGGCCATTCCAGCGAGGCCCGTTTCGTCTGCACACAGAATTTCTTTGGAGCATAAGGTTTTGCTGACGCTGTTCCTGCTGCTGTGACGCAGATAGCTGCAGAGTTTCGTGAAGCGGCTTTGCAGGGAGCTGTCGCACTGCGGGAACGCCAGCTGCTCCCTTACGGGGGACGTTCTATGCCCAGTATGAAGACCACAGCGGGCGATGCACTGAAGGGGCTACCCGCAGCCGCCGTACACCAGGTTTATGTGCACAATAACATTTGCCTAATGGCAGACAGCGAACTCTTCGGCTGCAGCTGCTCTATTGCAGAGGGGACAGGACGCTGCCTGGACGCCAACGATGCTGTCCGTGAGGCAATGAGAAAGGCCGCTGAGGCAGCAGAGGTGGCCAGGCTATGTGAGGACGTAGGCCTTGCAGCAGCTGCTGCTTCATCTGCTTCTGCACCCGCTGCCTTCCGTGGGGCTACCGGAGTAGCAGTGCCTTCCGTTCAAGAGTTCAAAGCTCCAGGCTTGATGGCTGTGACGGTGGACTATGCTGGGTGCCGCATTCTTTGCCAATCGATTCACGAGGATTTACCTGGGGTTCAGAGCTTTTATAAAGTGGCAGCACATGAAGCAGAACAAGAGTCTCAAAGTCCTTGCTGCACTGCAAATACCTTTGCTACTGTTGGGCAGATTCTGGGGGTTAAGCTCCCCGTCAACAGCAAGACATCACCGCCACAATCTCTTCGCCATTTCTTTCCACTGGACGTTGCAGCTTCTCGTTTCGGGCTAGGAGAGACACCGGCGGAGCTTGCTGCTGCGGCCGCTGTTGCTGCTGCACGTCATACCGCGCGCGCCAATGGAGAGCCGGCGGTTGTTGCTGCCGTAGCTGCCACGGCAGCAGCGACAGAGGAACTGAATGCTGCTGCAGCGGCAGCAGGCTTTGCGCAAGGGCCCTCGCATGCAACAGAATGCCCAGAAGTGCGTCCTGAACTGTTGAGGGCTTTCCTGTTGTTCAGAAAGCGACAACTTGCCCATGAGCGGCTGCAGCAACAAGAGGAGCACAAGACCGGAGGCGACGTGGAGGTCCGGGCAGAGTCTGCTGCTGCACCAAATGTGCCGCCTACTCTCGAGGAGGAGCTGCAGCTGCGTCTGGAAGAGGTCTGGAGGAGCCAGTGCAGAACCACTACGAAAGAGCTGTTGCGAGCTGCTTCCTGGTTCGGCAGCGACAGCAGAGGGGGCATAAACGGCTTCAGCCGTCGCGTGGTGCGTCTGCAGGAGCTGACCAATGATTGTTGTACTGATACCCTGTTGAGGTGTATGGAGAGGGCTAGAGAGCAGCAGGAGGCGTTGCTGGAAACTAGGCGGGAGGAAATAGACCGTCTTCGCACGGCCCTCGAAAGGCAATTAGAACAGCGTGAACGAGAAGAGCAGCATTCTACCTCGACGAAGCAGAAAGATACGGTACAACAGCAGCAAGAAAAGCTGCTGCTGCAGGATAACATGACGCAACAGCATCAGAAGCGACAGGAGACTTCGAAGGGGAACGAGGAAGGCACAGATGCGGCAAGGAGGCCCTTAGATACTGATTCCGTTGCAGCAAGCGAAATAGGCGAGGTTGCTGGTACTGTTCCAGCCGGGATGGCCACAGCCGCACTGGAGGGGAGAGCAGGTGATGTGGCGTTGCTATCGCTTCTTGGGGAGGACGTGTCGCTTCTGCAGGACTGCGACCTGGCCACTCGTGCGGGTTCCCTTGCAGCTACTGCATGTGCGATGGCATTCCCTCTCCCTCCAGGCGTTCCGGAGGCTAACCGCCTGCTGGCGGACGCCGGAACAGAGGCTTTGGCTCTTGATTCAGAATTAGTTAGTAAGGCAGACCGTGAGAGTCTGCTGCTTCTCTCTGCATATCTGCGGCAAGTGGCTGTCCCGTTAGCGGCCAAACTGCTGTGTGCCCACTACCCCAGCAGCGATCTTCCTCTAGATTCACAGGGTCTGAAGGCGTTCATCCACAGCTGCGGATTAAACTGCCGCCATTTGGGCGCGATTTACCGTGCCATACAGGCAATGAACCCGGAAAGGGCTGCATCTCTCCCTGAAATGCTGCTGGAAAGGGACATTATACTGCGCTGTGCGAAGTCTCGCATAAACCGGCACCTCTCCACGCTTACCCTCGGGGAAGTGGCCCCCGCAGCGGCTCATCTCATTTCGTGCTTATTTTCCGCAGTCGTATTATCTTCGCCCTCCCAACCTGCTGTCAATGGCTCAGGCACGGCAATGCCTAATGGCGCAGTAGCATTGCGTGGAGGCCCCACTAGGGCCTTGGGTGCAGTCCTGGAGGAGACGCCTGAGAGCTTCTGGGAAGCTATCAGGCGCCGCGCTTGGACGCGCTTTGGTCAACTTTTGCCCGGCACCCCCCTCCAATGCATCACCCTGAGCTCGGTTGCTGGCCGCTTCGTCCTTCTGCGCAGCCTGTGTGCTGCCCTCGGAATACAGCTTCGAGCAGAGGTGATTCCGCGCTTGTATCAGCAGCAGCAACAAAAGCAGAAGGTACCTAAGTGGCTAGTGCTGCTGCAGGCGAATGAGCAGAAACTGTATATGGGAGACGATACTAGCGAAGGTTCTGTAGTGCCTCATCGGCAGCAGGCAAGAAGCGTTCTTGAAGGTCAGCACCATGGGGAACAAGTGCTTCAAGGAGGGCAGTGCGACTCCAGTTCTGTAAGCACAAATGACTTCTGCAGCCACCTAGTGAAGGCGGAGGACATTACAAGGATTGCCCCGGTGCCTAAGGGTGCTCACCCCCCGTCTCACGTCGTCCGTGCCCTGCTCTCTGCGGCGTCTCATTGCTGCGTTTTTGGAAGTTTCGACGCAGCTCTGGACCTGCTGCAGCAAGCCCTTTGTGTAGCTCACCAGCTCTCAGGCGCTGTTTGTTCGTGAGTCACACCATTTTTCCCCTTTTCCAGTCCGACCCGCGCCCTCTCGGAGACGGGACACCCCCTTCGCTCTTCTCCTTTCCCGTCACATGGTGGTCGCGATTATCTGGTTCTTCCGCTAATTAGCCCTTCTTCATATTCAGCAGACCACGTAATTGGGGTGCATAATTCGCACAGAGTGCCTTAAAGCCTCTCTGTTCCTTTGGTGAAGGTTAAGCCAACAGGTTTAACATATATGAAGTACGTGCTGAGTTGGCTTTGTGCTGATGCCGCTCTCAGGGAGGCATCCACTTGCTATGCTGCGATCGGGCAGTTGCTAGGTATTGTGGACGACCCTCTGAACGCATGCAACAACTTGCAAAAGTGCCTCATACTCATGGATAGGCGCGCCGGTCCAGACCATCCGATAACGCTTGATATCCACTCTGCGCTGGCTCACGCCTTCGCCCGACTACCGGGCAACCAATACACGACCCGTGGACTGCGCCATATGCAGCGAGCGCTGCTTATGCTGCATACGTGGACCGCAGGCCTTGCCCATCCAATGCTACCCTTACTGCTCTTAGGGGCATCCCGCTGCTTGTTGCAGCAGTACCAACAGTTGCAAAAGCAAAACGAACGAGAACAAGCCTTAGAGAGCGCCGTTCGCTGCCTGAGAGCCGCAGAGGCCGCCCTGGATGAGTTGCAAGGCTGCAGCCCCGAGTACTGTGCTGAGGTGCGTTTTTTTGGCTATCTCAAATAACTTGGGAATAGTGTGCTGCATCGTAGGAGCGTCTGTGGCGCTGTTCCTTAGAAGGGGTTGGCGGCTGCCTTCTTTTAAGGGAGAACTGGGTGCTGAAAGGGACATCTCTGTAGATTTCTTGGGATTTTAGGTGTACACTGAATTGTCCTGGATCTACGAGTCTATTGGAGACTGGCGTAAGGCTCTTGATTGGGCAAGGTCTGCCAGAGGGGCGTTCGAGAAGACCACAGCAGACATAGGGGTGCTGCAGGTTCGTCGCTGAATCCGTCCTAGCTGCACAACCCGTGTGTTGGCTTTGCGCTTCCCAGACCAGAACGCCTTTGCTTGCGAGTGATGCTAAGCTAGTGCCACTTTTTGCTGCGCTCTGTAATTAGGTCTATGTAGCAGAAAGTTTATTTAACGGGGGTTCCGTTGTGATGGGCTATGTTGTACACTCAGGAAGCAGAGGCGCGAATGGTACGGCTAACGCGCTCTCTGGTGATGCAGACGCAACAGCAAAAACTGCAGCAGTATCAGAGGGGATTATTGGTGTCTCGTTTGCGCCATGCAACTGGCCTGATGAGGGCAAACAACAGAGTGGATGTGTCTGCTCTACTGCCCTGCGCTGGGTCCTCCTGATTCACCCACATTGTATCCGTGAGAAATAAGATAGTAGCCATCTTCTGACAATATGAAGCTATAGTAAACTGCTATGTGGTGCACCCAGCTGAATCCAGCCGCGGTGATAGAGTACTGCAGCAGAATACGCGTACTACTTGGCACTGCCTGCAGGAAGCACAGCCTGAAATGCAAACCCAATTCAGTGATGTCAAAATTTTGCTCGAATGCTGTCACCTGATTTGTACGTTCATATTTTTACATGGCAGTCTTGTCTTCAAGTAAACATTGTGCACATGTACATGCTTTCGTGTATACTTGCATTTATAAGGTAGGAGCATGCACGCGCATTGCTGTACATTTATATTTGTATTATACAGAGCACAGCCATGTGCAAGTAGATACATGCACACCGCATGCACGTACATGATTAGGCATACTCATACGCATGTGTACATGTACATATATGTAGACACGCAACACGTGTGTGTATCGACATTTTTTTTACAACTGGTATACTTAATTTGCATGTATATTAGCCTAGTGGCGTTGCTTCCCTTTTTTGGCTTGATCAGTTGTCCTTCTTGTACCCATGATACATGCTGAAAATTGAGACTGAGGCGAAATCTTAGAATAATCCGCATGAAGTCTATTAGTTCCCGGCTGATGTGTACTACAGCTCAGTAACGACCTGCCACGGGAAACTATTGCTGCATCATTTGAAGGCACCCAATACCAAGGACTCTAGTACTCATTCTCTGGGCAAAAAGGTTGCGGGTATCGACGTAAATTTAGCCCTATGCCTTCCCTAAAAGTCAAAGTAGGGGCCGATGGAGTTTCTCAGGCGCATGCGCAGCTGCGTCGTGCCTCGCGATGGTAGACAGCGACGCAAGAAGCTACAGAGTGGGCTACTGCAATTCTCGTTGCTTTGCTAGTCAAGTAATCCCCATACACTGCGACAACAGGACTCCTCTGGTACATTATGCCGCAAAAATTACCATAGGCATGAGCTGCTTGACCTGTACTGCGGCGCCTAACAGGCGTGCAGCTGACGCTAATGGATGTCGTCTGCATGCTGCAATGACTAGTCTTTTCCTTTCAGGGATACTACTCCTTCGTGACGCAAGTGAACTTCGACTGCACTTCAATCAAAGCTACGACAGCCGCGACTCTACGAGTAGCGTGAAGAGGTAGGTATGGGACGCCTGTCTGGAGCAAATGTAAATGTGCTAAGGTGAAAGCGTTGCTGTATATAGTACCGTTCAGGAATGTACACGATTGCTTTGGCTCTTCGTGCACCCAAGGGTACTTTGCACTGCAACTCAACATGGGTGCCTTGGAGCCGAGCTGAAAATAAGCACTGCCAAAACATCGACCCGACCTACATGCAGCGACCTGTTGCGTCTGCGTGTCTCCATCAGAAGGGTAGCAAAGAGACAGCTTCGATCGGAGGGATATGTGGAACAGTAATCCACCAAATCCTATGGGTCAGTTACGCTGTCGCCAGCAAGCTCGGGGCTGGAAGCTCACGATACAATACGTCGTCTCTCGCTTTGGCCAGCCGCTCGAGCGGTTTTGTTCCCCCCATGCTTTTCAACCCTGCTTTCTAGCTTTCAAAATGCAGTGCCCAGCTCATACGAATAAAATAACAGACGGCATTAGGGTGTCTCTTATTACCTGTCAACCGCCAAAGCGGCTCTGGTACCCCGTCACTCTCCCTTCACGTCAGGTTTCTGTGACTTCGACGAAACTTCTCAAGTTTCGAGGGACTTCTCAGCTCCCTCTTTGTGGAATAGAAGTCCACGGGGCGCCTGAGATCAGAGCCCCATTTTGGCCCCAGTAGAAACGGATCACATACCTGCCATTCGGCCTTTTTGCAATGAGAGAAAAGAACCAAACCAGGTTCGCACGCGCATGTCTGCGTTAGCCTGGTAACTTCTGCGGCGTGAAAGCGTTAGCCTGGTGTCAGGCTGGTGCAAATAGCATTAAGAATAAGGAAGAATGGCACCACTTAGTTTGCTTTGCGCCTCACCGCACCGACTGCCTGATGAACCTTGGTAAACCCTTCATGCACGACATGCTGAATCCCTTCGGCCGCCCTGGTCCCCGCCTCCCCCAGCTTGTCCATGTACGCGTCAATTGGCTCCTGATGCACTAGCAAGAAGGGGCGAATAAAGACGTTGTACACAACTTCAGCTCCCTAAAAAACCAAACAATCCCAAAACAAAATCGAGGCAATTTGTGTCCAGCTCTGCGTCCCAGTGTAGATGGGAATTTGCAACGCTGTTGTCGTGGGAGGTCGAGGGATCTTGCCTTGAAGCATGGGAGTGCAAGATACAGAAGGAAGCAGAACTTGAACAGATAGTAGAACGGGACCCAGAAGAGAATGATGTCAACAAAATACTCGGCGATCGAAAATGCCGCATAAACCACCCAATAGGTCAGCCAGAGCTTGTCATCCTCCGTTCCTGGGCTCTCAATGGCCCGAAAGGACATCCATGCTCCGAAAAACACAACGCAGCACATATAGAGCCTCAGTATACACCGAGATCTGTTTTAAAGCGGATTTTAGAGTTATCCCACACAGCAACCCTGACTTTTTCTACCGTCCAGGAACAGGAATCGAGCTTGCGTTGACATGACTCTTCCTTTCCCCAAAAGACAGCTTGTCTCTCCCGTTCAAAATTCGGTCATGCAAGGAAAACCCCAACTGCGAGTTCGATGCAGCAGCGCGCACTGCTATAGGGCTTACCGGGATACAGAAATCCGGCAATGTCACATACTATTCCTCCGCCCAAGCCAGTGCCGAGACTGATAAGCAAAAAGACTCCAAGGCCTGTAACAATGGCAGATGGTCTGAGTCCTGTAAGTGCAGAGGCCTGCTGTGCCAAAGGCGTATCCTCGAAGTATTTATCGGCGTCACTGAAGAAACGCTGAATAGCAGCGGAGGCCCCCTGCGGCTTCTCCCCTGTGCCACGGTTCTCGCGGGATGCTCCACTATCGGGGCTGCCACGAGCAGCCGCGTCCATCCCTAAGGCCTTCTTGAGACCTGTCATTATGAGACAAGTGAAGTATTCACGTGAGAAGAGCTGTCGGAAGGTTCCGAATGGCAAGGAGAAAACTGCACGAATTACCGACCGTGTGCGCCTAAATTTGAAATAGTATGGAAGTATAATTAGAGGCAAAGAGCAGAAGGAATGTGCAAGCGGAAAGGAACTGAAGAGGAACGAAATACTCAACGCTGCGTCGCCTCAATATAGGCTGCCGCCCCCGGAACCAACCGGCCGCTAGGTAGTCGCTTCCCCCTAACTGACCCGGAGAATGGAGTGCCGTTCTTTTGCACGGAATAAAGTATATCATAAAAACATTACTGTCTGATGCATGATGCCCAATACACTGCGCACCCGGTGCACTCCAGCCCCAGCCACCTGTTTCACCGCCAGTGACTGATCAAGCCGAGACCAGCACAAATGTTGAGCGAGGGGGGCAGCGAATAGTTCTAAATCAGATCTCTTTCGCAGCTAGACCATATATTCTGTGAAAGGGCCCCGAGACAGCAGAGTAATGGCAGAAAACAATCAATATACAAGAGAAGCGAAGGGAGCTTCCACACAGCAATTCGGCTCTTCAGGTTCGATGGTTCTGCGCACGGAGGTACTGCTACACGACACACTAGTCTATCTGGTTCTGTGTTCCGCTGGCAACATACAATTACGGGTAGCCAGCCACATACCACTCAAGCCTATGCAGCGTGGCGAGGCAAAGCACCGCCGTCAAACACCTCTAACATCTTGATGGAACGTGCAGCCGGCGGACGAGGGGTTCATAAGAACCGCATTATTGAAACTAGACCTAGTTTCCAGTCTTTTTCGAATCTAGGACTAGACTAACCTATGCTGCAAAAACAACGGATCTTCCGCCATACTTTTAGCATCGTTTAAGTGTCCAACCCCACGACTTTCTCCGGCACCCTCAAAATGAATGCCGAAACGACAGCTCTCAGGGTAGCCCCGAGGAACTGACAGATGTCCTGGGGCTGTGCTATAACTGAAGTCCCATCCGTGCAACGCGAAGGACCCAGTTGTCGCCCAGAAACAACTGGCAAATCCCTCGTGCGGATCCAGCAGTAACTGCTGCTGCGCGTTATTGCAACCAAACGCCGCTTGGAAGGCCAGCTGGCCGCAGACTCTTGATAGGAGTGAATATCGACGGGCGAGCTGCCCTCAAACAGCTTGCTGCAACAACACACCCTCAGCCCAGCTCGCCACAGGCCCTGCTAAGCAAAGCAGGCCACTGCCTTCCGTATAAATCGATTCGCAGTCGACTGACATAAAATGTCAAGTAGCCACACAGCCCTCGTCGGTCTACGACACATGAAACGCCTCTCCTCGCCCTTTGTCCGATCCTCTTCCACTTCATTTTGCTTATTTGGTCTCCAGTTTCGCCGGCATTTCAAGGATCTGGGTGTTATAGTGGGTTTCAATATCCTTGAGCTGCTCAGTATCGTTGGTGGTAACGAAGTTGATGGCAACTCCCTTACGGCCAAAACGGCCGCTCCTACCAATTCTGTGGATGTAATTCTCTTTGGATGTAGGAATGTCATAGTTGATGACCAGAGACACCTGCTGCACATCAATTCCTCTAGCCAACAGATCGGTAGTAATCAGAACACGGGTAGAACCGCTGCGGAACTCGCGTAGAACAGTCTCGCGCTGCTGTTGCTCCATGTCACCATGCATCGCTGATACCGTGAAGTCATGACCCGTCATCATGTCTACTAGCTGAAGCACCTTTCTGCGTGTGTTGCAGTATATGATAGCCTGAAGAACAAACGAGCACGCAAAAACGGAACATATTAAAAACACGAGACGATCCCCATATATAATCACCAGATATTATCCAAGAATCTACTCACAGCATCGAACCATATATCGTGCACAACGCCTCGTCGGGATTTCAAATACCTGAGTGATCGTCAGAGTCTCGTACAAGTCGACCAAGGTAGCGAACTTGTTTTCTTCCTTCTGGACATCAATGAAGTACTGGGAGATACCCTCAAGCGTGAGTTCATCCTTCTTCACCAAAATGCGTCTTGGCTTCCTCATGAACTGCGTTGTAAGGTCCAGAATGTCCGATGGCATGGTGGCGCTGAAAAGAGCAACTTGCACGTCCCTGGGCAGGTGCTGGAAAACAGCAAGAATCTGGGACTTGAATCCGCGTGACAGCATCTCATCGGCCTCGTCAAGAACAAAAAGAACCATGTGCTCACACCGCAAATGACGCTTTTCCATCATGTCGTTCACACGACCCGGCGTGCCAACCACGACGTGTACACCCCCGTGCAACCGCTGCGCGTCTTCGCGCACCGATGTCCCGCCGACGCACGCATGACAAAGAACATCAAGGTAGTCACCAAGCGCCAAAGCTACCTGAAGATACGAAGGTACCACACATGCCAACCAGTGGATGCACGTTCGTGGATCGACCGCCCTTCAGTCCAGCCAGAACCATCTTGAGGACAAGCTGAGTCTGATTCTACTAAGTAAGACACGATCAAGAAACTTCTGGATACATACATATTCAAAACCCAACGGCCCACACCCGTGAACAAACACCAAGCCCCACAGTGGCAAACTGGGCGCCAACCCGTAAAATGCGCATATGATGCAGGCTTTACCGAGTCCTCCACTAGGTGAAAAACAAAATGAAGCGGTGATACGTGGAAAGCGAAATAAAAAGCAGAGAACAAAGACAGGCATTGTCCTAGCAGCAAATTTGTCACAGCAGGATGGTTGGTGGGGCACAAGCACCCACCTTTTGGATCTGCTGGGCAAGTTCTCTAGTTGGAGCCAAGATAAGAACTTGGCAAGCGGGCTTATTGTAGTCGATTTTCTGGAGAGCTGCAATCACGAACGTCGCCGTCTTTCCCGTCCCACTTTGGGCTTGTCCGATGGTGTCGTGGCCGTCGATGATAGGCTTGATTCCGCGCATTTGGATGGCCGAAGGCCTCTCAAAACCATAAGAGTAAATGCCTCGCAAGAGGTCTTCATGCAAAAGGAGGTTGTCGAAAGATGTTACAACTTCATCTTCGTAGTCAGCCTCTGTTGCTTGCTGCTCCTGCTGCTTCTCCTCCTCTTGCTGCGGCTGCTTGTCCTCGCTCTCCATTTTCGCTGCCCTGTACTATAACACGAAAACTAGCCCTATCCAAACAAAGACTGTCAACCAACGCTCTTGTGCAGCGCGCCCGGCTGCCAGACAGGTCCGGACGTGGGGCGCCTGAGGGGTGCTGCTGCAGCTGCAGCAGCGGCGGCTGCTTCAGCGGCCCCGGCCCCTCCCTTCACCTGGTGCCTGTAACTGTTGCGGCGCATTTTACGCGTCTAGTTCTTCAATTTAGTTTCCAGCAACAGTTACCTAGAACATTAGTGGCTATGCAAGTAGCGACGCAATTTAGTTGCAAGCACCCTCTATATCATAGGTGCCTCCCCACCAGCCCCAGCACTGGACTGCTGGCGGGCACCGAACAGGCGCTGCATGATTGTCAAGCAAATAATGTATACTGAAGTGCATTATAGATCGTTTTATGCATCATAAACCATCATTAGCCCACCCCATGTCCATCATGCCCTGCTTAGTGGCTTTTAGCTTACTTGCCCCACAGCCAAGAAAGTAGGGATGCTCCGTAAGCATAACTGCATATGTGCCCCATTGCAACCACCAGACACTCAGCACAGTTGCCTTCTTTGGAACAACTCAAGAACATAGCTGGAAGCAACGTCTTCCCTGTATGGGTTGTGATGCCCCAGTGGGTCCTAGAGCCATTTCACGTTAACTAATTGGACAGCAGGCAAGCTACATTTTCGCACTTTGCCTTACTCTAGTTATATTGAAAAAAAAGTAGAGAATTGGCTAGTAAATTTGCCTGTTAGTGTACCCTATTTTTTGTGAGGTGCGAGTACCTCGATGCAAGACGACGTAATGCTATTTTGGGTGCGCTAGACGCTACGCGCAATCAGCAAACAATACTCCCAGTCGAGCAGGTTAAGCTAAGCGTACACGCTTTCTACTCACTGGTCATTCTTCACTTGGCCTCAGTCGTGAAATGGCTATCTGGCTTCTCGTTTCGTTTATCTCATTGAGTGGACAATACTGGCAGCTGGATACAAAAAGACAAAATGTTGTCTACATGTGCACTAGATGCTGCGTGCAACCAGCTGTGGCTGCTCAGTGTACTAGAGGCTTTCAGTTACGTGCACTCCAGCCCCCTCTCTCTTCTTATTCCATTTCTGTGAATGCCACAGGCAGAGGAAGGCGGGAGCTTCCTGGCAAAACACTCGATAAACTCTATCAAGTTTGTACCGAGTCTAGAGGTCAGACTATCCCTAGGAGGCCTCAAGGAGACTGTTAGAGCTGGAGGCACCGCATGGTTCGGTGCAGCTGTACCCCCCTTATCCACCGGCTGTGGATGCATTGGACCATCATGTTTTGAGCAACACTTTCTGCCTTTAGCCAAGTAATTTGGTCAATTTTGTGAAGAATGAAAATTCCTCTGGAGAAGGAATTTGACTGTGGCGCAACGCCTGTTGGGGTGGCAAATGCCGTTCTGTAAGCTGATGTGAACGCAGTAATGTTTACAAGTGGTTGAACAGCAAGCTTTGTCAGCCCATTACATTTACGGATGTGTCAACAAGGCTCTGTCGACCAGAAATGTATGATAGTCAAAAGTATGTTTATCCACTCAAATATTTTATTAGCTGGTGGGAGGCTGAGCTCGCTGTGTACCTTCCAGACTGGAAGGAAACGAGTGCCCATTGCGGCATATTTTTTTGAGGTTGAAGCACCTCAGTACTGGATAAATAATGTAAAGGAATTTGTGCACCTGCAGATATTACTGCATTTTAAGCGTCACACAAGCCCTGACTCACCGACTTATGCGGACATAAGCTCACCAGCAAGAGTTTCGAAAATAGTTGAAATTGAATTCGAGGAATTTCTTGATAGCTATCAATGTATTGGTACATCGCAAGAGTTATAAAATTTCGGGCTTGCAACAGCCACAATGTAGTCGAACAGGTGTTTTATCAATAATTCATATGTGGTTTCCCAGGAATGTTACATCAGGTGATCGCAGGGTGGGCAGCAGCTCAGCGACTGAACAGCCGACGGATGTGTAAGTAGTAGAGGTTTTAGGAGCAACTGAGCAACCCTCCTCCCTCTTGGGCCGAGAAGAAAGAGCCAAGTCGGGATTTGAACCCATGGACGACGGGTACGTGTCAACCGGTCCTAGCCTACAGTCTACAGTGAACGAGGAAAGAAAGCTTGAGGGACCCACACTACCCTTAGTAGCTCCAAACAGCCCCACGAAAATGCTTCGAATTCTACTGTGAGAGATTGTGCCATATAATCCAGAAGCCAAACAGCATATAAGAAGCCAGGGAACTTTAGCAAAGAAGCTGGGGGCACCGAAAACACGCTGCTTGGCTAGCAAAAAAGAAGACGCATCAGGAAAACTGAATACTTTCAAGCAAGACGCGGCACAGCGAGGAGGTCACAGACGAAAGAGCCGCAGTACACGGCCGACCACATGTCAATTTTTTCCTGATATTACATCACATCAATGGTCTAAATTTCTAGCATTACCTTGTACTACAAAGGAAGTGAATCTGGATTTAAAGAGACGGCACAGAAGTGCAGTCTCTCGGTCATCAGAATGCAAGTATTGGCAAGGCTCCTAAACCGAACCGCTAGATCAAACTGGAATTGGTTTCACTAGGCATGGTCTGAAATTTAATGTTGAGCCGTGCACCAAGATGTAATTTTAGGGCTGCCATGGGCGGACCAATGGAAGGCGCGCATGAGGCCAAAAGCTGCTTGCGGACAAGGTTAGTGTGCCAGGAAGCGCCAAAAGAAGATGCCCCCTGACCCCCTCAAATACACTTTTTTCATCTTTGGTGAGCAAGTTAGTGTCCGTATGTCTACAAGACGAGGCATATTTGCATGTGGGCTTCTCGGCAGTGTACTAATGTAGCAAAGTTCTAGCATGGAGCGCGTCTTCCCGAAGCTGCACGCGCTCTTTATCGAAAACTTCGATTAAGCTTTCAGCCGATGAAGAAAAATGGTCAAAAATCAAAAGGCGTTCGGGGTTTGCTTACTGATGACGAGCTGCCAGCATGCTGGTCACCTGGTGGTCGTCCAGCGCACCATTTTGAGTTAATGTACCGATCAGCCCAAAGTGTGTTCCACAATAATCAACATTCCCATAGTACGATGAGGAGATTGAGCAGGTCAATATGTTTGAAAAAATATCTGTGTAGAAACCGATCCTTATTTGGGGCAGAGCCTTTTGTAGATGCCACATAGGACAAAAGATGGTGCATGTGCGTTTGTTAGCTTTTAGCCCCTGTGCACAATTGCTCTTGAAGAGAATCTCGGATTGCCTCACATTGACGATGTGCGTAACAACTTACACGGATTAAAACTCTACTTGACAGTAGACTTTACAGATGCTGTCTTTCACATCATTATGCACCCAGTGGCAGCCATAAAACGGTTGCACACTCAAACTCCCATACTTGAGTATACCCGTGCGTCATTTTAAGTCGATTATGCCCCATCTGGACTGTATCATCAACTTGCTCCAGAGTTTAACGAGCTGATCAAGGAGTGGTGGATGGCTATCTACATGGTTGAAGGCTGAGGGTTTAGTCAATATCTTCAAGCGCACCTGCAGGACCTAAGACATGGGCTTCGGCTGTTGTGGGACATGAAGTGCTATCCGAAGGCACACAAATGTTCGTGCTTTGATTAAAACAACTACGCTTCTAAGGTTCCGCATTTAAGCTGTAGAAATTGAGCTGTAACACGCACAAATTGAAGCAACCGTGGTGTCGCCTCTACCTTTATCTACTTGCAAGAATGGTACAAGAGTCTATGATATTGCTTCCTATTACTGAAGCTTCATACCTGGATTCGCCCGGCTCGATGCTGCTTTGACTCGTCTATTCAAGAAGAAAATGCAGCCTGTGCCCCAGACAGAGAAGGGCAGTGCCCCAGCACGGACACTTATCGGCCGCTTCTCAATTTCTACAGTACTCGTGCTACCCGTGTATAAACATCATTTCTTTTTTAAGCAGACGCTTGGAACGTAACGGTGGGTGCCTTGGCTCCCAACAGGATACGGGGTCTCCCAAGATCTTGCTACTTTTTATTCCTTTGGCTTCACCGAAGCCGAGCAACGCTGTCTAGTGAGGGAAAAGCCACTCTATGCAGCGCTGTGGAGAATGAAAAAATGAGGGCCATGATGCGAGCCACCCACCAATTTTCGCTGTTTTTTTCGAAGCGATTTCAGCCAATTTGACAGTCATAGAGCTGCTTGGTAGCTCGAACGCCTCCTGGAGTACGACTTTAGAGTGAGGTATAACAAGGGCATTACCAAGGGGGTTTCCGGTGCGTCCTCACGACGCCCTAGCAATTCAATGTGGTGCAGCGCAACCGCTCGTATCCATAGTGGTTAACGATTTCCATCCAAGTTGTGTGCTTTATTATGATTCCGACACTCACATATCCGCTACTATTTTCAAAATTAAAGATGGCTAAAAGCACGCTGCCACATTAAGGATGGGCTGCTGTGGTTTGAAAGCAAGTAAGGACTCTATTGTTGCCCACTCCCACTTTGATCCGCAGAGCCGTTTTGTGCAAAGAAATTTTCATCCCTTCGTGCCAGGAAAGGAATAGCCGTACGATGGAAAGCTGTTACAGCCCGTCTGATGGCCTGGGAGGCTTCCTGTGGCACACGCCTGTGCACTGTTTGGCCAGATTGTCATGCAGCGAAGGCAGCCAAACTCTCCTAAATGCCGGCTTTCTGCAAAAGCATACGGATGCTTGAAGGTCATGAGTTAGGATAGCTTACACATCGCTGCCGACAGATGCAGCGACGGTGCCTTTTTCATCCCTTGCTTCAACTTTATCTCACCTCGGGAAGCTGCTTGATTGTTCTCAAGCCTGGTGTGATGCACCACAATTCTTCTGAAATATTGTTACGGGTAAAATGACAATGCTCTTTAGTGCGATCTGGCGAACGTTTATAACCCGCCTGTGCATTTACGTCAGTATGATAAATGAGAACATTCCTGAGACACAGGGACAGACACAGTACACCAGTCACAGCCTCCGCAGTATGTTGGATTGTGTGCACAGGCAAATTTAATCGCTTGGATGGACTTATGACACAAAAGTACACTCACCCGCTAGTTGCTCCTCCGACTCCGTAGTCCATATTGAGGAATATCTCTCGATTTGAGCCTGAACTTGGCGAGCCGAGGTCAGCAACCACCCTTAGTGGCGAAGAAATTCATAGAATAGCTGGCTAGTACACAAGCACGTATGCACATAGAACAAGAGATACAAGCACCAAATTAAGAAAAGAGTGGGCCAACTGTGTTTTTCGAGACTGAAATTTCGAGCCAGATGGGTTGACACACTTCACGTTGCACACCATAAGGTGATCAGACGAAGATGTGCGTGTTCAAATAGCTAAAGGCTTGCGACTCTTTCGAAAAAACAATGCTCTGTGCTTTCTTACTCTCTCGATTTTCGGGAGAAACGGAAATACTACAGAAGTATCAAAACCGTCCTCCCAGAGAAGTTTCAAATATTCCCCAATGATTCGCGGACTTCGCCGCGCAGGCAGGTGACCTGTTTGGAGGCGGAGGATTCACACGGAACTATGAGGGTGCTGAATTCCGTACCGACCAGAACACACTAGGCAGGAGCTTCTAGGGAAACATGTGGGGGACGCCAGCCTCAATGGTTGGTGGAGGAGCAGTTGTTGGCTTAGCTGCCCCCGGGAAAGTTTGTGGCTCTATTTCGTTACTAACGCTTGCCGCCATGAACGCAACGCCTCCGTTTTTATGGTCCTTGCCCTTTCCCAGCGCATGCTCTGCCTGAAAGAGTTTTGAAAATCTCTGTTTGTTTGCTGAAAAGTTTCCGCTCATCATTTGTTACGCTGCTTTCTACACTCAGGTTTATGTGTAGGCTCTCTCCGGTATGTTGCCCCTACATTCTTCCTTATGATTCGATAGGAATCGGGGCTGTGAAGTGGAAAGCTGCATGCATTGGCGTCGTTATGTTGCGAAGGCGATGCCTCGCTGTCGTGGGAGCACCGACATGTGTGAGTTTCCTGCTGCGGGACAACAGAAGACAAAAAAAAAGTGATCAAAAAGCACACTTGTGCAGCCATGCTTCGGCGACCCACACAAAAACCTTTCCCGGTTGCGCTGCATTTCTTCTTCATTCGTTGCTGGCTAGTCTGCGGTGTTTTTCTTTCCGTCGATTTTGCTTTACGGCTGATAAACTCATTTGCTTTATTTTGCCTTTTTCTTCCCTGAGGAGTCGCAATAGAATAAAAACTTTTTCGCTTTCCTGGATTAAGCTAGTCCCGACGCAGAAGCACCGGAGACAAGGGCCCCTGTATGTTAGAGGAGAAAGGTGTTCAGGAGGAAGCTTCTTTCAAACACTTCGTACTCACTAGCCATATTTGACTAAGAATAGTACAATAATACCTAGTTGCCTTGTCTGTTTGTATATTGCATTTCTTGCAGAGTGCTGTTAGCTCGGTGCAAGAAGACCAGATGTTGTGTACGTGTGTGCTAAATATGATGTGTAAGTAGCTGTCAATACTCGAGTGTCTACAGGGTGCAATTACGCGCACCCTAGCTGTCCCTCTCACTCCTGTCGAGAACCCTTGGGGGCAAGGGCAGGGGGAGGTGGTAATTAATCTGAAAGGCACTCCACGAGCTTCTATTAAGCGTGCATTGAGTCTGGAGTCAAGTGCCTCCCCACGAAGACTTAGTGGGAGAGCTACTTGCAAGTTAGCCCGCTACGCACCAAGCAAAAAATATGAAAATGCTCTAAAGCGGGTATCGCTGTAGTGCAATGAACGCCTTTTAGTGCGCCTCACTTATCGTGGCAGGAGAAAATGTACCGCGTGGGGGGTGGGCCTACAGTGTATACGATCTGGGCTACAGCCTTTGACACATAGCCTGAAAAGAGCAATGCAATCGCCGAAAGCCCACATCGATACGTGGCCCATGCATCCTTGTATCTATAATGGGGCTAAGACAACCTTTCAGCCCTCGGAAAGCTCAGCTCATTTTGAGGTCCTGAGGCACTGGAGCTAATCGATAGTGGAAATACTGACACGTATGTGTGTGAGACCAATCTACCTGACTCTGGCTGCCACACAACAAGTAATCCAGCTAGGTGCACTCTATTTAGCATTTAGAAGAAATCTGAACAATTGGCTAGTTTAATTCAATCATTTGCTGACATTATTGTGTGGGGCGGGGCCCGTATAGTGCCAGCGACTTTGGCATAGAACTTCCCTCAGAAGGTATCAAACACCGTAACCATGAACAAAAGTTTGGTGAACGAAAGAGTACTGAAACTTTTCTTTGGATCAAGACTTTTGGCAGCATATCCCAAACGCTCACAAGTATATAGCAAACTGCACTCTCATCCCAGTCCGACTTCGCGATTGCTCCCCCTCGCTGCTTTGGGCTTTCCCATTTAGAGCAGTTCCACACCAATTTGACCTTCGCTATTTTGAGTCATTACTATGCCTTCCTGTGGCTCAATATGGTGTGTGCAGACCATGGCCGCCCCGGGTCTAGCTGGCACGGATTTGCTGGCGTCCGCGAAGTGCCACACACTCCACAATGGAGTCAGCATGCCCCTCCTTGGCCTGGGTACTTGGCGATTGCATGGTAACAAGCTGCGAGGCGGCGTTTTTGGGGCGCTACAAGAACAATACGGCCTCATAGACACCGCCTCAGTATATGAAAATGAAGCAGAGATCCGCGAACTCCTCAAGGAAGCAGGTCCGTTTCCTCTACAGGGTGATTTTCTTCGGTTTCTTTCCCTCGGTATCCAGGTAACTGCCACCTTCTCGGGCGTTCAGTAATGAATGACCGAACGTATGGAGTTCAGGGGGCTGTGTGGTCGCACTGCAGGCAATCCAAGGGTTTTTCTGACATCCAAATTACAGCCGAAGGATGCTCAGGGGACTGAGGCGGTCCTGCGAGCGTTTGATGGAACAATACAACGCCTGGGTGTCGACCAGTTGGATCTTTACCTCATTCACTGGCCAGGTAAATAAAGCAACGTTAGGACAACCTTCAGGCAATCCATATCCCACTCATTCTATCTTTACCCTAGACACGGGTCCAATGATCCCGTTCGCTGTCGCCTTTTATGGTCTATTGTTCGCTCGTCAGTGTTTTGGCGTGTGGGCTGTGGACAGGCAGCAGCGGTGTGGACACCAGCGACCCAGAGAACCGTCGGCGGCGAATTGAAAGTTGGCGAGCATTGGAGCAGCTCTACGAACAGAAAAAGGCAAGACCAAATCCATTTCGTCCATTTTCATGATTCGCCGTGTGCAGAACTATTGCGCACATGTAGTCCAACTGTCATTGACTGTTTTTTTACTGCTGTGCGGCCGGTTGGGGCTGATGACTCCATGGCTTAGGAAACCGATCATTGCGTTTCAGGTCCGGGCTATTGGCGTTTCGAACTTTATGGTGACACACCTTGAAAATCTCATGGAGGACGGAGCGAAGATTATGCCTATGGTCAACCAGGCAGGTCTCAACGAGACCTGTGAAACGGCAGGGACTAGGGGTTTTTAGCACAACTACAAATGGAGGGAGATGATTGCACAGTGCAGTGTTGCTACCACTCTATTAGACTTCGATATTTCGAGTCCACAGATGATCAGGCAGAGCATGGTGCTGTATTGGTGTCTGCAGATCGAATGGCATCCTATGTGTTGGGTTCCCGAACTTATTCCCTTCGCCAAAAAGCACAACATTACCCTACAAGCGTATTCCTCCCTGGGCTCGGGCGAAAATCGACTTCTAGAGCACCCCGTAGTCAAGGAGGTACCGAACTCTTTATCGATATATCGAGTCGCGATTCCAAACCGCCACAACCTGTCTATAACTTCAAGTGCACAAGAGTGCACTCTTGTGTCTTTCCATCCCTGCTGTTGTGGGGCGCTGCAGATCGCTAAGGAAATTCAGCAGCCCCCCAGTGTGGTGCTCCTACGATGGGCCTTGCAGCAGGGGTTATTGGTTATCCCATGCAGCACTTCTCAAGAGCATTTAAGAGAAAACGCAAGGATATTCGACGTGCAGCTTTCTGATGACCAGATGAACAAGCTCAGCTCCATCCATGAGGAGGGACAGCACCGCTTTTGCTGGAATCCACACAAAATCGCCTGATATGTAAAGCCGCATCACTATGGAGCAGTAGCTGCTTCTTGGTTTGATCATGCCTGCACCAATTTGTACTGATGCGCCGCAGTTTGTTCTTGGGCTTGGTTTGACAAGATGCCGAGGTCATCCTTCCCAGATGAAATACTGATTCTTTGCTGCTCTTGTTCGCAGCTTTCTGGCCTAGTGGAGCAGCAGCCTCAAGATTTGCTGGGACCCCTCTGCTCTCTCTCATCGTGCTTACAGTTTGTCCAATTGTTAAAGAACCTCTATTTTCTTTTCAGGATAATGCGGGCATTGCGTGCTCATTTTCTGTAAACTGTGCGAGCATACTGCTCCGGCTACAACTCTGCATCACGTTAGAAAAAGCCAACGAAACAACTGGTGAAATGACTTTGGTACTAGTGAGGCTGAAGCGATGTTCAGGAATTGGAATGCCAGTCATAAAGGGAAAAGCGCCAAAGTTTTCATGCAGAACTTTTAACAGCCCGGGAATATCTCAAAGGGTGAATACAAAATGTTCTGTCGCGCATGCGCACCGGACAGCGCAAGGAAAATACCGGGCGCGGCATTATAGATGCGGCTTTACATGCATGTTTCCCATTCAGCTAAATACAACTCACGGAGAAGTGGCTGCTACTTGCACGTGGCCAACATTTTCTTACGGCGAAAGTGCGCGGACATTCATCTTGATATAGTTTTGTATTGCAATAGGTAGGCTGTGATTTCTGAATTTGTTTTATGCACTGGGTCCTCAAAGGCTTGCCTGTTCTATGTGGCGACCATTACCATAGCACCGTAAGGATTGGAATAGCGGAGCACGCGAAGGTGTGAAAAGGCAGAAGGGACTCACTAGGTGAGCCAGTACGATAAAAATGGTATTCTAGGCTCTCCTTTCCTGAGTATTGTTAAATGGATGCATGTAGGTGGCTTAGTGTAGAAGAACGTCATTTAGTCTCTCGCGATACGCGGAGTACGGTCTATGACGTTGGAGCCTCAATTCGAAAAGTATCCCGTCGGATTGTCCTCCTCTACAGATGATTCACTTAAGACAGTGGAATTGCTTGATGGAATATCGGGGTGAAAATTCACGAGCCGACCAGAGTTGATGGATTGTTTCGATAATTGCACGACGGGCAGAAACGGAAATCTGTTGCGGATTTCTCCATAGACAAAGCAAGCACGTAGTTCAAAGAAGTTTTTAGTGAAAAGCTCACCTTTTGGCACTGCTGACCTTCAAGGTATCTGTAAAAGATAACTTGTGACATGCCGGCCACTGGAGCCATTGAGCAGCCTGTCACCGCTGGCTGCTGCTCGAAGTGTCAAGGGACTGTGACTTGACGTTCATCGCTCCGTTGGATTGCCCTAATTGCCCCAATTGAGACTCGCAAAATGTAGTCTTGTCCATTCGGTCTTCCAGCCGTGTAATCTTTTTGATGTCCTGGCCACAGCTGGTCTTTCGCCGCAGCGACCACCCGCCCGATTGTCCACGTTCCCTACTCATTTGAGCAGAGTGCCTTTAAATATTGCCAAGCTTATGCTTCAGGCTATCCAATAATGCGTCTTACTCGCATCCCAGCTCCAAGAAGCAGCTGTCCCACTGCAGGGTGCTGTGGATCATGAGAATAACTCGTTAGAACCGTAGTTGTGCTCCGCAGTTGCTTGTCTCGTTCTTGTCACTTGAAGCGCAATTTTATTCCTGGCTTGCTTATCACTGCGTTTCTGAGCACCGAAACTGTGGGCATGTCATAGGACATGGCGGTTTTGCCCCTTTGGGAATACTGCTGTGGAGAAAACAACGAGCCGCCTTCGTTGCGTGGCGCGACCTTGGTGGGCGCCAGTCATCTTGCGTGGGCTTGTAATCTCGCCGTTCTCTGCAAACCGATTTTGTGAGCCCCTTTACCCCGGGCTGTCCGCATCTTCCCTCCAGGGAGAAATGTCTGTGTGGCGTTCGTGTTGTGGGAGCTTTTGGGGCAGCAGCTCTTCTTCTGACGTGGGCAGTCAGAGCACTGTGGGCTCTAAGTCGTCTACATCTAGTGAGTCGTGGAAAGAAGAGGCCATAGATGGCGTAGACTCCCCGGACCAGGACTTCCAGCCCCACAGCGAAGCAAGTGCTGACCTACTTGCGAAGAAGTGGATAACTCACGTCCAAAAGAGAGCGGCCAAGGTTTGGGAGAGGGACCAGGTTCTTGATATGCTCCGCACAATAGCTCAGTAAGGAGCAACACGTAACATTTTGAGGCCCTCCTTGTACATCGTTGCTGCCCCATACTACAGTACGCAGATTGCATTTTCTCTCTCAATTAGGCTTGATGACTAAGGTATGGGCTTCTGGCTGCTTGCTTCAGGAGTGTGAGCTACTCCGACGATCCAATCCTGGGTGATCCTTCTCCTGGCGCCCCTTGTGTGCAGTGGCACGGGGACCTCTCGATGGAACAGGGGTTGCCAGTCATTCATGTCCGCAAGACCGGCCAAGAGAATGTTGTACCCAGCTATGTGTGCAAGCTCTTCACATTTCTCTTCGCCGACGATGAGTCTCTCAAGTTGCTAAAAGAGGTGGGAAGAAACACGAACGAGAGAGGAAATGGTGTATACAGATTACTCGCAGAGTAGGGGCTGCTGCCGTATACAGAGACTATCGGAAATCGCAAAACTTAGGACTATATGCATTCATGCTTGTACATTCAATCAGAAGTCTATTATTTGGATCCTTTATTTTGTGTGATAAGTCATTCCTCCCGCTTTTTCTTGCAGCACACAAGCAGGTGCTTAGAGCGTTGTCACTCGACTGCACTGTGTTTCTGCCATGCAGACGGCTGCGGGTACAGTCAGCATGAACTGCGGCAACTCGAAGTGCGTACGCTTATCACACTTCGTTGGATATACATCACAGTGGGCCTTAAAGTACCAGCCAAAGGCAAAGGCGCCAGCTAAGGCCTCAGCCAAAGCCCGCGGAGCTGCGGCAAAGGGCAATCCCCGGCCCAAGGGTAAGTAGGTCGAGCGTCAGAGCTGGCTTCTTTAAGGGATTTTATGTTTCCGAAACCATCATGAGAAGTCGGAAGAGGCTGGCTTTTAGGCTCTTGGACAAGCGAGTCCAACGCATCTCAGAGGACCGCCACTCGGGAATGCGTGAGGGCTGTTATATATAGTTTCAGGAACATGAGTGCTAGAATTGTTTGGCGACCCATGGATACGATTCCAAAAACTACGCTACGCGGTGCATTGCTGTAGGCTCTTTCACAACTAGGCGTTTACACGCTGCTTTCCTCCTTTCCCTTGTCGGTGTACTTAGAACAGCTGTGCCAATCGCTCTAGTGCTTATCAGAGCTCTCTCCGTTTCCCGCAAAAGCTAGAAATGTAGCCCCGTAGATGGCTTTGTGCTCAAGTTCAAGACACCAGCCGTAGCATTTGGTGCCCAGCAACATGCGGGAGGTCACTTTATTATTGCTTTCAAGAAAAAGAAATCGACTGATTCCAGGCGAAACTGCATACATTGGAGCATAGGACACCATGGAATCAAGCATAAATCGAAGAAGGGCAGAAAGATTTTTGCACCCCGTGGGCATGGCTGCCGGGCATGGGAGGCGCCTCCCAGTATAAGGTTCTCCATAGGTGACTGCACACGGAAACTGATCCACAGTAGCACACATTTCTAGTGAAGCGGTCGAACAGCTAAACAGTCGGAAGCTAAGGACGCTTCAACGAAGACTGAATCTCTTGTACCTACTGGGGAAGCGAATGCAGACAGGAAATCGGCCGTCCATCAGTACACACGTCGCTATATCAGCATTGCCCACATTCAACAAACGTAATTGAAGCAGCCGCTGACGCTAAGAGTATGTCTAAGTCAGTTGAGAGCACTTGGGGTCCTCTTCACCGGGTCAGAGGCACGATGCGACCCGTGCTGTCGGCAGTGGCTTTTGCAGTTTCAAGTAGCGTCAGTCCCTTTGTACTTGTCTGCTTCTTCGCCAGCTACCTTCCGCCCCTTCCCACTCGTTTTGTGGCGGGGTCTCATTTTTTGTTGGCTAGCTTGTACTGGAGGGCAGTGCGTGCGCAGTCGTGTGCACAAAGTCCCAGAGAGCGATTCGTAGCGTACATGCGCTCACATTTGCTTTACTACCGGCGCAAAAGTGAGCAGTTGTAACAGGGACGTAAGTTCAAAATCCGCAATATTATTGCCTTGCATCGACCCGAGCAAATTTATCAGTGCGATTTCTTTGCGGCCCCTGTGGGGCGGCTGGGAGGCCCCCCCGATTCTGCCCATTCTTCGTGCCACCGCCGATAAAAGACACTTCTACCCCTTCGCCTTGCCTCCGCAAGGGAGCGACAGACGCGGCCGTACTTCCTTCTGAGCCTCGTTGTCTGTCTCTTCCTTCTAAAGCAGCCTCGCTGGAGACCTCTTCCTCCATACGACCTCACAGTGTCCTAGACTCCCCGCTGCTGCTCCTGTCATCGCTTCGAGCCGCAGCTCTGCATCGGCTGCAACGACAGACCAAAGGGGCGCTCCTCACCACACTGTCAGCTGCTTCAAGGTGAGCAACCCTGTATCCTGTGCCCCCAGGTTGCCCGCTTCCCTTCCCCACGCTAGCAATCTCCAGAGAGAGAGAGACGTACAGACAGACAGAAAGAGAAAGGCCTCGAGACGCTTAAGGCGCGGAGCTACGGAGGCCGTAGGGGAAGCCCCGTCGTCGTTAGGGGTCCACCACGAGTACACCCGGAGCTGCCGGGAGCCTTCAGATTTAGCTGGAACTCTTTCCCTCTCCCAACGACTCGACACCGCAGTTTCGGCCCTTCCTGACCTCTTGTAGCTATGAAGAGGGTGTCTAGATGAGCTACAGCTACAGCCAGCGTGGGACGGCTTTATAAGTTTCGGAGCGCCCCCTAGGTTGGTTCACTTTCCCACCGGAAGCGTATCCTTCCTCTGTCCACGGCTTTGGTGCCTGTGTTGCATTGCACTGCGAATCCTCAGAGCTATACAATGTTTCGGAGGCCTCTACCTACAGGCACCCAATCGCCTTTGGGGAATAAAGACCGAAAAAAGTCCTACTCACACACGCACACCACATACAGAATAAATTCAAGTCTCTTCCTCGTCTCTCCTCTCCTGTCTCTTATACGCTGCGCACCAGAGACCCCACGCATCCGCGGCAAAGTGTTCCTCCGCAAAGCAAACCCGCGAAAGACTCTCTTAGAAACTCCAACTAGCGGTTACCCTGCCCTGACTTTTCGTGTGGACTCCTGGAAGGAGGCTCCTCGAGAGCTCCCGGCTGCATGCGTGTGTGTGTGTGCTCCTGTTTGGCCTTCAAGGTTGCGTGAAGCTCTGCTGCGCTCCTTCCCCCTCCTCACCGACGATGGGGTAGACACCCTACTACCGTCAAAGGAGACAGTGGTGTTAGCCCGCATGAATCTCCCGCAAGCCTCCCAGGCCGGAGGAAGCCCCCAGCAGCTGCCTGGGTCGCTAGCTCCCCTCATGAGCGCCAGCAGCGCAAATAAGTGCGCTCTCTACTTCATAGGGGACCTCCCAGTAGTCTCGGAGGTGAACGGCCTCCTTTTCCCCACGGTAGGGCACCCCTCCTTGCATGCCCGTACACACTCCCCCGCTACTCTTTTCTGTCCTCGAGCTTTGCTGTCCTCAAATCCCCTTTAAAGCCTTGTTGCCGTGATGGGAGGTGCCTTCAAAAGGAGCACGAAGCGCGACGGGCAAAACGGAAGGGGTCTGGTCTTCAGGGACTGAGTGTGCCGCCGCAAGGGCTTCCCCAAGAGCGCGTTGCGCCACCCCCAACCCCCTAGAAAGATGAATCTAGACTCAAACAGAGCGCTTCAACAGCACTCTGCCAGCGGATGCCGAATATGAGATGCCCTTTCGAACAACTTGGGGCCTCTGCCCACTAGAAGCCTCCCCAAGTCTTTTTCGCGGGGCCTCATCCGACTCCTTGTGGTGCTGTCTGTGATGCTGACGCCTCGGGTGCTGTGCAGATTCACGGTCTCTGGCGCGTGCCGCACATGCTGCCCTGCATGCTGGTCTTCTCTCCAGTCTCTCATTTCGTGCTAAAGGGGGCAGATCTCATGCTTCCAGGACTGTGCCGTCCACTGACGATAGCAGCAAGCAGAGCAGTGGGGATCGAGGAAGTCGCTCTTGGGAGCCTCTGGGCCGTTCGAGTCGTAGGGAACGCGTTGCCCTTCGCCATAGGGAGGGCTGTCACGCGCGCGCCTTCTCTGGAGTTGCTGGGAGACAAGGGGAGGGCTCTAGAGCTCATCCATCATCTCGGAGATGCACTTTGGTAAGGCGTACATGCATGGGCGCCAGTCGAGGAAGGATCCACCGACGTTGCACGATAGCCAGGTGCCTGCCCCATCGCCTGCACCTCGTCATTCCCTTCGTCTCTTTTGCGCCTCCTTCTCTCTCTGTCCGTGTGTCTCTCTGTTTCCTTTCATTTCATCCTCTGCGCGCTCCTAGCTTCCGCATGCTGTGCTGCGCCGCGGGCTTCGCTCCTTGCCTAGGCTCCCAAGGCCCCTCTTTGGAGCTCTCCCTCGCTCAGGGGTGGTCTGTCTTTCTTCCTGAAATCGCGCTTGGTGTCTCCATCTCTTCGCCCTGTCCTGCCTTTTACGCCCTAGCTCTCTCAGTCAAGAACCCTTGCGCGCGGTTTTCTCGCAGCGGGTGCAACTCTCGCGGTTCCTGACTGCTTGTCCTCCTGTCTGCGCATCATCGAGCCTGCACCTGCCGTTGTCGCTGCACCTGTTGTTGCACAGGAAGAGCGGGAAGCATGTGCCGCTGCCCCCCCTGTTTACGGCCCATCAGGTTTTCAGCGGCAGTGACGACGCCGAGCTGCTCGCCTCCTGCGGCATGGGGCCCCCCGAAGCCCTCCCAGGGGCCCTCCACCAGGGGGAACAGTCCGAGGCTTTCCAGGAGGGTCGCGCCACGGCGGAAGACGCCGACAGCAACGAGGCAGTCGCTCCTGACGCTGGTGCATGCTCAGCAGCTGATGATGCAGACGATGGAGGGCAGTCACCTTCAGCCTCTCCTGAAGCCGAGGCGTCTTCGAAGGCGGCATCTGCGGCAGAACTCCCGATGAAACCAGAGGTAGGGGCTTAGTTGTGCGTTTTTGCAGCATCCTCGCGAAATCCTGCGTGCATGCAGAGCGCGCCCTAGAATCCGTCTACTTGTAATCACCCGCCAGGTGCTCTCGACGGAGCTGGGGCTATGTATGCAGGGGCCCCCACAGGGGCCCCCTACAAGGACATGTGTGCAGAGAGCCTTCCTGAGCAGCTGGGTGGCTGTTCTCACAGAGGCGACTGTGTGGGGATGTTCGGCGCGTGATGGCTGCCCTTTTGCTCTACTGCCGCGTGGCTATGAATGGCCGTAGATATTACATTGCGATATTTCACCAACATTTAGCTGTTTCCTATGTACGCGACTCCATCATAGTACCTCCCGATCTCTAGAGAGATGTGCCTGTGCATCTACACATGTATGCATGCATCTCTAAGAGGGGGTCCAGGCGGACCGGGCAGGCATCTGCGTAGATGTAGGGATACAAGGATGCACTGCCACACCTGCATAGATTTGCGCACCAAGAGGCTTCTGCATCTGTCTGTCCATGCAGTCATGGCTTGCCATGCTGGAGCGGTCCTGAGAGCCTATATGATGTGCATGCATGCGCATAAATGCTTTGGCGCGTTCTTACCCTCTGCATGTGTGTTTCTTTCTGGGAGAAGCACCCGATACCACCAGCGTGGGGGCTTTTTCTCGAGATCGCCCCTATGCAGTTCCTCTCAGTCGCCATTCTTCTGCTATTATGGGTCACCCAGTGCCTTTCCATGTGCCTCGTGGTTTGCTGCTGCTGCTGCTCAGGAGATGGATGCCTATCTGAACCTGTGCCTCCTTGAGACCCTGCACAGCCTCTCCGACGAGCAACTGCCCCTCGACATATCCGCGCTGTACAGGTCAGTGGGGTTATTACAGCTAGCTTTAGAGCGCGCCGCCAAGCGACAGCGGCGCACACATCGGGGAACAGGCTTCCTTTCCTATGCAGTGGATCTCTTCTTGAGGGCCTGAACCCCGCTTCCTTAGTTCCACGAAGCCATGTCTGCGTCGCGGCAGCAGCCCTGATCTTGGGGAGCAGGAAGGGAAGGCCATGCCTAGGCTGCTGGGAAGACGTGGCGCTCAAGGGGATGCAAAACACCCACCTCCACCGTGTCTTGCGCTTTGCTTTGAAGACGTTTGTGTGCGCCTTCAGCAAACTGACATCCGAGGCCCCGGCTGTGTTCTACACGCAAGTGGCGAAGGGCGATGCTCCGTTCGTGGTGCCTGATATCCGCAGATCATCCGCGAAGAAGGTCTGCCGGCGCTTGCACCAAGCCACAACTCAGCCGATTACACGTGCTGTAATGAAGGAGCCTCCTTGTAGCGCTTCTGGCCTCCAAAGGCTTCTGGTCTCATTTGGTGCCTCCCTCTACACTGAATGTAGTACAATGAGGCTGCTTGGTGTGCTTCCTGGGATGATGGCCCCCTTCGTGCTGCCGCCACGCAGCTGCTGCGGGGGGTGTCAGTCAGTCTGGAGGTGGAAAATGAGTGAAGGCCGTGCGAAGCGGCTGCACGTACAAGCTCCGAGGGCTGGGGGTCGCTTGTGCCGATCGAAGCAAGCGCTTCGCGCGATTTCTGCTTTCTTGCGGTGCCTGTGTGCGCACTTGGTATAAAGAACTTGCATTGGGGTCCTTGCGTTGCTGCGTTGCTGCGGGGTGGCTGCAGCTGGCCAAGTTTATTCAAGGCGCCAGCAAGAAGAAGCTGCTGCAGACGAAGGAGCAGCGCGGGGTTGTGTCAGTGGTCAAGGTGAACAGGTCTCACCCGGAGTTCATCAAGCACACCCCCGTTCCCGAGACGCAGAAACGGAAGCTGATCGAAAGGGTTGCAGCAGCATCTTCGGCCTCCTCACCCGCCGCTGCAGGAGCAGCAGGTGAAGAAGGACTCAGCAAAGAGACGCTCTCGCAGCCAAGCACAGTGCGCAGCGGTGACGGTACGTGGTTTCAAGATCCTTGTGTACAGCAGGGCCTCCCCGCAGAGTGGCGAGGAGTCCAGCCTTTTCGTACAGCTGCCTGTTGTTTAGGTGCCGCATGTCCTCCTGGCTTTGTTTCTGACTAGCGTGTTGCAATTCGTGGCGCTACTCCACCCAACTAGGCCGTGCTTCTGCCGATGCTCCGACTGGCCATGCCATGCCGCACACAGTCTGGATCTCTGCATACTCTGCGTGGAAGTCGCAAGCCAGCTAGTGTCACCCCATGGCCGGCTTCCCAGGCACTCCCCGCATGTAGCGTCCGAGCTAGCTGACTCTCTGCGCGCGCGTCGGCTGGAAGCATTTCCATCTTAGCGCGGTTCTGTTCTGTCGCAGGGCCACTGGTGTTCGAATTTTGCGTCCCTCCTGCCAAGTGCTGCAAAGTCTTCGCTGCTGCGGGTGTCCAAACCGGGAAGTGCGCCACGAGCGGTAGCCTCTTAGGACCCCTCTTGTTTGCCTTTCGCTTCGCGTGTGGCGTTCTAGTTGCTTTATTCGCCCTCACAAGGCAGCACACATTTTGAGTTGCTCGCTTGCTGCCTGGCGGTCCTGCGGCGCACAGGAGCACATTCTTCACGGGCCAGGAATACCGTGAGGTTCTCACAAAGTATCTTGAAGTCCGCAATACGAAGCGGGAGCACGAGCCGCTCCAGAGCCTGCCAGAGGCCTCTGAAGCTCTCCAGGGGAGTAGAGGATGCAGCACAGTGGCGTTGGACCCCCTTCTTGCGGAAGCGGGTGGGTGGGGCCTCTAGCTGCATCATTGGCTGGCTGTTCTGCCGAATCCTACAGTTCTGTCGGGAGCCCTCTGCGCAGACACGCGGGTGCAGGCACGTGGCGGGATAGAGCCCCTTCCTTTCTGCGTGGGAGCGCTTCTGTCCGCGGCGGCTCTTTTGGGGTCAAGAGGGGATCGCGAGGGGCACGAACCGCTGTCTTTACCGTTGCGGCCGCTTGCGCAGTGCTGAGCAAAGAAGAGAGGATTGATGCGAAGGCGGCAGGAGGCGAGATCCAGATGATGGAAAAGGCAGAACTATACAAGAGATGGAATGAGACGCAGCAGCCCTGCCATGCTGTCATAAGGAATGAAGCAGAGCTCCCGCTGCTGCAGGAACGTATCATGTAGGTGAACTCGAGCAACAATCTCTGGGTCACGCTGCAGATGCACACACATGAGGCCGCTTATGCCGCAGTATTCCTCCTGTCCCTGACTGGCAAGGAAGTGTCAAAGAGGCGCGCGGGAGGGCTCCTACTGCTGACACTACGGCGTCACCCTCTTGACTTTGTCGTATTTATTGTTGGTGCTTCAGAAAAGGGCCCTGCTGCCCCGTGAGGATTTCGGTGGAGGACAAGCAAGGCGGACGGAAGCATGCAACGCACATTTTGTGAGTATATGGGTGTAGCAGGTGTAGAAGCAGCCGATCAGCAACTGCCCAAATGACCAGGAGAAGGACAACAGCAGCAGGCGGGCATGGTATACGTCTATTCGCTACTTTTCGGTGTTTTCCCGTCTGCCTATTTAGGGTTCAGGACGTGTGGCTTTTCTATGGTACAGGAATGTCGTGAACTTTTTGTTGGACCCCAAGGCCATCGCGGAGTTTTTACAGAAAAAGCTCGCGGCATCCGCCTCAGTCTACGCTCCTCCAGGCTCTAAAACTACCTCTGCTGTCTGCGTTCAGGTGAGCGTTTCAGCAGGTGACGATTAAGGGTCTGCGGCTTACAGTCAGGTGCTGGCTTGTTGGCTCATTGGTGGTGTGGCGGTAACCGTGGTTGTGAGGTGCCCTAGGGATGCTGGATAATGGCTTTAATTCTGGGGTAAGGCTTTAGGGTTGCAATAGGTGAGTGTAATTTATACGTATTCACTACAGGGTAATGTTGCTGGACCAGTGGCAGACTTGCTGATATCGCATTTTGGAGTCCCCAAGAAGTACGTCGAGGTGGCTACAAAGAAGCCAAAGTCGGGTCGCTAGGCGTCCCTCTAGCTGCTTTAGGTCTCAGGGGTCCACGTATTCTCGTAGCGGATTTCCCTCGTACGCCGACTATGGAGTTTCTCAAACTTCGGGGGAGTCTTTAGTGCCCTACACCCTCGCCTCTCGCTGGGGTCGGCCCCAACGTGTAGAATTGCTGCTTGGGGGCCCTCTGCAGGACTCAGTCCCCCAGCGTCACACTCCTCGCTAGGGCCAAACACCAGGAGGAAAATAAATGGCCCAGGAGGAAAATAAAGGGCAGGAAAGGGGAGATCTACAGCGCTGTATTTTCGTTTCGTTCGTTTGGGGGAGAGAAAAGCACCACCCGAGCTCAAACATATTACGGGGGCTGCGAGGAATTTCAGCAGTCAGAAACCAGATTGCACTGAAGTGTCAGAAGAAGGCCCCTTGCTTAAACAGGCAGAATGGGATCGGGCTCATTGCTTTTGCTCATCATAAAATGGGCCACGTAAAGTGCCACGAGGTCAGCGGCGGCCTGCGCGAAGTTTTTTAGCGCTCTTTCTCAGGATTCATCGAAGAAAATTAGGCATCCATAAGGCTTCTTCCCAAGCCTCACCGCGCACAAGCCCCTGTCTCTACACCCCCTATATATATGTATATGTGTGCGGGTGGATCTTTGTGTTGGCGTGCGCTTACGGGTTGGCACATGTGTGATAAAGTGGCCACCTTATTCGTTTATTTGTGGCACATATTGCCAGGCGTGACTCCCAGTATATGCATGATATTGTGGAAAGAATTGCCTGTATATACTTTCGTCGGAGTCTGCTGGACCCTTTGTGAACGTAGGCCCGAAGCTAGTTTTTCCCCTCACCGCCGCTCTTTGTAGGGTGCCTGCAGTTTGTTAGGGTACACAGGTGGTTCAAGGTCTTCGCAGTTCCCTACGGCTTCCATTCTGCTTTCTTGACACTGCGTTGCGGGTCGCACTGCAAGGTTTGTGCCCGAGTTGCCTAGCGTTCTCGATATGAAGATCAAGGCTTCCTCCCTCCGGGCTTTTGCTCCTTTGCCTTCTGCCGAAATATCTGTGCCTCTCTGTTTCCTTGTCAGTCTTTTGTTTTATGCCACGTTGACTGTGCCTCGCCGTCTGTCGCGGCTACCTCCACTGGCCCGGGACCCCATGGGTAACCTGGTGGAGCGTAGCGGGGAGGGGACAGTGGACCAAAGAAGCAGGCGCCAAGGCTACGAGCGCACATCCCTAGTCTGAGTGCATTCCTACCTCTATTTAGCCTTATTTTTACGGTGTTGCACTACAGACTCAGCCTTTCGCCCCTTCACTGTCCGCTAGCGCAGCAGCAAGTGACCCCCACCCTCCATGCGGAGGATGAAGTTATGGAAACCGAGCTAAGGCGGCCTCTACATGTAATTGACCTTTTATAAGCTCCCATATTCATCCGTTTAATTCCTTTTAAAATGAGTCGATTGGGCTCCACCCTCATCCGTCAGGGGGGATCCCTGACCTCATGCGCAACACAGGAGGGAACAGAAATCCGGGCCATCCATGCCGCCAGCAACAACAGGAACGGCACCAAGAGAGATTCACTGCCAAATCTGGCGGATCTGTTGTGTAGCCGGAATTTTAAGTCAGCAGTGTCTTTGCTGCAAAAAGAAAGAAGCAGCGGGCGATCCCGCCCCAAGTCAGATCTGTGGCTCGGCTACTGTCTCTTCCACGCGAGGGAGTACAAGGAGGCCCTGGCTGTGTACGAGCGGCTCATGAGGGTCTCTGGACTGCCAACTGAGTGGGAGCGGACAGATTGTGAGAAGTACTCCCTCCCTTCTGCTGCTAGTGCCGAAACATCTGCAGGGACCTGCAACAATGAATTGAGCTCAGATGAGAAAGAACAATTGCCTCTACTCAAGGGTCTTTGCCACTTCGCCCTACAGCAGCCAGAAAAAGGACTTGCAGAAATACGGCATGCCAAACCCGGGCCGATGCAGCGCAGGCTGCTGCTGCTACTACGTATGCAGTGGCAGCACCAGGATCCTAGAGGGACCCCCTTTTCAAAGGAACCTGATTCGTGGGAGGATATAGATAGGGCAATTGAGAGTCTTGAGGAGGGTGACAGGGATGATCAGCTATGTGCTGCTGCAGCCTATTTCTCGCGCTGTCGCTACCAAAAAGGGGCGGACCTGTATGGCTCCCTACTTTCTGCCGATCCTAAGGCCACCGCTCTCAAAGTGTATCGCGCCCTCTGTTGTTTCAGGCTGGGAAACGTACAGGAAGCTGAGAGGCTTACCCAAGTGGGCTGCAAGCCACCGATAGGGTTTTTAGGAGCCCAATGAGAGGAGGGGCTCGCTGCAGGGGGGGACCACGCCAGCACTACAACGCGTTTACGGGCGATACTAATATTCTCTGATGGTGCAGATATTATAACGGCTATAACTAGGCCTTTATGCTTGCAGGAATATCTCGCTCAACACCCGGGATCGCTATTTGCGTCCAATTTGCTCTGGTGTTGCCTAGTGACCCAAGGGCAGAAAGAAGCCGCGCAAAAGTTTCTCCAGGGCCTCTGTGAGGAAATGCAGCTGCGTGTGGAGGATCTTATGGCTCTATCGGAGACCCTAAGGCCCAATCTATGCTTTGTGCAGGGAGCAAGCAGGGAACTCCCTGCCATCTTAGAGCCCCTGGTGGGGGTCTTGCCCGAGGTGAGAGGGGCATAAAAGCACTTCTCATTAGGAGCCGTCCTCCTCTTTCTCTCCCCCAATCTCTACATACCTAGCACCTCAGGGTGAACGCTTTACCTCTGTTGCTCCCCTCTGTCCGCTCGTAAGGCTCGTTACAACCTCGCGCTTTTTCATTTGCAAAGGGACAAGCCAGAAGATGCCTTGGCTCTTCTCCGGGAACCCCTGCTTTTGTCAAACGCGTCAGTTTTCCTGTGGCTCCCATAGCGCCTCAGGGACTACCTAGTCTCTCGAGCGCACCCACAGGCTTTTGTCGTGGCTGCATCCAAGTCGTAAACACACATTACTGGACGCCTCTGGAGCGACTTTTAAGGAGATAGGATACAGTAGCCGCTTTTCTGCCTTGCCTGCTGCACTTCCAACGTGCCCCAAATAACTCAAATAGCTTCCGGTGCGGCTTTTTATCGTTTGTCTGGGAGTGCATATGATTCTTTGCCATAGGGAAAAGGCCTTGAAGGCCGGGGCTTTGTTGATGCTGGGGCAGTGTGGGGGGAGGGAAGCCCTGCTGACCGAGGCCCAAAGTCTCTTTCAAGAAGTTGCTTCTTCTAAGCAGGCTCCCGAGGACTGCCCCCTAAGTAGGCCATCACTGCATTGGGCCGTGCGTGTGCTTCGAGCACTTTTTAATACCATGTGTCCCTGCTGCACTGGGGGTTTCACGGCAACTTCGGGTGTGGTGGGGGCTTAGACGATTGGCATTAGGGTTGAACGCCGTGAACTGCAACCAGAAGAGAGCATGTAAACCGTGTCAAGCAGAGACTGCGTGACACCCTGAATTGTGTTGCTGGCTAATGGCTAGATTTGTGCTACCTCGTGAGTAGCAAGGGGTAAACTAACGGTGATTATTCGTACTCCAGGTGTTTGTCACTTTACCTTCCGTGTCTCTTCAGAGCTGCAATGCGCAATGTACAGCTTCTGTCTCCAGGGTGAGCATCAGAAGGCTTGGGCCTGTTCAGAGAGGCTCTTGGCCTGCGGCAACAAACAGCCGGCGCTGCACTGGACTCGCATGCTTCTTGCGGCCTCGATGGGAATATATGAGGAGGCACTCGCATGCATCCTCGCCATCGACGACAAAACGTGCGCCTTGTTCAGTTTCACACGCAACCCACCACGTGCCTCCCAACCAATATTCAACGCGCAGTGTTGCCTCATTGTTCGGACTTTGCTTTAAATTTGCTGCCCCAGTTTCAAGGTTCTACCGTCTTTCGAGGACCTAGGGCATAGGTAGAGTTGTGGGATTGTTGCTGTGCAGGCACGGGATTGAGGAATGCTACCCCTGTTGGTTTGTACGGTTGCACGTCAAGGCTCAACGACCAGAAGACGGCTTCCGCTTCTGCATGCAACAGCAAGGGACCCCTGGCTTTCTACCGCTGCTTCAGCAGTTTGCTGCAGACTGCCACGTTACCAAACAGTACCGCAGTGCCCTCGAGGTGTGGTAGGGCACCAACTGGTCTAAGGGGAGAAAGCCAGCCCTTTGCAGTAGCTGCATTGATAAGGGTTCATCGTAGAGGAGCCAGAAATACTGGCAGGCTGAAAGAAAGAAGGACCGAGAGTTGTGCAGCTCTGCCTGTTTCTTCAGGCCTTTGCTGTGCTGGAGCAAGTGCAGCCAAATCATGAGACACATCGAGGGTTTTGTGCAGCAGCCGCAGGCCTCATTCTGCAGATTGCCTGTGGACAGCAAACTGTAGAGGCCATCCCGTGGCTGTTACAGCTATTGAATAGCTCGCAGGGGTCATCGGTCACGGACCTCAAAGCTGCGGCTCAACGCGTCGCTTTGGACTTCGAGAAACAGCAGCATTGAATGCCAACTAAACAGAAGAGGAGTTGGGCGACGCAGCCAAGAACCTGTGAAGCCCCACAACTGGCTCCCTTTACGAGGAGGCCGTGGTGGTATCGGTATACCCGAAAAGAATCTGGGAAGTTTCTGGCCAAGTGGCGTTCGCCTGGTGAATTCCCTGCTATATTGCAATCAAGAATGTTGGAATAGCATCCAGAGGAGCTTCCTTCTCTAGTCACGTCGTTCATGTTACCTGGGAGGCACTCTGTGCTTCGCCCTGTATGGGGCACAGGGAACCTGAGTAAAAGTGAGCCAAGAGAGCAACCTGAATCCAAGTGCAGTGGGCGAAAGTTTACTTACTACTTTCTATTGCACTGTCTATATTTAACTAAGAATTCGCAGAGATTGAATGAATTAATTGCTTGTTCGTATATCGCATTGATTGCAGTAGACTGTTAGCTCGATACACGAACACACAACACTCTTCGTGGGCACCCTAGACGCATAGTGCAGCTAGCTGCATGCACCCAGAGTCTAGCAGGCTAAGCTGTACTTACCCACTCTCTGCTGTACTATCCATAATTCACTGGGGATTTGTAGAGATTTGAGCAATTGGCTTTTCGGTTGGTATATCTTCTTCATTGCAGTGTTGTGGAAGCTCGATGTAGGAAGACCCAATGCCGTGCGCGTGTGTGCTACGTGCAATGTGCAACTGAATGCGATTGGTTGGAGTGCTTCGAGCCACGCTCACCATAGCTTCCCCGCTCTCTTCATGTTGAAAACTCTAAGGAGGGTAGGCACGGAAAATGCCGGAGTTTTTTGTGAAAGCATTCAGTTAGTTTCCACGTAGTTTGCATTGATTGCAAAGTGAAGCTGTCGCCCTAGGTAGACCTTTTAGGGAGCGTTACAGTTCGTAGTACCTTATGGTTCGATGTAGCTACTCCCTAGGCTTTGGTTATCTGATTTCCATTGGTCCGGGTGATCTATGCCCCTGAGACCTACGAGCTCAGCTGGCAATAGATCCACGTCGTACCTTCATTGCAGTCAAGAACGTTTTTTCTCCAAGTTTATTCAATCCTAAATAGCATCTATGTAGCAGCACAGCACTGAAAAGGCATTGGGTCTTCTAGAATATGTGGGGGGACAAGGTGCTCTTAAAGCAGAAGGGCCCCAAGCGTTTAAGCTGAAATGATGGGACTTTGTTCAGGCCACGATGTGCGGATAGTCTGCGGATCCTGCTTTGCATGTAGTTGCTCTAGTGGCAATTGGACCTAACGCAAGGCATTCTCCAAGAGGGATATTCTCATCAGACGACCTCCCGCGGCAAAATCTGATTAGAAGTGCTTCCATGAGAATAGGGTACACATTTTCGCGCCCCAAAGACTTCTAAAAATGAAGAGAGCTTTCTGCTGGGTACAATACTGGCACGGCCATGGCGGGGCGCCGTTAATCTATGCCTCGCCGAAAAAGTCGATGAGTTGTAATTATGTAGGACAGAGTTCATATCTCGCTAACTTTAGGGCATGCGATGAAAAAGTGGATGAAAGAATTTAGCGGAAGAACCGTAGTTGCCCTTTTTCAATCGGACCAAGACAACCAGCAAGGGAAGAACGGACCATCCAGCTAGTCCTCTGGTCCCCCATGCACCTATCTAGAAGCTGGCCGATTGAATGGATTGCATGATGAGGAGAAGTTCTCAAAGAAAAGGCACTTTTGACGATATTGCAGCGCGATAGGTGCTGCCTGCACAAGACTCCCGTTTAAGCACCGTAGCTCAGTGGGAGAGTGGGGGGCTCATAACCCCCAGGTCCATGGATCGAAACCATGCGGTGCTAGTTTCCCTTTTTGCCACCTTTTTAACAAATAAGAGCATCAGTGTGCCAAGTGATGTTCTTATTTGCTGCTTTTGATTAATGGACATATTTTGGGGCTAATATTCCGGCCATGTTGTGGAGTGCCACTCCCGGCGTGCTGCAGGTCACTGTATCACTGCCGTGCTTATCTCCGGTAATGCATGAAGAAAATGCAAAGCCCTGTTTTCATAGAGTCTAGTGAAATTCTCAAGCTGGTTAGTGCAGCTCTCTTGGGCAAAGGTGCATGCAGAAGTCTGTGTGCTGTCTGGTGTACTGAAGCCGAATCGAACGCACGGGCAGGGGTAAGCTATCTTAGTTGGACGCTTCGTCTAAGCCAAGGCTTTTAGGCAGGGTTGCCTCTTTTGCTTCCTTGCTTGCAATTAGCACAAAAGGTAGCAAAGTACGTTTCAAATGGGACAAGTGTGAGGCAATAGCTTGTTGTAGTACTCCCCTCAGGCATCTAGTCTCAGTACTGCTGCGCTGGAAGGCGGCAAGCATCGAGGAGGCATTCTGAGTATGGCAGTGAAAAGGGATCTCGTCAAAGAGCCTAAGAGAGACGCGTCCCTCCCCCCGCCAATCCACAAACACACACTGCCAGAGCTGGCCGTCTGTCTCATCCTGCCTTTCTGGGTTACGGGACCCTTCGGCTTAAATCCCATGCCAACATATTACATTTCCGCGTACACGTGGCTAGCTTTGGGGTGTAGCCAGACAGAATTATAAATAAGCAAAGTAAAGTTGAAAAAAAGGCTTGCGACCAAAACAAAATTTGCGAATGGACAAGCTTGCGTCGCCAGGAGGTCACGGCATCATCTTTTACACAGAAGAGGGAATAGCACCCCACATACCACCACGCAGCCTCCTTGAAGGACCAGGGAAAACAAAAGTCAATAAACGCTTCGGCAGTAACTACTACTGCTGATGCCAGTAATGCAGCAGCTGAGGCGCTTGGTGACGCAGCTCGTGAAGGTAGACCCATATGGAAGCATGGCTTTTCTGATACTATCCCGTAGAGCAAGCCAAGCACTTTTCAAGTGCTGTCTTGGCCAGCGAGATACCTAGAAGTGCTCGCGTGCATACCCCTGGCAACAACACCTCAGGGGACTCCCAATTTAAGGATCTCCCCCGAATGCCTCGAAGTTTCCACCCCTCCAAGCATGCCAAATTTGGCTAGGAACTCTCCTGCTACGCCAGGCGCACCCAGCTACGCGCGCGTGTACCTAACGCAGGAGCACTCGCTTGCCGCACTCCTCGTTTCTGATGGGCAGCGAAGGTGCAGAGCGCTCGGGAGCCTACCTGTGCCCTGTGGCGTCGTGGTGTCTCAGCAGACCACCTCCAAGAGTCATCATACCGTCGCACTAAAGGCCTAAGTCCGGAACACCGCAGAGAGCCCTCTCTGGGCCCTAAGCTGAGCGCGCGGTAGTGCTGAAGCCTTTGGCTCCCAGAGGGGCCTCTGGGGCCCCCCACAGGGCCCCTGTTTTTGTGCGCTTCCCAGATGCCACCCACCCCACTTGCACCACCAGCGTCCAGCAGCAAGGGCCCTCCCCCCGCAACAGGACCATTCCCATCCCCGCTGAACAAGGGTGTGCCCCCTTGGCAATCCTCCACTCTTCCTACGGGGGTCCGAGGGCCTCCAAATACGGGTGCTTGAAACAGAGTCTCCCCAGCAATCGATGACGATCCGGGAAGCGGCCACGACAGAGGGACCGAGGCGGTGCTGCTGCATAGAGCTGGCGTTGCAACAGAGCCTCTTGAATTCTCTCCCGTAAGCGAGATATCGGGAGTTCCCCAATCTCCCAAGAACTGCTGTGTCGGTTGCAGTTGCAGCTGCCGGCCTCCGAGTGCGCCTCCAGCTCCTTGCACAATGGGCTGTTGCTGTTGTTGTTGCTGTTGTTGCCGTTGTTGCTGCTGCTGTTGCTGCTGCTGCTGCTGCTGCAGCAAGGCGGGAGCAACTCGGTCGCCTATTCCCTGCCCCAGCGGGTGACCTGTGGCAGCCAGTCGAAGCGCCACGGCTCTCCTTAGAGCCTCTGCAAAACCTAAGGCTCGAACGGAGTAGGCCCTCACGCAGCCGTCTCCCTCCCCATATCGCGTGCACCAGTAGGCTTCTTGGGGTCCTCGAAGAAACAGCTGCACCTTAGAAACTCGCTTCTGAAGCACTCGATCAAACGCACAGATAGCAGGGGCCCCCAGGGGCCCCAGGAAGCGCTGGCCAACATAACGCTGCTCCGCCTCGAAAGAGGTTTCCCCGGAGATGTCGCCCTGCATCAGTGACATCACAGCCGCATCACTGAGAACAAGGCATTCTCGCTCTGCGTGCCTCTCAACCGGATGCACAGAGGTCACCACAGTCCTACGACACTTACCTTCGGGCAGAATGCCGTCGTTCCCCCAGACCCAGCGCCTTGCTTGTCATCCAATCGCATTCTTACGTCCCCTTCAGCTGCTGCTACCTCTGCACCCCCTGGAACCCCTGATGCTGCTCGTTCTGTAAGCGTTGTTGCTGCTCCTTGAGGAGCATCGATGAGGAAGAGCGAGGGTGGATCTTGGACGTGCTGCATGCCCCAGGCGAGAGAGGACTGACCCTCGCCTGCATTTCGCAACGCGCCACCGTCCTCAGTGACACCTGCATAGGACAACCCAAGCCACAGCGGACTGTTTGAACAAAGCAGCAACGGCAGCGGCAGCTGCGGAAAAGGGCTTTCAAACAAAGAGCAAGGAACACGTGGGAGCCGAAAAAAATCACTGCAAGTTGCGGGCCTGCCGCCTGCGCATGCAGTCCGTTGGCTGCCCGCACGCCGACTCAGCACGCAAGACACCCGACCAACATTAGCAGCAAGAGCAGAAGCGCACCATCTAAGTGGTGTTGCACGTCCTGTTCCTCTCCAGGAGGCAGCAGCCGCTGCGCCATTAAATCCATGAAGGCGACGTCTTCCGAGAGAGCCCTTAGAAGGTCCTCCTGCTTCAGCAGCAGCAGATCCGTTTCCTTCTGCAACTCCAGCAGCCGCCCCTCCACCACTCCACATTCCCGAAGCACCTCATGGGGGGAGTCCGAAGCAAACATGGGAGTGGTGAGGGTGGTGCTGGTGCTGGTGCTGTTGCTGTCGCGGCTGCTGACTTGCTTGTGTTCTGTAGAGGCTGCCGAAAGTCGCCGGGAGATCTCCTGCGACACCTGCTCTACTGCTTCTCGCGTCAGAGGGGCCCCCTTCTGGCTCAGAACGGCTGTTTTGATGCCCTCAATGTATTCGCTTAACCGGGCTGCAACTCCTGGGGAAGCTGTGTGGTGGTGCTTCTGGTGAGGCTGCTGCATCTGCAGCGTACCGTTCCGCCAATCCTCGGAGCCAGCCTCAAAGGAGGCTTCAAACACCCCCTGTGAAGGCCGCTCCTTGGTGGCTCCCGTCGAAGGCACTGCCAGGACAGCAGCCGCCGCCCTCCGACAAAGATGCAGAGCAACATGCAGCATCTGCATGGCCTCATTTTTGCTGCAGATTGCCGCCTCGAGGCGTCTAAACTGATGCACTGCCTCAACTGCGCGCGTCGCTACGAAACGCCAGTGTCGCATAGCGCAGGTCACACTGTCCTCCGTGAGAAAGTGTCGGATTTCCGTCGCTAAAGCCTGCGTAGAGCCGTCAGCCTCGCCAACAGGAGCCTTCTCAGCTCTGGAGGACGAGATGGAGTGTCTGTGCGCATCCATCTTAGGTGTTGCTGCAGCATCTTCACTGCCTGCTGCCGTTGACGCTGCAGCGCCTCTCGAAGGATGTGCAATAACGTCTTGCGAGGCTCCCGCAAAAGGAACGTGATGCGGGCCCGAGCTGGCCTCCGCACAAACAGCATCAAGGGGTCTCTCCATCTTCACAGAAGAAAGCGCCTTAGGCTGAGACGTCGCCTCAGGTTCTGTCTTCGCTGCTGCAGCAGCAGCCACAGCAGCAGGATCTGCTCCCTTCGGCAGCAGCCCATGCCGAGAGGCAACATCCGCGTCGCTGCACGTGCTAGCACAGCTGTTCTGGCAACGCGTTTGCATGTCGTCGAAGAAGCACTTGCTGCACTTGCTGCTGGTGCTGCAGTTGCTGCTGGTATGCGTGCTGCAGCTGCCTCTTGGACCGCTGCACTTAGGGCTGTCGCAGCAGCACAGAAGAGGCAGCGAGGAGGCTCTTGGAGTCTGCAGCACAGGCCTCCAAGCCAGGAGTGTTGCTGCGGCTGCTGCTGCTGCTTCTGGTTTGAGTGCCCCCTCCAGCGTCAGGGCCGACCCCGAAGGAGGCCCCTTGGCAGCGCGATCTTCCGCCACCTTGCAAGCCTCGAACGCCTTCTCATCGATCTCCCCATCGGAGGAGGGCCCCTTCACAGCCTCGCGAGACGACGCCTCCTGGTGGCCTCCTTCAAAAAGGCGTCCCTGCTTTAGGGGGAGCAGCAGCTCCTCACCCCATTGAGGCTGCTGCTGACACTGCTTTTGCAGTTGCTGCTGAAGCTGCCTAATGGCGCTGAACAGCTGGCCCCCCAGAAGACCCCACTGGCGTGAGACTTGCAACGCCCCTCTAGGCTGCAGCGCTGCCAAGCCTGCGCCTTGAACTGCAGGATCGCCAGCCTCTGAAAGACTCGTAGCCGTAGGGGTGGCAGCCGCTTCTGCAGCTCCAAACGCCGCGCCACGTATTCCCATGCCCCTACAGAGCAGCAAAAAGTCTGAAATGCGGGCCCTCAGGATAGGCAGCAGGAAAGCCCGCTTGGGGCCCCTCCTCCTGCAGCCGCTGCAATAGCGGCTCCAGCCGCCTTCGTCTGCTGCAGAAGAAACACCAGCAGTGGCGCTGCAGCCGCACGCGACGCCGGCAGAGCCGCCCTGGAATCCCGCAACGACTTCGGGGAAATTCGCAGCGGGCAGGAGAGGCTGCTGCTGCTGCTGCAAAGGGTCGCCTTCCGCATACAAGAACCCGCAAGGCGACTCCTCATCCGTGCAGCCATCAGCGGGTAGGTCCTGCAGACCTTCCAGTGGCAGGACGTATTGCTGCCGCTCTGCATGCTGCTGCTGCGAAGCGTGCTGCTTCTTGCTGCTGCTCGGGGCCCCCCGAGGGCCCCACCCCGCCTTTCGCCGAGAAACTCCGTTTGAACCCGCGTTGTTGGCAGTCCCTTGGGGCCCCACAGAGTGCACCATAGGGGCTCCCAACTGGCGAGGCGGAGCTTTCTCCGCAGAAAACTGGAAAGCCTCAAGACCAACACGTCCTTCACACGATTCCTGCATGAGCGGCACCCCAGGGGTAACGCTGTCTGTCGCTGGGCTGCAGGCTGCACGTCCATAGCCAAAGGGCCCCAAGGGCCCCTGACCAGAGTTCACAGCCACCGCTGCAGCGGCTGTAAACTCCCCGAACAACCCCTGCTGCTGCTGCTGGGGAGGCGGCTTCCAGGTGTCTGCGGCAGCTCTGCTAGCCTCACCGGGAGCGAAGGAGGAAGCTTCAACCCCCGTAGCGTCTGCTGGCAACGGAGGCGGAGGGGCCCCGAGAGGAAGATGGAAGTCAAGGTCCCATACGCCAGTGGCGGGCATATAGGCAGTTGAGCCTTTCGCTACCCATGGGTGACTCTTGCAAGCTCGTAGCAGCTCCCTCCAATCCTCTGCTCGAGAGCTCTCCGACAAAGGCTCCCCAGAAACCCCCGAACGTCCTCCTCCTGGAGGCACTGCCTGCTTCTGAGGTCCCCTTGCGAGCCACGGAGAAGGCGGAGCTTCTCCAAACTTGCTCTGCGCATCCTTCCACTCGGGAGATGCCGTCCACGGGGAAGCGTCTGGAGCCGTTTCGTCCGGCATTCCCAAAGTCGCTGCGTGCTGCCGCGTTTCCCCCCCCCCTCCGGCGGGAGGCCAAATCGCTGGAGTGCCCCCCCCTGCGTCTTCCAGTCTGGAAGCAGCGGGAGCAGCTTTGGCAGCCTCACCGGCGGAACGGCTCAGCGCGCAAACAGCCTGGTGCCAGCCACGGACCTCCTGATCGCTTGCGGGGGCCCCCTTGAGGTGGACATACACCAGAAACATCTCTGCTAAGGCCAGGGCCACGTCGTTGGAGTGCCTGCGGAGGCTGAAGCTTTTCATGCGCTTTTTTCCATCCACCAAATAGCGCGCACGCCACTCCCCCTTAACGGGGTGATAGTAACACTGTCTGGCCACCGCTTCGGGGGGCCTCCCACCCCCCGCTGCACACCACCTGTCACCAACGACCGACGGCGTGGGGGCCCCACTTGGTGCGACTGAAACCCCTGAATTCACGTAGGAGGGAGCCTTCAAAGGGCCCCCACTGGAAGCTCCGCCACCAAGGCGACCACTCCCCTTCGCAGCTCCTGCTCGCGAGAGGCTCCCACGCACGCGCTGCGCCGAACTCGCAGCTGCATGGGGGCCCCCCGCGCCATGGCCCCTCTTGGGAGGCGGCGTGACAAGACTCTGGCTGCTGTTCGTGGCACTGGTGGTGCTTGCGTTGCTGTTATAGTGAGGCATTCCTTCTGCAGCAGCCGCAGCTGGTGCTGGGGAGGCCTTCGCTCGCTGAGACACGGGCAGTTGTGAGAAGGGCGAGCCGGAGGCCCCTCCCCCCTCCTGGAAGAGCATCCCCTGGTATTTAGGCAGATGAGAGGGCCCCCCCCCCTTGGGGAGCTCCGGCGTAGGGCACGCAAAGGGAAGGGCGCCATGGGCGAGGAGCAGCTGCTGCTGCTGAAAGGTCTGTTGCTGCTGCTGCAAGTACTGCTGGCTCTGGAGCAGCTGCATGTGCTGCAGCTGCTGCTGCGGCGGTAGAACCAGCTGCTGCTGGAAGGGCTGCTGCACTGGGGGGGGCAATTGCTGCTGCAGGGGGAGTCCAGCAGCAATTGCAGCAGGGGCAGGCAGGGGAACACTCAGCAGCAGAGGCTGCTGCATGGGTGGGAGCTGCTGCTCGCACTGCTGCTCCCCCTGTTGCCGATTTTGGAGCACCTCTGGCACGGCTGCGACATGGGCTGGAACTGCATTTTTCTCGTTTGTCTGCCGCTTTGGGGGCTTCGGGGTGCAGCTGCTGCTTCTGCCGGTGTTGCTGCTCCCTTCCGACCGGTTGCAGCGCCTTTTCAGGCTGCTGTGCTTGCTCCTGCTGGTACTCCCCTTTCCTGCAGCCGATGAGACCGTCCAGGCAAGCTCGGGGCCTAGGGGCCCCTCGCAGTCCAAGAGCACGAGGCCTTCGGGAGCTGCTGCTGCTGCTGTTGCTGCTGGTGCTGCTGTTGCTGCTGTCGCTGCTGCAATTCTGCCGCCCACAGGCAGCTTTTGGTGCTGCTGCTGCCGTAGGGACGCTGCTCCCGCCACCGATAGTACGGGGGGAGAGAGGGCAGCTGCGGTCTCGTTGTTCATCACAATGCTGCATGCCGTTGGAAGCCTCGAGCAGCCTCCTGCAGTTGGGGTCGAAGTCGAGGCCCCTAGTTGTGGGGGAGGACTGCATGGTGCGCTGCTGCACTCAGACACGGCGTCTCCCGTGTTGCTGCTGCTGCTCCTGCTGCTGCTGTTGCTGCTGCTGATCTGCTGCGGCAGCCCGGAGAGGGCGTAGCGGGCCTGTTGCATTTTTCATGTGCAACAGCAGCGGCGGCTGCAGCTTGCTGTGTCTGTCGGCTCCTCCTACTACTGCTGTTGCTGCTGCGCAGCTCGCTGTGTCTGTCAGCTCCTCCTGCTACTGCTGTTGTTGCTGCTGCGCAGCTCGCTGTGTCTGTCAGCTCCTCCGACTGCCGCTGCTGCTGCTCACGCGGCTGCGCCTACTGCTGCTGCTGTCGCTGCTGCACCTACTGCCGGTCATGGAGCCTGTGTGTGTCTCTTGGTGGAAAGCGGGGAACGAGAGGCCGTTCTTGGGGGAAGCGCAACGGGGGCTCTCCAGCCCCCCCTTGCCCAGGCGCGCTCAGTCGAAAGAGAAGTTCCCCCCCTATGTGGCCATAGGGGCCTCGTAGCCTGGGGGGCCCTCTTGAACGACAGTGGAAAGCCAGCCACTGGCATGCAGTCACATCCCATGGAGTGTGTCGGAAGCAGGTCCACGTGTTGGAAAGCTTAGGAGCCGAGAGAAGAGTGCGGGGGATACGGGATGGAGGGCAAGGGTGCCCGTTTTTGCCGTTTCTTTCGCATGAACACCGGCCCACCCCATGTACCACGTACAGGCCCCGCAGTCCTTCTGAAGGCTTCCCCGTTCCTACAAGACCAATAAATCACTCGCTTGAGCTCCTGCTCCTGCCGTTGACGCGGGAATAGCGTTTGCTGCAGGCGGTTCCCCTTCCAGTCGGGCAGCCAGCGAGCATGCACGGAACCCGAGGAGGCCCTGGAGGCGGACCGCAGCCTCAGTGTTTTCCGAGGATAAAGACTACTGCCACAGGTAAAGAAGTCTCAATTCGAGTAGACAAGGAGATCGCGTTGTAGGCGCTTTTTCTGGAAGACAGAGATTCAGCGATAATCTCTAACAAATCTACAGGTGCTGGCCACCATGCAGCGCAGCGGGGCCTGCGAGCGGTCACTCACCACACTTCCTGCGCTTAACTAGTAGGAAGAAGCAGGAGGTAACGGCTCTGCTTGTTTTAATGCCCTTGAAACGTAGAAGAAGGGGCTTAGAGGGCAGAAACCACCAGGGGAGACGAGCTGCTCCGCATCCCCCCGCTTTCGATGCCACTGCGGCCATAACACTGCACGCTCCCCATCTCCGCTGCACTCTGAGCCCCCATAAGGGCCAGGAAGATACGTCATGCAAAAAAGGTGTTGCTCTCCGGCAATCAGGGGTCGCCGCCCGCCCTCTGTAAGCCGCTATTCGGCTGTATGAGGATGCTGGCTGCGAGCAACTACGTGTAGTAAGGCCATGTATGTGTCTCGGTTTCGTAACAGCTCGATACACACGGATTTTTAAACATCGGAGCGTTTCCGTCTAGCTGCAACTGAGTATGGCCAATCTTAGAGATGCCATAAGGATGGGCCTAGCCGGATCAGCTATGCGTCAACATTCTGTATTGCACTAGTTATATTTGACTAAGAATTAGTGAAGACGCGACGAACTATATAGTCTGCTTGTATATCTTATCTATCGCAGAGTACTGCTAGCTGGATACAAGAAGGCTTAATATTGTGCGTGTGTGCGTGCTGTAGATGCTATGTCCAACTAAATGTGAACGCTCGGAGTGCATAAAGGGTGCAACCACGCACACCCAAGCTGCCCGCCTTGCTCCTGTTGGGGAATGTTGGATATGCGGGCAGGGGCCTGCTGGGATTCTCTCGTAAAAAACTAGCCATTTATTATCTTGTGCTGAATCTGAAGTGGAGGGTTTCCCAACGGAGACCTTGGCAGGAGCGTTGCAGGATATCTGTGGAAACGTATCCTGTAGCGGGAGAAGCTACAGTTGCGCACCTTCAAGAATGAGTTACGAGTTGATTACTTAGTTTAGTGTCACTATAACTTATTCGCTGCAGAGCAGCGCTACCTCAGCACAATATGAAGTAGCGTGTTTGTGTGGGCTAGATATTTTGTGCAACTATCTGTCTGTGAATGCTCGAAGTGTTTTTAGGGTGCAGCAACGTGCAGGCTCAGAAGTGGTGACCTTTTCCCATCTAGGGGCCCTGATGGGCGAGGGCAGGGGAAGGCGGAAGGGCCTATGGAAAAACACTCAATAACTGTGGAAGTTGGTAGTGGGTCTGTCCTTACGGCGGCCTTCGGTGGAATCATTCACAGGCATACATCAAGCTAAAAAGAGATCGTAGACCAGTAAAAATTTCCAATACAAAAGACTGTCATCCTGGGAATCGAATTGATGGTGCAGATGGGTGTAGCCCCTACACCACATACCGAGACACGGAAGCAAACGCAGGTGCCGCGCCGCACTTTCCAGGAATTCACGACGGACAGAAAGGCATGGACGTGTGTAGAATGCTGTGGGTGTGTGGAGGACAGCCATGGTGTAATTATGCATTAAGGCTTCCGTGCAGTCTACAGAGGGCCCACTTATCTGACAAACGAACTCGGCATAGAGATCCCGCTTTTTAGCCTTCACAGGTGCTTGGTACCTCCTTGCCTCCCCCTTCCCCCCTTTCTGTCTGCATGTCGCTCTGTCTGTGCGTGCGTATACCTCGCAAAGCATCGTGCATTCCTTTAGAATGCCGCAGTTTTGCGGTTTAGGGAAAAGCGCCGTTTCATTGTTTTTCTGTAAGGGCCTTGGCGCGAAACTAGCGCAATTTAAGCACATAAAGTGGAAGCGTGTGCAATTGTGGCCGTGCGCACACCAAGTTAAATACAGAGGTACGTGTGAGGTGTGTCTATCTACGACTAGAGGGATGGAAGCCGCCCGCACAGTCAGTCAGGCAGCGGTGAGTTTGGAGTACTGGGGGGGTTGGATGATTTTCCGAACTACGGCAAAGAGATGGGGTGGCAGCCAAGAGGCCAGTGTGATGACTGACACCTTCAACCAGAAGGCATGGGTCATCACGAACTGAACGCATACCAACGGACAAGCACGCAAAGCGATGATCTTGATGCACAAGGGGAAAGCATGCATGCAGGGAAGGCACGCACAAGCAAAGGAGAGGGTGCCACGTGGGAGAATCGGCGGCGAGAAGGAGACACAGGGGCTCACGGTAATGTCAAAATAACTGCGCAGGATGAACATCGAGAAGATGTAGATCGTCACAGTGCAAATTTCAGACGAAACCATCAGGGGGTGCCTGTGAAGTGCAAGCAGAAGTATACATACATACATACTTAGATACTTCCAAACAGGCACAGAGACGCACACATTCGTATTTGCAGGAGCACCCACTATGTGGTGTAGCCCCTCGCCTCCGCTGCCATTGCCATTGCCGCACCAGCACTCGCAGAAGCATCAGCAGCCGCTGCAGAAGAGGCAGTGAAAACTAGATATTACTGCAGGCTGCCGAGGCACACAGCCACTTCCCGAAGGGAGAAGAAGCAGCGCTGCCACAGCAGTAACACCAACCGCAGAGAGGTGGCAGCACGACGCATATGAGAACAGCAAGCGGCCGCACACCATGTCTGTATTTCGGAGGCAACGTTCAGCAGTTCCGCCAGCACAAGGGAAGTGAAAGTGATGGCAACGATGTTTGTGAGGCTCTGCTCGAAAAGGAGGATCGCCCCCAGCATCACGACAGCGCCCTGAAGCCACAGCGACAGCGGTACCAAAGAGCTTTTGAGTAGATTGAGGGGAGGGGGTCCAGCGCCCACTGTACGCGGCGGCCACACAGAACGAGACGCAGAAACAAAGACGCACTGCTGAACAAACCAGATGAGGAGTGGAGGGGTGCGGCTGCGCAGCGCAGAGTGAGCGGGCAAATTGGCAACGAACGGCCGAGAAGGCAGCAAGGGAAGAAGAAACATCAGCAGCAGCGAGTAGCGGTAGGAGAGCAACCATGAGCTTTCAAAAGAGCACCCAGCCGTAGGCACACGGGAAGAGACACGACCTCCAGACGGCTGCTTTCCTCAGCTGCATCGTGGATTTGCAGCCGCAGCAAAGGGAGGGCTACTCTTCAAGCGTGGAAAGACAGACAGCAGCGTCAGCGGCTTATGAGGCACCTGGTATACGGAGCGCCACACCCATCCAAAGAAGCTCTTGATGGACAAGGCTCGACCGTTCCGCAGTGTCTGATACAACTCCGGGAACATAAAGACCACTTTTTCTGGGAGCTCTACGTCCAGCACGAGAGACAGCACAGGGGCCGTTGTGTAGTATGTCGCGTAGCCCACTTGCAACCAGCCCTGCAAAGAGGCGACACAGGGAAAAGCCTCTCCGCCTCCAACGGTTACAAGCGCGTGAACCACACGGACAGACACTGAGGAGGTGCACGGGCATCAATTGACGCGTTGCAAGAGGCCCAAGGAGGTGCGAATGCAAAGAGAACAGAGTATATATATGTTTACATACATGTGTCCATACATACATATACATGCATGGACACATGCACATACCAATATACATCGAGACAGACAGACAGAGAGAGAGCGTGAGACACAGGAATACGCCAAAAGCAGGAGAGATTTAAAGAGGCATTCGGGAGGCCGCCTATGGTGTGGTGCACAAAGGTCACACACACACACACACACACACACACACACACACACACACACACACACACACACACACGAGAGAGACAGACAGGCAGACAGAGAGACGCCAGGCGAGGGACAAGGGTAACGCTATGGCATCTGTACCTGGAAGATGGCGAGAGGGATGAAGTAAAAGACTGCGGAGAAGATCACTTGAATGACTGCTATGATGAGGCCCCTGTGGACGACGAATTGCGCAAGTTTGGCGCTTCGTTGGTAGCTGTTTCGCCCATGCCAGAGCAGCAGGCGCCGTAGATGACTGAATTGTGATAAGGAAAAGTCTGCTGCTAGAGAGGCTTGCCGGCCCTCTTTTCCCTCCAATCCGACTCCGACGTCCTGCGCAAAAGGCCACCCCCCGCAAACGAAGGAAAGCACATGCGGGGAGTTCAGGCTTAGACGGCAGAAAACGGGGAAAGGGAGATTTCAAGAACTCCGCGCGAGCACTTGGCGATCCAGAGTGTTTAATTCGCTACTACTTAGCCGGGGAAGCGCTTCGGAGCCAAGAGACTCGCTGAAGGCCGCCCTCCTTGGGAGAGGCAGCTCGCAAGGCGCAGGCTGCTAAGCCCGTGGAGACAGCGGCAGCGGCGAAGCGCGGGCAAGGGCAATGGAAACGCGTGCTAGCGACTCAACTGACCGCTGCCTGAATCATCGAGACGTCGTTTCCCCCATCGCCTACGGCACAAGTGCGTCGGCCCGTGTACTGCTTCAGCAGCGCCGTTACTGCGGCCTTTTGCGTGGGGGAGCAGCGGCAGCAGACCACTGCCGGAGCCTGGCAGGCGGTAAGAATGAAGTATTTTGGAAAGTGACAGAGGAAGAGAGACAGCACACGGCCGTCAACTACCAGAACCGACTCGCTAGGACCCATGCTGAAGCGCTCTAACGCCTCCTGAGCCTGAGGAGGAAGGCGCGCGCATGCAGCAGGCAAAACGGGCAGCTCCTTTTACGCGGCCTCCCGTGCACGCAGCTGGCACTCCGTCCACGGAGAGAGAGACACCCGACAGGCCTTAAGGCTCCCAGGCGAAATGCAAATGCGCGTGGCTTCCAACGGGAGGCGCGAAGGCGCGCCGCGTCCTCTCTCCTCGCCTCCCCCAGACGCTACCCCTCCCTCTCCCCGCACAGGATTCGGGGAGAACTCGCTGCTTTTTGAGGCAGGAAACAAGCAGGGTTGTGTGTGTGTGTGTCTGCATTTATGTGTGTCTGTATTTATGTGTGTATGTGTGTATGTCTGTGTGCGTGTGTCTGTGTGTGTGTGTGTGTGTGTGTATGTGTGTATGTATTTATGTGTGTCTGTGTGTGTGTTTGTCTGTGTGTCTGTCTGTGTACATGTGTATAATATATATATATATATATAGCTGCGGGGCCTGGCCGGTGGAAACCGTATTGGGCTTTTCTCCGCAAGCGATGACTTTTTGCAAGACGAGCAGCACCCAGCAGCACGCGCCAGGAAAAAAAACACGGGGGCTCCCTACACCCTGAAGGCTCGCGCTGTGCAGCAGGCAGCAGCGGGCAGCAGGCAGCAACAGCAGGCAGCAGCAGCAGCAGCAACAGCATCTCTTCGGAAATTACCTGCCCAGGCGTCCTGATGGAAGCAGAAGAAAGAATGGTAAGGCTGTCGTGCCGCCCCTTCAGACCAGCGGAGGCGGCAATACACGTTGCCGTTTCAACTTTGTCTCCTGTAAGCATCCAGATCTTGATCCCTGCATGTCTAAGAGACTCGAGAGTCTCCGGCACGGCCTGCGTAGCACAGACGCAAAAAGCAGCATCCCCACACCACACCCCTGCGCATCCACCCCCCACCGTTTCCTTAAAGGTCACCACGCGCTCGCCCCCTCCAAGGCATCCCACCGCTCAGAGACCTCCACCCCCCATTGCCACACAAAAAGCGGCAGAAAGTGGCATCTCTGCTCGCAGACGCTCCACCCCAAGTCGCTCTCCCCCCAGAGGCTCCCGTAGCCGCCGCAACTGCATCTGCGCTAAACGGAAACGCCTCTCTCGTAGCAGAAAAAGCAGCAACCGACGTCCTGCAGCTTGTCTTCAACCCCCGTCAGCCCGAGGAGAAGAAGATCCTGCTCGAGCCGCTCGATTTCTCTGCGCACTCTCCGTTCGCGCTGCTGCATTTGACGTCGTGCCTCCTCGTATTTGGCCCTGAAGGCTTCCAGCTGGGAGGCCGTCAGTTCCTTATACGCAAACACCAACGTCCGCAAACCTGTTGACAAGAGACAGCAGCAACAGAAAAAAAGTGAAAGAGAGACGCAACGCAACAGCATGGGAAGGGTCAACACGCTAACAAATCCGCACAACAAGCACATACTCTCCCTCCTTCCTGCTGCTGCTGCGCTGATGCAAGAGAAGCACTCTCAGGTGCCAACTGCAGAGGTTATTATTTGCTCTCGGGAACTTCAGCACGTGGCAGTCTGTCTGTCTGCGTCTGCAGGATCGATGATCCTTGGAAAACCTCTCTATTGAATGCGTATATGCTCCGCGTCTCAGCGCGAAATTGCTCGTTCTCTCTGGCTCTAGCCATCTCCTAAAGGGTTGCGGCTTCCAACAGCAGCGTTACAGCGGGCACTCTGCCTGCCTCTACTGTTCGGTTCCTCCTGCGCCGCATTCTCCCTATCTATCTGCCTGCCTTCATTTTATCTGCAAAACATCACCTTGTCTGGCGAAGTTATCGCATTCTTCTGCGAGCCACTGAGAACCCTTGGGCCTTACAAGAGAGAGCATCACTGTCTCGGCCCCCTGAACGGAGACACCCCGAAAACATTCTCCCGTCAAACTTCCACACCGCTCTGCTTTTCCCAAGATCTCAACATGCCGCATATCCAAAGCACACCTCCTTACTCCCTCCATAACCCTCCATACAGCCAGAACCTCCCTGCCCTTTCGCCTCCCCACCTGCCCTCTGTCCCTCCGCATGCCCGCTTCCCCATGCGGAGCTCTCCCGCCTCCCCCCTTTCTCTCTCTCTCTCTGTGTGTGTGTGTATCCGTGTCTGTGTGTATGTATGTATGTATGTGTGTGTGTGTATGTATATATATATATATATATCTATGTGTGTGTGTGGCCTGCACGCGCGTGCTGTCCTCCTGTGTAAGCGCTCTCTCTGGCGCTAGGTTAGGCACCGCTGCACTACAGAGCTGCCTCTGGAGCGCAAAAAAGCCTGCTAAGCCGCTTCTGGAGCTGCCTCACCCCCAAGTAAAACGCTGATTCTCTCATGCATATCTACACGTGGATTTGGATGTCTGCGCGCTCTCTGGTATGAGGGGGACCCCTCGAAATTCCCGAGGGCCGCCTTTCGAAGGAAGACGTGTGAAACATCGTGCTTCCTAATACCTTGACATAGAAGAAGATACGTTGGGTGGCTTTGTCTTGAACAATTATGCCCATCCTCTTGAGCTCAGACGAAAACGGAAAGCAGTGCAGCACGGCGTACTCAAACACGACGCCGCATGGGCCCTAAGGAGCAGCACACGAGCGAAGATGTAGCAGCTCTTTGCTTGCATGCTGCTTGCCGCTGACTTATCAGATGCTCGCACGGAGGAGAAGAGAAGGCGAGGGAAGGAATAGAGAGAGCGGGAGAGAGAGAGAGAGGGGGAAAAAAACCCGCAAGTGTATGGCCAGCCACTAGCGTTCTAGTGAGGAACAGGCAGCGGTAGCAGCGGCACAAGCGCAACAGGGAAGCAGAAGGCGTTGTAGCACCTTGCCTTCTTGACTTGAAGGCAAGGTACAACAAGCGCAGCAGCAGGAAAGCACAGCTTGCAAGGCGCAGCTGCGATACAACAAGCAGGAGCGGCAGCAAGTGCGTAGCTAGCGGCACGCGCAGCGAGCAAGCACCTCAATTGTCATATTGTGTTCGTCTCTCTGCACGAGACGGAGCCCAACTTCGCTAGCGAATTGGACAAGGGCCACTTCATCCGGCGAGGCTGCTTGGAAGTGAAGCTGAAGCGCAAAGAAGTCAAGACACACACAGCCATAGGTGAGCGCGCAGTCGCTGCCGTAATCGCATGACGACACATTCCCACTGTGCCTTTGGCGGGAGGGGGCCGCAGAGAAATAGTCACCTTCGAGCTCGCGAAAAAGGCTGAAAGAAAGGAGGAGAAGGGGGGGAGAAGAGTAGAGAAGAAAGAAAGAAAGGAGGACAAAGGGGAGGGAGTAGAGAAGAAAGGAGGACAAGGGGGAGGGAGTAGAGAAGAAAGGAGGACGGGGGGGAAGCAGAGAAGAAAGAAAGGAGGATGGGGGGAGTAGAGTAGAGAAGAAAGAAAGGAGGACAGGGGGGGAGAAGAGAAGAAAGAAAGGAGGCAGCAGCGGCAGCGGAGGTGGTACACGTGCACCCTACACGTTTACGCGCACCATTACCAGCGGGCAAGTATTAAGTGCAGTACAGGAGTCGAAGGGGTCGCGCCAAAGAGCAGCAAAAGAAGAGCAACTTGCCTGCCCGTCTTCGGTGATGGGTGTGACGTTGTGACAGATGCTAAGGGCTTTAATGGCCTCTAGTGCCGCAGACTCGACTTCGCTGCGTCTGCTTCTCCTGCCGTAGGGAGCTCCTCCTCCAGAGGCACTCTCTTCTTGGCTTCGCGTCGAGCTGAGTAAGGCCTCCCCCCCTTCCCAATCCTCGCATCGGGGGGGAGAGCTGCAGTTGCACTGGTGCGTGACACACTGCTGCAGCTGCTGCAGGCCGTCGTCTGCGAAGAGAGCTCTGCCAATGTGAAGCTTTTTGAAGTGCATTTCGTTCTGCGTCAGTGTGCCGGTTTTGTCGGAAAGCAGGTAGTGAACGCGGCCAAGCTCCTCTGGCAAGGTAGACGTTCGCACCAGCTGCAAGCGCAGCGGGAGGCAAGCGCAGCAGCAGCGTGTCGGCGTTTAAGGAGGGCCTTACGACTATCGTGAGGCGTGAGCAGGTCTGTTGAGAAGGAGGAAGCGGCGCACAGTGTGTCCAGGTTGCTCGCGGAGGAACGAAGAAAAAAGAAAGAAACAGACCGACATCGCATCCTCAGCCACCCTTCCCAATTACGCAGAAGAGACAACGAAAACGAGGGGCGAGCAAAACGACAACACCGCAGGAAAGCAGAAAAAGCCCAAAGACGAAAACGGAGCACGCGGACGAAGAGAGCCGCATTTCTGAGGCATGACTGACGGCTCCTTTCATGCGCTTGTCCCTCATCACATTCAAGCTGTGGATCGTCTTGGCGATGATGAGGTTCACTTGCAGGCTGATCGGAATTATCGAGGAAAGCAGGAGGATGAAGCGGCAGAAATACACCACCCAGATGCCTTCCAGACCGCGCAACGCCACCAACGCCAGCGCCAAGAGACACAAGAGCCCAAAGAGAACCTTCGCCATGAGATTAACCTCCAAGTCAAAAAGCCCAACCTTCGTCGAAGCTTGCGAAGCGTTCATGCTTGCGCGTGTCTCCTAAAAGGGCCCCACACAAATTTTGGAGGAGCCGCACACCCCCCACAGCACAGGAAGAGAGCCGCAGAATGAGGTGCAGAAGGGCAGGGATGCAAAAAAACAGTCGGAGGAGGTTCTAGCAGAACATAGTTCTAGCCCAGAAAGGCCGTCACACACACACATTCACATACAAACACACCCAAACACACCCAAACAGCTCTCACGCTGCCACTATCGCAGCAGACAACAGCTAATACACGCGCGCGCTACGACAATCAGCAGCAGATTCGGCCCCCCACACGCATGCACACACGCAGTGCACATGCACCATCACCACCAGCCGCACGTGTATGCACGCATGCACGCATGCACGCTATACACGCATCACCACCATCACCATCACCCGCAAGAACGTGGTTTGAAAGCCCCACTCTGCCTGTGTAGATCGCCAGACCAAATACCGTTCCTGAAGCCACTACAGTATTTGCCCATAGCACATTATCCAAGCCTAGCGGCTCAACATGCGCGGCGTTGCAGTGGCCTCGTGCGATGTTCACCTGCGGTAGCCACGCCAGCAACAACGCACAAAGGGAGGAGGTGTCGATCAGCCCCTCCCGCAGCTGAACGTCTGTTCTCGCAGGCGAGAGCAACAGCGTAAGCAGAGACACGGAAGACGTCGGGAAAAAAGCAAACGAAAAATGAAAGCACTCGAAAAAACACACTGACCACTGTGTCACCGGCGGGAGGAAGTGCTGCTGCTGCTGCCAGTCCCGCTGCTGCAGATGAGCGTCTGCTGCTAGAAAGATTTTCTTCCTCCTCCTGCGGCTGCGGCTGCAAGAGAGAGCCTGAAACAGCGCACTTCTGCGCCTCAGAGGAGGCTGCTGCAGGTACTTTGGCTACAGCAACAGCAGCAGCAGCAGCGGCAGAACTCGCACTGCTGCCGCCAGTATTGCTGCTGCTGCTGCTGGACGCGTTTGTGTCATAGAGAGAAAAGCGACCCGTAAACTCGTATATATCCTGACGTGGAGCCTCCACCAGCACTTGCGCGTCCAGCGAGACGATCTGCTCGGGGCCGCTGAGGTGCTGAGTTGCGTGCACTGCACGCCTGCAGAAAAATCGAAAAAGTGCAGCAGTGTCAAAAGCCCATCCCCTCAGAGGGCTGTAAGCGGCACACCAAAAGCCTAACAAAGAAAGATTACAGGTCGAAAACCAAGTATCTATGGCCGTAGAAAATTGCAGCTCTCCGGATGAACGGGAGAGGGAGACAGAGAGAGACAGACAGAAAAAAGACAGACAGACAGACAAAAGACAGAAAAAAGACAGACCGACAAAAGACAGAGAGACAAAAGACAGACCGACAAAAGACAGAGAGAAGGAAAGAAAGTAAACCGTTCGAAAGCATATGTGGCCAAGGATGTCAAGGAGAAATCTACAGACAGACACAAAGGCAACGAGAGCAACACCCCTCGACGCGAACGCCGCAACTAGGAATTGCAGCAGAAACCCCCCTGTTTGACCTGAGCTTCCAGTCCGTTTCGCCATCTAATTGGTCTGTCCGAATAAAGCAGCTGCCGCTTTTTTCTGTTGTCTTGAGAAACACCAAGTCTGCGGGAACTCGTTGGTTCGCCCCCACCTGAATCACCTGGCCGACGCGGATGTTGCATGCACTCACGGGTTCAAACCCTGAGCAAAAGGACACCTCGTTTTTGCGACAAAACGGTGAGCAAAGGCAAGAAGCCAGTCTCCTGTCCGCGTATCTCGACGCCCTTTCGCTAGGCTGCCCCTGCCACGAGCAAGAGCGAGCGAGCGAGTTACGGCATGCTACAGGCGTCTAAATCACGGGAGGGTGTTGTACGGGTAGCTAGCAGCAGTTCAGCAGCGAGGAGAAAAAAGGCCAGCAAATAAGGACGAAAGAGGCTGGCAGCACCTGTGGGTAGGAGGCGCGCATACTGTTGCTCGTTGAGCTCCTTGTCTCGGATATACCTGCGCCCGCATCGAACCAGAGGCTTTTTCGAGGGAAAATTATTCGCGGGAGAAAAGGCAACGAGATGCCAATGAGCAGCTCCGAGAATTTGAGGGCAAAGGATACACAGAACAGGGGGTGCAAGGCTTGACTGTGAGGAGTACCCCTATCGCCCCTACAGTCTGCAGGGATGGGGTAAGCGGGCTGCATTGCCGTTTGTCCTCGCTGCTTCTGTGTTGTTGAAAGCGGTGCTGTCGCTGCTCCCGCCGTCTTAGCGGCAGCAGCTACCTGATGAACAGATTATTATTATGCTCCGCCTTAGGCTCACCGTTTAATATCATCATATGCCTCCTTGGCTAGCGTGGCGAGCAACACAAACGCCAACGGCGCTAAGTACGTGAACAGAGGACCCACCTAAAGCCACAGACATGACATGCAAAACAGCGGCGCGTGAACGCTCCTGCAGAGATATATAAACAATAGAAACAGGAAGCATCTAAGCAACAGGAGTTGCATCTGCATATAGTGCTGCTGCCGCTACTGCATCTGTACATTCTGCATATAGTGGCGCTGTTTGCCATTGTATCTGTATCTACTGTTGCTGCTGTTGTATCTGCATATATTGCTGCTGCTGCCATTGTATCTGTATCTACTGTTGCTGCTATTGTATCTGCGTACATTGCTGCTGCCGCTGCTGTATCTGTATATTCTGCATACAGTGCTGCTGCTGCTATTTTGTCTGTATCTGCGTAGACTGGTGCTGCTGCTATTGTATCTGTATATACCGCTGCTGCTATTGTATCTGTATCTACTGTTGCTGCTATTGTATCTGTATCTACTGTTGCTGCTATTGTATCTGTATATACTGCTGCTGTTATTGTATCTGTATCTGCATATTGTGCCGCTGCTGCTATTGTGTGTGTATCGGCGTAGACTGGTGCTGCCAGCAAAGCAGGTGTTTGGGAAGCGTGGAACCTGGAGGATTGGAACTAGTTGAGCCAAAGCCACGATGAGGTAGAAGAGGTTGAAAAAGAATCTGCAAAAGCACAAGAACACCCGCAGGAATAACGGAAGCAGCTGCTAGAAAAAGGCAGCAACCCTGTAAGACAGAGACTCCCACTGCGGTTCGAATGAAACCTTCTACCCCCTCGGCGGAGCATGTGCGAAGCAGAGGCAATGAGGATCTAAGGCCGTTGCCAGCTCGCAACTGCTGCTCTTTTGCTGCTGCTCCTCCTCCTCTGCAGCAGCAGTGCGCGTTCCTCACCTGAATTGCTGGAAGAGGACGACTGGGAGAAACGTGAAGAGCGAATACTTTGTGTTTTTAATGGCATTACTTGCTGCACGCACCACCCCGAGACACCCTTCCAGTCCGCAAGGGGAGGCTTGTGCGTATTTCGCAGCAATGCACGAGAGCCCTGCCTGCCTCGAAGCAGGGGCAGAACAGGCTGAGGCTGCAAACGTAAGACGTGAGTATATTGTGTTTTAGGGGGAGCTGCAGAGCCCATGCACGACTGTCGGGAAGGAGGCAGCGGCGCGAGAAGGAGCTGCACAGAACAGCAAGAGGCACACAATGCAAAGCAAAAAAGAGCCAAGGCAAAATGCCAAACGCAAAAAACACTTACTGAAATGAGTTGGAGCTGTTTGCCCAGAGAGGTGAATGAGGCGCTCCCGGTATGCGGGCTTCACGCCACAGAGACGCCGCAACAAGAGTGCACACATGCGCTGCAGGCAATTGCCGTCCTAAATCAGAGAAGAGTAGATACACACACACATGCATACATGAGGGAAAGCAGCCTGTGCGGCTTCCCCCCTAACGCTACTGCCCTAGAACCCTTCCCCCTCTCCCCAGCTGCAGTTTGTGCTGCAGCTCGAGCTGCTCTGCTGCCTTGAAAACAAACACCGAAAAATCCTTTGGCGGAAACGCAGATGGAGCCAGAGATGACCCCTCCGGCCGCTCTCTTTTCACTGTCGGGTTATTCCAGAAACACACTCAACACTTTAATCCGGTCGGTGTGAAAGTGTGATTCTCGAAGGCATGCATGCATGTTGAACACCCCCACCCCTCTCACCCTACCCTCCCCCTACCCCTCTCACCCTCCCCTCCCCCCACCCCTCTCACCCTACCCTCCCCCCTGCCCACCACCCCCTCCATACACACAGAGGCACGCATGCATGCATGCATGCATACATACAGAGGCCTACCCGTCCCGCCTCCACCCACACACGCACACGCACCTCAGGACAGCAACCGCCACCCCTTCTCAGTAGGGGGGCCTCCTCCGTTGTTTCATACTCCGCATGGGAAAGATCGCGTACTGGCTGCATCATCTTTGCGCGGGCTTCTCCACAGGCTTCCTGCTGACGTTCCTGCCGAAGAAACCGAGTGCTCGCGCAACACAAGAAGCGTCTTGGGGGGCCCCTAGCGGTAAGGGGCCCCCTCAAGGGCGTCTCTGGAAGAGGACTTCGCGCAGGGGATGCCGGATATGCCCCTTGTCGCCACAGGAGCAGCAGCAAGGGCTGCTTGCGCTTTTTCGCAGGGTAGGCCTGCAAGGAGGCAGCAGCCAGACGCACGTGAGGAAATCCCACGGTGAGAGCAGTGGTTGCTGCCGAAGCGAATGTTTTAGCCGAGCCTGCTGGTGATGCGGGATCAGCTACTGCCTCAGCAAGAAAGCGTTCGGGAAGCACCGGCAACGGGGCGCACCTGTAAGATATACTGCCACCGCCAGCTTTCTATGTCTTTTTCTAATTCGCAGTCCCCCCAACAACGCAGGAGCCGCGCAGTCACCGAGGCTCGCAGGCAGCTGAAGGCCGCTGCATGCGACGGCTATCCAGACGGGACGGATGCAGGAAAGTTTTAAACCCTAAACGCTCGTGCTGCTCCGCGTATTTTGAGTAATTTGGGTCTCAACTGCGTAGTAGGTGCTTCTAGCTGGGAGGTTTTGTCGTGTGTACTGCCGTGCGTGGCTACCCCAGCCGGCAGGGGGGGCCCTGGTGTGGGCGGGTGTTGGCACTTCCGGGATAGGGGGCCCCGCAAAGGGCCCCTGTAAGGGGCCCTTTGCGGCGTGGTGAGCGCAGTTGCCAAAATCATGTTTTTCTTTCAGGGTATGTCACCGTGCTTTCATCTCCACCTGCCATCTCAAGGGGGGGTGGCCCCTCTAACCCCTTAATGCAGCGGCTCAGCCATCACCTTACCTCTTGAGAAAGAGTTCCTGCACGCAGAGGGCGTCGCTAACTCGGTAATGACGATGAGACGGTGCAGCCTGAGAATGGTATCCCCTTCAGGTCCTCAGAGGAATGTCTTCGTGTATCTTGTTGCATGGGGCCCTACCTGTGGGTCGCTTGTGGACACAGAGCACCTGGGCCTAGGGGGTCGTAACAAGCCACAAACCAACCTATTAAAACTACCTAGTTTGGTAAAAAGCTGCTCAAGTTTGTCTGCTTGCATCGGGTATCCGTATATCCTACATGTTGGCTGGCTAAAAGAGCACGCTCCGCCACTTCCCACTACGCCAGTTGTAACGAGGAACACTTTGTAAATCTGTTTTGTGGGCTCTAGAAGCGTCCCTATGGCATGCACATAGATGAAGAGTCCCCCATTGGTCGTATGCTTAAGGGTGAGCAAAAGGCCAGGGTTCATTTTATTCCGCACGCTTGCTGTAACACTAACTAAAGCCAGCCCTGCTGCGCCAACCGTTTGGGAATGCTTTTCGCTTCACGTGTAGGGACTGCGTAGATACACTTGGTGGACCCCGTGTTAAAGCTGTATTGACTAATTAGAGCGAGGGCCAACTTGTACATGAAGATAGAACAAAATGAGCTCTCTGGTTAGAGTTACGCTCCCTCTGGCCTTGCGCCAGTAGCTTCTGCTCTGGGGTCCTCACGCAGCTTATGCAAACTCCTTCGTCCGGAAGTGCCTAACTTTCTCCCTTCCTTCCTCTCCCAGTAGGACTGGCGCCTCTGGTCAGCTGCAACTATCGGCAAAGCTCGGTTGGAGGAGGCGCACCAGCGTACTGGGTGCAGAATGAACACCCGTTGGGAATCGACCGAGAGGAGCATGACAGCAGCAATTCTGCTGATGTTGCCTGCCGCTTGTTTCACTCAGATTTCAGCAAATCTCCCCCGTTCGAACCTGCGTGCGAGTGCTTCCTCTAAGAGCACTGTATTTGCGCTGCCTCAGCAGCATCATGACTTCCTACACTACGCGCTCTGATCGCCGCGTAATTGGACGAACAATTTTGAGCAGAATGTCGCAAACAATGACCCACTGGGAGCTGTCCCTCCCCATCTGCGCCACGCACACCGACGACGCCAAACAGCGGGGGGAGTCATTTCTCGCGGTATTCCTAGGCAGTGAGCCCTTCTACAGGAGGGCCTCCTACTGAGAGTGCCTCCACCTTTAAAGTGCTTCCTGGAGACAACAGTGGACGCTTCCTGAAGGAGTTGCCTCTGCGTACCCCACGGGCTGCATAGGGGCCCGAAGTGGGGGGATGTTAGGTGGCTGCAGGAAGGCTTCTGGGGCCGTTGCCTCGGTGCATGCAGCAATGTGTGCGACGCATGGGGAGCCCCCCAAGCGCCTCCGTTTCTTCTCGCTGCAAAGACCCTACGCTCTGTGACTAGTCTATCTGTTTTTTAAACAAAAGTCAGAATACGATTCCCGCAGTTGGCACACAGGCGAACAGCTAGTGCCCCTTTTGCTGCTCCACCTGCTGCTTCTGGTGCTGCAGGCGCCGCGCCGTGACGGCCAGCAGGGGGCCCCCCGTGAGTAGCAGGGCTGCAGGCTCGTGCTCTGGGGGGGCCTCGCTCTCGCAGAAAATCAGGTTCTCCTCGTGGTTTTCTGCAGCACTCGCCTTGTTACTGGTGCAGCTGCCTTGGCTACTGCTGGTACGTGTTTCGTACGAGGAGACAAGGAGAGCCTCTACCTCATCCGCGCACTGGGCATTAAAAGCAATCGCAAGGAGACAACGCTTATCTCGAAGGGCCACCTCCTGCCTCCAAGTTGACACTGCCGCTGCCGTACTTTCGCACTCCCTACAGAGAACCTCCTTCCCCAACGCGACGGACCCTACAGCTGGCGCGGCTGCCGCTGCGGAGGAGACGCTCCCCTCCAAAGCGTCTGACATGGAGGCCCCATGGCTCGAGACGCTAAGGAACCGTCCCCCCCCCGCAAGCCAAGAAGCCCCCTCCTCCCGATAGACTCCTGACGCCGCACGAGCTGGTGCAACCCCTGCGCTGCTGAGGGGCCCCACGGAGGCCCCCCCTCTGACCTGGCCTCGTCGTAACACTGCACCCGAGCTCTTCACCGAGGCAGTTTTTTCAGACTTTTTTTCTCCTTGAACACCCCAGGTGACACTACTCCCCGGCAAAAGTTCGTCCACGTCCCACTGCTGTGGATTTGCTCCGCAGGAAACGCCCTCTCGAGCACCCGAGAGAGCGCCAGCGGCAGCAGAAGCCGCTGTGGAGGCAGCAGCAGAAAGCGCAGCAGCAGCAGCACTAAGAACCCTGTGAGGGCCCCCAAGAGGCCCCTTTTCGCCCCCCACAAGCGTACCAGAAGCGGGATCCTGCTCCTGGTACGCCTGGAGGCTCTCTCTTAGGCTCCTGGAAGTGCATACATACGCACAAGCACACATGCACATATTTACACACATTGATGCATACGTGGATAGATCCATGTGACATACATACATAGATGCATACATACATACATAGATGCATACATACATACGTAGATCCATACATGCATACGTAGATCCATACATACATACGTAGATCCATACATGCATACGTAGATCCATACATGCATACATAGATCCATACATACATACATAGATCCATACATCCATACATAGATCCATACATACATACATAGATACATACATACATAGATCCATACATACATAGATAGATACATACAGAGAGCAAGAGAGATACGCACAGATATACATTCATGCAGGGCAGAACCTGCTAATTGCCTTTTGCCGCGATTCGTAGTGGCACTACCTTCCCTCTACCTCCCAAGGCTGGCCTCTAGAGGATCTTCCCGTGAAGGCCCCATGGAGGAGGCAGAAGGAGCGTCTCCCCTCCTACGGCAGGCTGGACTAGACTTTTCTCTCCACGAGAGACTACGTCTTTTATGCTTGAGCCTCTCTAACGACTCCGCTTGAGGACGCCTACTGACTGCCTGTCGACCTGTCTGCAAGACGTGTCCCCCTTCGGGGAGGAGCATCTGAAGGGGCCTCTTTAGAGAGGGGTGGGAAAAAAGGGAGAGAAGTGCCAATGTGAGATTTCCTGAGATGAGAGAAACACGGGGGCCCCTTTCTATGGAGGCAGGAGAGCCTTGTTCGCTACGAGCTCGTATACAGCTTACGGATGCGTGGCGTCGGTGAGTTCCCGCAGCTCCTCAGTGAGGCGCGTTGCCTCCTCCCGCAGAAATCTGACGGCTGCTCTGCGTTCCTGCACACACCGCGTGGCCGCATACAATGCAGATGAAGCGTCTTCTGAGCCTAAATCGATGGCATGGTGGGCTGCGCTTGGCGGCTTTTTGCTGAAACCGACCCTCCCTGTGGTGGAAGGGAGGGAGGAAGGGGGGCAGAAGAAGGGGACAGGCGGGCTAGCGCGTCGAGGGAAGAGAGCAGTCAGACACCTCCACGCTGGCTCGACGCGCTGGCTCGACGCGCTTGCTCTCTCGCGTGAGAGGCATGACGCTCAGCGGTCCAGCTTTCACCTCCGGAAACTACCCGAGGTGGTCTCGGCTGCGGCCAAGTGGAGAAGCCAAAACACGGCGTCAACAGCAGCAAGAGCAGGCGCAACAGCGAGAGGCCCTACCGCGCAGAAAGGACACGATTTTGGATCCACGAGGGTAGCCTGTTGCGCTACAGCGAAGGGCTGTACGGTGAACTTGTTGGAGGGAACTGAACCCCTTCTCCAGCCAGACACGAACCACCGTATTCCAAGGCCCCCCTCAGGAGTCAAGGAGGCGCTTCCCCGAGCGAAACTTCCAGCGCTCGTCCCCAGGTGCCCCTCGCTTAGAGAAGCCCCCAACCACGAGGCTGCGCCAGTCCATATATCCGACAGCGAGCGGCTTCCTGAATCGGCAGGGGTACCTCCGCTCGCCGTCCTCCGTTCTTGACGGTGCAGCACACTCCCTAAATAGCGCCGAGAGGGGCCCTCCATTGAGGATTGGAGGCTCGATGCCTCATCGGCGCTCTGCTGCATGTCAAGGGCCGATGCGCTGCCTGGCGGCTGGGAGGCGTCGAAAACGGGCGGAGCGACCCCAGAGAGCTACGAGGGACTCAGTGCGTGGGAGACACACAGTCTTCCAAAACAATAATGACCACAGAATCACCAGAGAATAAGACTCTCACTTCCCGGTCGCTAGATTACAACCCTAGACCGCAGAGGGGCTGTGGAGCAGTGCGGTGTCAGTCCTTGAAACCCTCTTCTTCCCGCCGCTCTTGCCACTTTCGAGCTCAAACAATTTTTAATGCGCACAGAAATACGCACAGAGAAAACAGCCGCACAGATCTAAGGCGGGGGGCCCTAGTACGCCCCCCTAGGTGTCGGCGCAGCCCTCGCCACGCTACGCGTGTCAGCGGCTTCCCTTGCATGTGGCGTGGCTGCGCAAGGGAACGCAATCGCTATTTGTTGCCTGTGCGCTACGCGTAGCCAAATTGCACTCTCGTGCGAAAGACATGCATTGGCGGTGGCCAAGATGCAGTCCGCGCACTCCCGGGGAAATACTCCAGGGGACCCCCCAATATCACATTGACTCCGGAGCAAATAGCATGGTAGTTCAAACTGTTCGAGACAATACACAGCCTCTTTGGGGGCTCAATGAGGGCCCCTTATTCGTCAAACCACGCCCCATAGCTGCAGAGTACGACGCGAACGAACCATGCTACAACGGCACGGGAGGCGGGCAACGCCACAACATTTGGGAACTTTCTGCTGAATGCATAAGTTGTATTTTGCCGAGATTTAGTAAGGGAATTACTAATGTGACTGTCTTCTAAAACATATTATTGCCCGCAAAGTACTTTCTAGATCTATTCCAGATGGCGCAATGGCGCGCGCGGGTGCGCTAGATGCTGTGTGCAACTAGAGGTGAACGTTCTTCCGACCACTGCGGAGATACAGCTATGCAACACCCAAGCCGGCCCTCTTCCCTCACGTCGGCAACTCTCAAGGGCGCGGCGAGAGGAAGGAGGGAGCACTTCTGAAAAAAACGATTTTAGTTGGTCCGTATTGAGTCTGGAGTAGAGAATCTCCTGACGGACATGTTACGTGAAGCTTTTCAGGAGCGGCATTACAGTCCAAATGGTCCCTGCAGGGCCCTAGTAGTGCCGTGAACCTTAGGATCTATTAGCACGGTATGCACCTGCTCTTTCAACTCGGCGAATGCCAGCGCCAGCAGAAGACACAGGGGGGAGGCACAGACGTACGCAGTAGCAAAAAAAGCAGGATCTAGAAGAGGCTCCTTGGCCGAGTCGAACCATGCCAGTACTAATCAGCCTCAGGTCTCACTGAGCGACAGGTCCAAACACAGTGCCCCATTGCGCCTCTCCTTCGAGCACAAGGCAATATGTATGCACATATGAAACATGTAGGTGGCAGTTCTAGCAGCACGCTGCTGCCTGCTCGTGTTGATGCGGCTGCTGCGCTGCAACGGCAACTGCTGATGATGCGTAGCGAGCACCTAATAACGCACTGCAGAAGTGTTACCCTAGAAGGACCTTGCCACGCAAGGGGGCCCAGCGATACTTCAATCCACTAGACAAGGCGCCCTGGCATCCACAGCAAGGTGTCTACTCAACAAAGAGGCGGATTCATGCTCGAAATCTTAAAAACGATGGCATGGTGGCATTGTCTCATGGACACACCACGTTGCTGTCAATTCCTCCTTACGCGTCCGCCTGTTTCCATTCGTCCAGCTGAGAAGACACCCAAGAATGAGAGAAAATCCGCTCAGCGGAGATCGCACAGCGACGCTCAGGCATCCGGGAAAATACACGGCATCAGCGATACGGAAAAAAAAGAATGAACAGGGCACACACACACTTTCACACACATTTTCACACACACTTTTACTCACACTTTCACACACACACACACAGCGGGAGCAAAAGCGAGGCGCCCCCAAGTAAAACGAGCAAGTCGAAGTTTTTATTATTTGGATGGCCTGACTTAATATGTGCGATACAGGGGCACACATACGTTGAGCTGCGGTTGTGATCTGGGCATTGCTAGAGCAGCAAGCTTCTCTAGCAGCTGCGGCATCGAGAGGCACTCCTGCTGTGTCGCATCTGCCCTGTCTCTGACTGTAATCGTCTTTGCCTTGGCTTCCGCCTCTCCGACCACCAACAGCAGATTCCACTGCTGCAGCTGCGCCTCGCGAATCTTCTTGTTAATCGTGTTGTTGCTCATGTCTATGCCCGCCTCGTACCCTACAAGCAAACAGCCGCCGGTGACATCCCCCCACCCAGGATGATGGTATAAGGTGTGTTGAAAAAAGTGGATGTAAAGAAGCCTGCCCGCCAGCGCTGGCGTCCTTCCTGTTTCCCAGACGCAGCAACCGCCCCCTTCCCCCGTGGCTCGCTCTGACTCCCCCAGCCACTATCCTTCTCGCTGTGAGCTCCTCAGTTGCACCCCGTTATACCCTGTGGCCTGGTGCGTTTCATACCTTGGAGCTGAAGCGCCTGAAGCACCTTTTCCGCATAGGCGTTGACTTTATCCGAGATAGGGAGAACGATGCACTGCCGGGGAGACAGCCAAAAGGGCAGCTTGCCTCCCGAGTGCTCCAAGAGCACCGCACACATTCGTTCAATGGAGCCTGACATCAAGTCACAGATGCGCAGGAAGAAGAGGCTTCTCAAACATACACATACCTCCGACACAACCAGCGGGGCCCGAGCGTCGTTCAGACGCGCCAATGAAAAGTGAGTGCGTGCAACTCTGCCTTGCAACTTGCACTGCGAGCCGACACCGCGAAGCACCAGCAATGCAAGTGATGGACGAAGGCTAAGAAGAGCAGTAGGCGTGTGTGGACGTCCGAGACGCATCGAAACCCCAGGAAGCAGCAACACGAGTGTCGGCATTTCTCCCGGGAAAGCAAAGCGGGGAACAATTCATCAAGAGACGCCGTCACCTTTAAGCGTGTAGGGAAGGGGCGGGGAGAGTGGCCAGCCAGGCCCTCCGTACGCGAGGCACAGCCACAGGAGGGCACAAAAAAAGCACAGGCGCGCAACCCTACGAACGCTACAGCGGAGAGTTTTCAGGCAGGTGTAGAACGTTGCTGTTTTTACCAAGGATGGCTCTGTGGACGATGACAGGCCTCGCCATGCCAGGCTTGAGCGCCCCCTCTGGCGATTGCTCGTGTGGGGTGTGCTGCATTCCGTTCGGCTGCTGGTCTGCTTCCGCTTCGGCGTGTTGCTTCTTGTGGCTCGCCGCAGCTGCTGCGGTTTCTTCCTGCGTCTTGTACTGCAAGTTGAATCGGATGGGAAGCTGGAAGTCCAGCTGGATGGTGCCGCATTGGTGGGGCCTCTTGAGCGCATCCCAGAGCTGGATGTCGATCTTCGGGCCGTAGAAGGCACCGTCTCCCGGATTGAGCTGCCAGGGACGGTTGAGCGACTCCAGCGCTTTCTGCAGCGCGTCTTCCGCCTGCTTCCAAGCCTCGACGCTGCCCATGGCTTTCTTGGGGCGAGTGGAGAGAAAGAGGGAGAAGGAGAAGCCGAATCGCTCGTACACGTAGAAAAGGAAGTCCAGGGCGGAAACGACTTCCGCCTCGATCTGATCCATCCTGCAGAAGATGTGCGCGTCGTCCTGCTGGAAGCGCCGCACGCGCGTCAGTCCCGAGAGGGAGCCGGAAACCTCGTTCCTGTGGAGCACGCCAAAGTCTGCGAGCCGAAGGGGCAGCTGTCTGTACGACGGCGCCAGGTGTTTGAACATGACGCAGTGCCCTGGGCAGTTCATGGGCTTAAGGCCCCACTCCTTTCCCTCAATTGTCATCAGAAACATGTTGTCTTTGTAATTCTCGTAGTGCCCGCTGGTCTTCCACAAGTCGCACGAGAAAATATTCGGCGTGATGACCTCCTTGAAACCCCGGATGCGGTACTCCTGCCTGATGAATTCAACCAACTTGTTGTACACCTTCGCGCCCTCCGGCAGCCAGAAGCACGAGCCCGGAGAGACGTTTGTGTCGAAGAAGAACAAGGACAAGTTCTGCCCCAGAAGGCGGTGATCGCGCTTCTTCGCCTCCTCCAGCAGCTCGAGGTACTCCTTCAACTGCTTCTTGTCGGGAAAAGAGACCCCGTACACGCGCTGCAGGCTGTCGTTGCCGCTGTTGCCGAGCCAGTACGCTGCGCTGTGCTTGTTGATCACAAAGGCCTTGCACAGCCCGGTAGAAGGCAGATGGGGCCCCCGACAGATATCCACAAGCGACCCGCACCTGTACACTGTTGTGCGACCCCCTTCCGGCACTTTGCTCGTGATCAGCGACACCTTGAAGGGGTTCTCCTGGAAGAGCTCGAGCGCTTCCTCCTTGCTGCAGACGAGGCGCTGAAACGGCTGATTCTCCGCCACAATACGCTGAGCCGCAGCCGTGAGCGGATCGTGATGAGACTCGCTGAGGCTGTGCGTGCCCATGTAGCAGTCATAGTAAAATCCAGGACGCAGTGCAGGTCCAACTGTCAGCAAGGCACCAAACTCCGTCTCTAACGCCTCACCTGTGGCACAAAATTCGACAGCACACGGAAGGCAGGCAAAAGGGATGGCCTCAAGCGCACGCAACAAGTGCATGCAAGGACGCAAGCACACAAGCGCTGGGCTCGCAAACTCGTGGATAACGCCACACGCACACACAAACACTCGCACACAAACGCATACCCAAACACACATACACATACACGCACAAACACACACACTGGCACACACACGCACAAACACTCGCACTCAAACACACATACACACCCACACACACACTCGCATGGGGGAAAGCGATCGCCTCAGGAGAAAAGAGTCATGTACACGGAGTAGGAGGCAGGGCACCGACGAAGGGGGGCACGGGAACAAGCCAGGAAAAGCAAGAAGTATATGCCGCAGCGAGAAGACGGGGAGGCGTGGCGGGTGTCGTAGAGCAGCGCAACGAGACGACACACTGCTGCCACCTATACACGCGCGCGAAGAAGACAGCAAACGACTTTGGAAAAAGGCCGATGCGGCAGCAGGTGCAGACCCCATGGCCAATGCGCATGCCTCTCACCAAGAATGTGAGCACTTGAATGCCAGAAGACGTGCTGCGCTTCAGGGGAGTCAAACTTCAGAAGCTGCAGCTTGCAGCTGCCTTCCAGAGGCCTCGTGACATCCCACAGCTGCCACGACTCTGCGGAGTCTTCCTGTGCGCAGCAACAGGCAGCTCCTTCTGCAGCCTCTTCATCTGCTTCGTCATCGGCCGCTGCCAAATGGGCAGAGGTGTCAGAGACTTCCGGTGCGTATGCCACCTGAGTGCCAAGAGAGACACACACAAGGCGATGTGGTGTAGAGAAGAGCGCGCGTATCGCGCAGGTGCACACTCCCTCGGGGCACTGCTGCCTGGTGCCTAGATCATCTGGCTTCCTGATTTGGAGCAGCTGACTTTGGCAATGATAGAGGCGTTGGCTAGCCCTTTGGAAATACTGGAGGCGATGTCTAGCGGGGTCGTCTCCCAGGCAAGACCTTCCTTTTTGCTGCCGTCTGGCAGCTCGACGGAGATCGGGGAGCGTGGATGAGCTGCAGCAGTCCATTTACAGCAGTACGTCGTTGAGTCCAGATATAATGTGGCTATAGGTAGATGCATATAGGAGGGTGCAAACGGCGACCTTCTGTACACTGGCCAGAGACTGAGTGCGTTTGCTGAAAGTGCAGAATGGAGCTTGGCAGGGGGGCAGGGGAAGGGGGGAAGAAGGAGCACAAGTGTTCTCCTGTGCGCGAGAGAGGGCCCCCCGCAGGCAGCTAAATACGCTGCGCAGGCGTACTGTCGCAAAAAGCAGCAGCAGCAGAGGAGGAGGACAGGGGAAAGCAGAGGAGGGAGTGCACTTGGCATACCTTTTAATTCTTCTTGTTGCTTAGCCATCAGCCTCTCGAAGACCTCGAGGCGCCGCTGAATGAAGGGGGCCCCCTTAGTGGGTGTGAAGGGGCCCCCAATGTGCCCGGTATGACCAAGGCTATGTGCAGTGCCGGCTTCTGCCCTGCGGCCAGGGACGGCTCCGCTTGCAGCTGCCGCCATCGTGAGGGTGCTATGAGTGGTGGGTCTTTTGGGAACGCTACTGCTGGTGCGAATGCAGCTTTTGCCACTATGTAAAAAGAGTCCGAGTGCCGGATCAGCCGCCAAACAAACAGAACGAGCGAGGAATGTGCCCCAGGGGCCACGAGGCATTTAACGCCTTGTCGAGGACTGCTGCTCACCGGGGCGGGAGGGAGGGGGGCCCTATACGGCTGCCGCTGCCGCTGCACGCAGACACCAGAAAATGGCCTACTTAGAAGATGAATGGCACTAAGAAGCTTACGGAGCACGAGCAGACACTGCGGCAACAACCGCAGGACGAGGCACAGGCAGCAGACAAGCACCAGCCGTCAGTCGCAGTGGGGCCGAACAGATCCCACGAGCGCGAGAGAGAGAGAGAGAGAGCGCACGTCGCTTACCGCAAAAAGAGACGAACTTTTGTAATTCCCTGTGCTGAATTCTTCGTGAATATTGAGTGGCTCATGATTTGGAGGGGAATGCGGAGAGGTAGGGCCAGGGACGGAGCTTGCGCCGGCGATACGGAAGCCTCGCACGCCAGGCTCTCCCTCCCACACAGGCCAGCCCCTAATGGACACAGTAGCTCCGGCCTTGTTTGGCTGACGGGCTGCTGACTCGGCTGTTGCGCTTCAATTCGCTTCGCATGCGGGATCCTTGAATACTCATCCCTAAAGAAATTACAGCAGGGACGTGTGGCCTCTTTTTTTAGGGCCACTATGGTTTTCGCAGTGCGTAGAGACACACCCACCCCCACCCACCACACCACAGGCCTCAAGCCCACCCTTTTTGGCTCTAGCATGCCAAACATGAGCAGCGACCAGAATGAATGACGCATGCATTTGCCGCTACGCATGACAAAGGGCTCTTCAATCCTGGAGGGGCAGCCGAGTGCCGTCCCGCTCGGCTGGAAGCCTCCGAAAGCGCTACCAGAAAGCTGTGGTAGCTAGCCATTTCGCCACGCAGAGGCGGCGGTCATCTCGACTGCGAACCGCTCGCCATGCGACTCGAAAAAGGCCTCTGGCCGGCTAATGACGGCTCAACGCGGGGGATCCAGTGCGGAGCATTGATAGGCACGTGCATGGAGAGCTCTTACGCAGGGAAATTGACGACTTTTGCAGCGGCAGGAGCTACACTTTGGCAGCTTCTTCCCCCACCAAATACAGGAATTACGAACTAATATAGAATTGCATCATCGTAGTGTAGCTGAGAAGAGTTATGTCGACATAAATGAGTCTGTGCCTACTACTCCTCCCTTGGTAGATATAGCGAGCCTCAAATGCTCACAAACTTAAATGCCTGATAAAACGTAAAGCAATCGTTACCAAGGTGGTAGTTCATTGGAAAGGCGGCTGACTGAATTTCGCGATCTCAGGCTGGTTCAAAAAGTCATCCTAGTCCAAAACTGGCGAGGCATTCATAGTCCTCCATCATGCATATTTCTTGAGCTATATTTCGTTCTAGCGATTGTAAGACTATAACCTGCACAGGCCGAGAATCAACGTGATAGGCGTGCGAGTAGATGCAATGCGCAAATGGTCGTGAAAAGCTAAGTGCTTACAGGGTGCAGCAAAGGGGCCCCTAGACATCTCCATCCCGTCAAGTTGGGATCTGAGCGACTCCGAGTGAGGGCAGGAAAATGCGGGGCCCTGATGGGTGAACACCAAGCAAAACTTCTTATCAGGTTTGTGTAGGAGTTGGGTATAATACACTGCTCCTCTACGGGGGAACCTAGAAGAGGGAGCGTTAAAAAGTCGCATCAGTAGAAATTTGCCAACGGGCCGTGAAGCATAGGTACCGCCTCGAACTCTACTTGGTGGTCCTTCAGCAGGCGTCTCGCTTCATACGTATAAGAACTGCTATTTAGACAACAGAGAAAGCTCTCTCTCCCCAGCGCGAGCCATAGTGTAGAGCCTCTGGGGTTTCAAACCCCTTTTTGTATCCATGCTGCCCCCACCCCCGCCGTTCTGAAGTAATCGCACCAGCTGCCAGCAATTTGCCGCGCACTCCTCTATTGGCAGCTCAGAGGCGCCGAAGGAGCACAGCAGAGTATCAAAGGCATGGACGGAGCCCACCGGAAACCGAGCACTCAGGATGTAGCCTGCTACTGCTACAGCGTAAACACATTTTCCCCGCCCTACTCTACATATTTTTCTGCGAGCCTCATTGCAAACCTTAAACCGAAGCCTCTATAATGCGTCGTGCACTGGCTTCCCTGGTAAAACGAATTGCGAAGAACTGCCAGTAAATCCCTGGTACAGAAGTCACGCAGCACCACACCAGCCTACAGGTGCAGCAGCAGTGCGGAGTCTTCCAAGACCGTTGCAGGCCTTCTCGAGGGTGGCAGTTGGTGCACGAAAGGCAAACTCCGGGATCTCTGCCTCCAGAAGGAGGCAGAGATCCTTCCTCTGCGCTCTAAACACTACACGTATTTTCCGGCCTTTGGCCTTCAACACCCTGCCTCTAAATTTATGCTGCGCGCTCAGTCTCTTGCCACGAGACAGCGCACTCGCTCTGCCAAGAGCCCAGCCATCGACCTGTATATACATGGCCTTTAGCCCCCGTAGAGGTGCAGCTGCAGAGCCACCAAAATCGCCTTCATATCCAGCTGCGGCTGATGACGGCAACCAGCGCGTTTCACATGCCAAAGGCCTCCAATGTGCCAAAGAGCTTCGTGAATTCCCACTACGACGGCCCCCCTGTCATGATCACACACAGACCCATCCACGACAGCCTGCTGTTCAGCCTTCGTCGACTTCGTACCAGTCCACGGCGGCTTGCATTAGGCGTTTCTGCGTGCTGCCCGAGAGCCTCCCGCTGCAGAACCCACGTCTGCACAGAGAGAAGCGAAAAATAGAGCAGCGGCGAGAAAACTAATGCCGCTTGCTGCTGCCATGCCGTGTGCTGCTGCCATGCCGTGTGCTGCTGCTTTGCCGTGTGCTGCTGCCATGCCGTGTGCTGCTGCTATGCCTTTTGCTGCTGCTGTGCCTTTTGCTGCTGCTGTGCCTTTTGCTGCTGCTGTGCCCCCCCGAGCTCTTGTGCTTACGCCTCTTCTTGGCCTTATCTTCTCGTTTGGATTTGCTGCTGTGGTCTCTTCTTTCTGTCTCCCGTGTGCTTCGGCTTCGGCCGCCTTCGTGCCTCCGTGAGCTCCTCGCGACCCTTCTGCTACTGCTACAGCTGCCGCTGCTGTGGGGGCTCACGCTCCTCTTCCTCTCCTTGCTCCTCCTCCCCCCTCTGCTAACGCTGTCTCGGTGGCTGCTGCTGCCCCTCCCGCCACTGGTGCTGAGGCTCCTGCGACTGCGCCGCTCCGCAGTCGCAAGGGCCCCCGCAGAGAGAGCAGGCCGTGCAGCCAGCGACCTAAAGGCAGCAACGCGGCGACCGAGTGCGTGTTTTTCCTCGCTGTCGGCTCGGCTGTTCCCCCTGGAGACAGAGCCGTAGCCTCTGCTGCTGCCGCCGCTGCTGCTCCTGTCCAAGCTCTCCCCCCTGCTGACGCTGCGGCTCCTGCTCACCGACAGACTCGTCGCCAGCCTTGTCGCCGCTGCTGTGCTGGAAGGGGCCTCAGAGGCCTCTGCGGATTCAGCAGCAGCGCCCTCCTGCTGCACCTTCGTCTCCGGGCCCTTCACGCTGCCGTCTGTGTGCGACTCTGCTGCCGCATCGGCCTCCGGGAGTGCTTTGGGAGCCTCCACACCAGCGAGCGTTTCTATGGCCCTCAAGAGACTCTTCTTGACTTGTTCCGGGATCTGCCGTCTGCCCTCATCCCTAACAAGAGACACGAGCTGCGCCTCGTTGCCTGCCGCAACTGCGGCGGCCCCTGCTTCTTCCTTTATTTTCGCAGCCACCAGCTGTTGCACGGCGAAGACGAAGCCCTCTCGCTGGAGCTGCTCCTTCGCCATCCGCATCAACCTGCTAAAGTCACCCTCCTCCTGCAGACGCTGCAGCAGCAACTGGCTCTTCCTGTTGGGCGCCCCCCCCCTACTGCCTCCTCCACGACGGGAGGCCTTCTCCGCCTTCAGCGGCACGTAGTCCGAAGGCCTCACGCTCTTCATGTGTTCATCGAGAGACGGAGGGGCCCCCTGCAGCGGCACCCCGAGGGGGCCCCCAGGGGCAGGACCCGTCATAGGAACGAGGCCACCCGAGGCAGCAGGCACAAAGGGGAGGCCTCCAAAGCTGCCCGTTGCAGCCGCCAGCGTCGCTGCAGCGGCTGCAGCGGCAGCAGCGGCCGCCGCTGCTTCATGCGAGACAGGGCCTGGGCCCCCGAAGGGAGGGGGGCCCCCCGATCCAAAGCCGGAGGGCGGAGGGGGGGGTGGGGGCGCTCCAAACCCTCCCGGCGGGGGTGGAGGTGCCATAGAGCCTCCCCCACTATAAGGAGGGCGGCCTCCAAAACTGCCGGGAGCAGGAAACATTGGTCCTGTAGACCCTCCAACGGGCCCCCCCCCCCCTCCACGGCCCCCATGATGAGGAGGGGGCCCCCCCCCCGGACCGCCATGATGAGGAGGGGGCCCCCCCCCCGGACCGCCATGATGGGGAAGGGGAACGCCTCCGGGGCCGCCGCCTCCCGGAGGCCCCATCCCGCCGGGCGGGTATCCAAAGGATGGGGGCCCCATTGGGAGTGCTCGCGGGTGAGATACGTGGAAGGGTGGCTGCATCGGCCCTCTGAGGTAAACGAGAGTTGCACGACGGGAGAGCTGCTGCTACAAAAAAAGGAGGTAGATGCCACAAGCTGTACGGACCGCCGGCGCGGCCTGGGAGAGCTGCGAAGCAGCCAGGCCAGCTGCGAGCAGACACGGAAAATATCCTCAACGGCTCCACGAACTGCGCGGCTAAAAAGCGGGAAGTCCGTTAGAACCTCAACAAGCGAAAGCAAGCCCAAGCAAAAAGGGAAAAGAGACAGAGAGTATTCTTGCTGGACTCTTTGGGCACTGCAGGACGAGACTCCCCGCTGTGCCTCCTGTTCGGGGCGGCTGTGGACTCAACCCGTCAGGCACACTCCTGGTGAGGTTACTTCGCTTCTCAGACGCTTTTTAAAGGGAATTTGCAGTTTCCACTAGATTCTCTGCTATTGCTCCTCTTTCCCGGAGAGCAAGCAGCCAACAATGCCCGAGGAGCTCCGCAGAACCGACACATGCAGCCTCTCTGCACTGGGCAGCGATAGAACCGGCCGCAATGCTAGTTTGTAAAGAAAGAGGGGCCCCCCACCCTGATCGCTTTTAGTTTCACTTCCGGCCCTTTGAAGCTGATGTACCTCGCCGGGCATATCAATGTTATCATGCGCTGGTTCACCGCAACTGCATGCATGAGCCCGCACTTGATCTGGCCCATTCTCTGTAGCGTTACCACGGCTGTTTGTTTGCTGTTCTGGGCCAGGTAGAATGTAATTAGGGTACGTGCTGTACCGGTTTGCTATAACAGTGCAACACGATTGAGCTCAAGGCTTTTCAGCGGCACAGCTACAGGACGCAAGCCATGGGCAAAGCGATGATACAGTTCGCCCCCCGTTCCCCCACACCCCCGTGGCAAAGCACGTCATACAGTGTAGCATGGGTAGATTAAGGCTCCACTGCCTTCCTCGATCGATAAAAGTGACCAGTACTACACTGTTGGTGGGCTCATTTAGTATATACTGGCTTTTGATTAGGTTGCGTAGAACGTGCCTGATAGTGTAGAGGCTAAAGTGTTCGTCTGTGCATTTTTCTCAATAGGTATTTTCTGCCCCTCTCTGATTTAGTTCCATGATTTCTGTGCGTGATGCGGTTTGAAATGCCGTAGAATAGTTGCAGCTAAACGCATTCCAAATGCCTTTTCTCGCCTTTAATGGAGGCCCGAATAACCCCTGAACATGGTTGACTGACTCTTCTCCAATAGTATATAATAGCGCTCCAAGGGTTTAGCTTATTCGAGGATTGTGAACTTCCTCGAGATGACACGATGATACAAAAGTACTGCTTGAGCACATGCGTTTCTCCCGCTTGCCCCCGTACCCTATATCCGCCGTCCCTCACGAAACTTCATTCATGAAGCCAATTCGCCTCAAATTCCTGTGCCTGAAAATGGGGGCTTCACGCAGTTGTGAGAATTGCAGCCCCCTTTGGTAGCTGTAACACTACATCCCATGTGTCGATACAGATCCTCAAGCTCAGACTCAATAAGAACTATATAAAAAGTTGTGCCTTTGTTGATAAAAGTCTTAGCTTACCCTGCACGCGCAGCTCAGGGCTCTGACATGAGCTGAGTGGTACAGCTAGGGTGCGCGTAGCTGCATTCTCCAAGCATTCGGCTCATTCACAACTAGTTGCACATAGTACCAAGCGCATACGCGCCAACATTGCGTCTTCTTGTAGCGAGCTGGCAGTACCCTGTGGTGAACAAAAGACAGAAGTAACTAGAGCAACTGATCAATTCTTTCCTAATACCTGATTGAATATTGCTAGTGCAGTACTTCACGTGTAGCTAAGTCGACCAACTTGCCGTTGCAATTCAGCTGAGGCAATAATACGTCCCAACGGAACACAGGTATACTCGGTTTTGCGAGTGCACTTGTCAAAGCCGTTTTGTTCATATCGTCTGAGTGAATGGGGATTTACACGAAGGTATCTGTGAATGCAAGTGTCCAGTAAACTGCTGATCTGCATGATTTGGCATCTAGCTCGCCAATAAGGCATCGAGAGCTTCTTCGAAACATACTTGTTCAGGCGCTTTAGTCTACGCACATGCGCCGCTACCTTTTGCCGCGTTACGGCACCAAAAATGTCTACGCCCAAAAGCTCTGGGCGATTCCTGCGTTTTACCCTATTCCAACAATGCAGGTGCTGCCACTCAATCTTCTTTTCGTGCTGTAGGGATTTTCGATAATGCAGCACATAGTGGGGGGGCCATACAGGGACTTGCTAATCGGTGCGGTGGGCGATCAGTGGGTGACCAGCCTGCTGGCAGCTCGTCATCTTTGTGCACGCCCGCGAGGTGTTCCTGCATATTTGCTTATTCCTACTGCCCATCGGCTAAAAATTTAATATAATGCTTAAGTATGAGATCATTATCACTGCTAATGACGAAATGAATGCTCAGAACTGTCTTCACTTCCTGCGTTGCTAAACACCCATTGGAGACTCTGTCTGACTTGTCGAGGCTCCAAGTGGATCCCGTTCACTGTAGATGAAATAACCATTGGGTTAATAAAGCACTAAATTTCATAGCGCGTAGCTGTGGCGCATGCGTGCCTTCCTATAGGTCGCCCAAGGCATACCCACGACTACGCTATAGTGTACGGCTTAAATAAAGAAGTCACGGAATACGCTGGTAGGATATCACTTCGATTTGAAGAGGCATCTGGCTCTAGTATCGTTGAAGATGCTTGAGCTTTGCAGCCCGTAAGCAAGCCTGAGTGTAGGGACTGCGCTAAAGTGACTAGAGAGATTCACTCGTGCGCCGTCCCCCGAACAACAGGTCCACTTTGCATTTAGTACCATGTCACGCTACCGATCAGTGAACCATCGATACGACTCTCTACCAGCGCAGAACTGACATGTATGAGGTCCTTAATTGTGGCTCTATCCTTCGCTGCCCACTTCACTGGGCCGCAGCCTGCGTGGAGGGCGCGCCGCTCTCCTTGTGTCGTGTATTCGCTTCCAATCAGCCTGCTTCTGCTAGGCCCATTCCAGTTGCTCAATCTGCTTGACATTTTGCATGCGCCCAAAGTTTCGAATTATATGCCCCAATTTTCCGCAAAAAAACGTACACCAAAAACGTACATTTTTGAATGTCTGTATGGGGCTGCTTAGGAGCGCGGGTTCCCTCTGTGGATACCTTTACTCGTTCCTCATAGACTCTGACCAGAAACCTGTTGACACACCCCAGCCATCAATAGGCTCTTGATCCCGGCTTTGTGCTTGCTTTTAATGAAAGGAGAATGAGACTTAGGGCAGATCTCAGATGAGCTAGTGATACAGCAGTTGCTCGTCTATGTTGTGGCTTTTGCGAAGCAGAGTCTCATGACTCTACATATTCAAAGTTCTTGATAGAACTTCTTGCTTAAGCTTTTAACATTCTTCCAGAGCCTGCTATTAAGCTTATCTCAGGATAACCCGCTGAGTGAGGGGTGTCTGAAGGACTGAGCTGTACGACTACCTGCAGGCAGACCACTTCAGCTGCACTGGTAAACCCATCATCGAGAACCATTCGGCTTTTATCTTGGGGTTTCCCAGCGAAGTACATCTTCAACCTGCTGGTGAAATCTTTGTATACTTGCCCATCAGTGTGATCGTCATATTTTCCTGGTCTGCATAACCTCATCTACGCATATTCTATCGGCTGACACACTAAGCCTATCCACCAGAGAACGAGCCATTGCGTTTATATAGGCTTTCAGGCCCGCTTCTGCCCCCCCCCCCCCATAAGCATCATGCCACCGTCTGCTTTCATCATCCAAAACCATTTTCCCCCAGCACATTGTTCAAGGTAATCAAATCATGGAATTGTAGGTAACTTCATTAAAACCAGACAGCTACTGTATGGAAACCTGACAATTCACTGCATCTCGCATGGTAAGCTAGAGCTCTACCATTTAAGCTAAGCACCGTTTGTGGTGGCGTACATATAATTCCATAGTTGCCTTTGAGGATGAATACCTGGTCAATATGTTCGACCAGGTGTTATCGCACAAAGACTTAATTGGGCGCACTGTACCAGCCCGTTGACAAGGAATAGGAGAAGCGAATTCTGTTGGTTTCTCTTCATAAAAGGGCATTTGCTCTTCAGATAGAATCCACTTGGTAAAATGCTTCAAAATTCCGTAGAAGCTCTACGGTCTGCTATAGATTGTCCAGCAGTGGTGTGGCAATGCATTGCGGGCAGTTCTAGCTTAGGGTTATCTGAGTAGATGGAGCACGCGGGAGTCCGAATTAGGGTCTGGAGGCTCGCACATGCCGGTAGCTCGCAGGTAAGCCTACTGCATAAGCCACCTCTATTACTCTTTACAATGTTTTCCGCACAGGTGTAGTGCTCCACCGCCAAGCAACATCCTACCTAACAATGACATCGGGTTAGACCACTCTAAGTAACGGCTCTATGGTCCGGGGTAGAGTGGGAACAGAAGGTAAAAACAGGGGCCGTGGAGGACAAGACAAAAACAATTTTCCAATGGCTGTGAAGCAATGGTACCCAGTACGCTTTTGCCGGTTTGGATTTCTACGTTTTCAGAGTTCTGTTAGCAAGCAGCCTCATATCAAAGGTATGGTTCTAGTTCTGCATTATGAAGCAAGCGCTTAAGGCTTACCCAAAAACTCCCTGGTCTCCGCATTAAGTTTCTATTTAGTTGTAGCACTTATGGCCATGCAGGGCATCTGCTTTGGGACGTGAAGCAGCTCTCCATGCAAGAACAAGCTTTACTAAGCAGGGGTATAACAGATGCGTCAAAAATGGGGAGGGATACAGGTGACGAAAGTTAATGGGAAGTCACTAATATTTCTTCTCGCTTATAGGAAATTGAGACGCAATTATACAATGTGGAGGATTTGCTAAGATACACACAGCAGCCTGGATGCTGCGCATATTAAAAGCCAGCTCGGTCCACTAGGCAAGCAAAAGATAACTTACTTTTCTGTTGAACGGT